GGCGTATCAGCATGGCTGCACTGGGTAAGGAGATGCCTCCGTTAATTCCGTTTGGAACAAAGGTGGTCGTGCGACAGAGATCATGGTCTGCAAAAGGGAAGGGAACATGGAAGGATAAAGTTCAAGACGCCCGAGTGCTGGCACCAGCGCTGGAGTTGTCGAGGGGCTACTATGTCGAAACTTCGGAAGGGGAAGGGTTTGTGACCAGCGTTCTTTTCCAGAATGTTCAAGTAGCTGGGCAACCTGGGTCAGCAGTAGTCACTGAGTGTGAGCCGGTGAACTTGCGAAGAAGGGTCACGGGCAAGCAGCCGCCCCCTGAAGAACCTCCACTTGTTCGATCTCTCCAGGATGTTCCTGATGAGGAGTCTCATGATCCACTTGCTTTGCTCATGAAAGAAGATCAGGCAGCCGCAGCTCTGGCGGCGCAGACGCCGTGGGATAGGGATGCAGTTGTTGAGTTTCTCAAACAGACTGAGCTTCGCAAACGCACGGGCTCCTCTCGCACTGCCTTGAATGGAGGGGCGCAATTTATCTTTGGGGCATGTCGTCATGGTGGCGTCATAGGAACTTCTGGGTTGACGGGGGATCTTCCAGGCTTTACTGCGCTTCTGGTCCGGCTGATTCGGGAAGTGGTGCCAGATCATCACTTCACGTCTGTAGCTCTCGGATACAATACCAGAATGGACGTCCACCGAGATCTCAACAACCAAAAAGGGTCTCGGAATGTGGTGGTTCCTCTTTGTGTCCCCAAAACAGGGGGAGAAGTGTGGGTGCAAGCTCGACAAGGGGATGTTTTGCGGGGCCAACCGCAAGTCCAGGTTGCGAAAGGGCAGCCTCTGGTGGGGCAAATCCTTCCGTGGACGGATGGGTATGTCACTTTGGATCCAAACGCCTGGCATATGGTCATGCCGTGGAAGGTTGGTCAGGAGCGCATCGTTCTCCTTGCGTATTCGGTGGGGGCCTGGCAAGCGGCCACTCCAACGCTGAAGGGACAGCTTGAGGACCTGGGATTTCCACTTCCTTCTGGGGCCAGGTTGGTCGACCCAGTGGGTCGAGGGGGAGTAGGTGGAGCTGAAACTGGCGTAGCGATGAAGAAGAATTTTCAAGCCACTCAGTCTCAGGAGCCTGGGGCGGAGGTTGTAGGGGAAGTTTGCTGGTGCAAGGGCTATCAAGTTGATCCATCGCTGTGCCTGTGTAAGGGGCTCAGGGAGTCGCCTCTATCAGATTCTGGAGGCCCTTTGAATCCACTTGAAGTATCTCAGGACGAGTGTCAAGGGGAGAGAGGGCTAGGTGATGAGGACGGATCTATGAAGGTAGTGTATGCCATAGAAGAACTGAGTGAAGAAGATCCTGCAGATTTCTACTACTCGGTGGGAACTCGGGGGTGGGATGAGAGTGAAAAGCCGCAAACTCTTCTGGTGGACTCGATCGTTGAGGCCTTAGACCGAAAGCAGGTGATGTTGTCTGCCATCCTCTGGGCAGAAGAAGATCGGCTGGCCCAGCTCAGCGCAGATCGTAGGGATCAGAGCGGTGAACTTGAAGTGGTCGAGAGGACTGTGCTGAGTCTTGAGAAGGACGTTGGCGAGTTGAGAACGGTCATACGTAGCATGAGGTCTCATCTTGACGAGGACAGGTTCGGGAGATTTGGGGCTGATATCTTACCACCTTTCCAGGGTGATCGTGTAGGTGAGGGATCGAAACATCGATGTGCTATGATGCAGACCAGCGCGGACAGCGCGGAAACCGACAAGCCACCTCAGGACCATGAGAACAGCGGCATTCCGGATGAGTTTCTTACTTCCAGGTCGGTCACTCTTCAGGAAGTCCAAGAGAACTTGGATGAGTGGATCGAGCCACTTCGAGATGAGGTCAATGCCTTGGAGTATGTGCACGAAGCAGTTGAGAGTGTTACCGAACGTGAACTTCAAGACTTGGAGAAGAAGGGCTTCACCATCGAGCGGATACCGGGTCGCGGGGTCTTCGTAGTCAAGGCAGGGACGGGGCGAAAGCGAGCCAGGATTGTGGCCTGTGGTAACTATCTGGATCCATCGAAGGGTGTCAGCGCCGGGGGAGTCGAAAGTCATTCTCCTACACTCCAGAAATATTCCACGTTTGCAGCAGGTTTAGACACGACTGCGTTCAGAGCACAACTTCGGATGGCAGCTCTCAACAAGTGGAGCGCAGCGGGACTGGACGTCAAGACGGCGTTCCTGAGAGCTCCATTGGGGCCGGTGCTACAAGAGCGACACCTGATCGCGGTGAAGCCGCCCGCGATATTGGTGCGCGCAGGAATCGTGAAAGCTGGTACATTCTGGCTAGTTCGCAAGGCGGTGTACGGCCTTGCTCCTGCTCCGAAGGCATGGAGCACGTACCGAGACGGCGAACTTCGACAGAAGAAATGGACTGGCAGTCAGGGAGGCAGCTTTGAGTTTCGCCCTATGTACAGTGACCCATCGCTGTGGGAGGTGCTGTGTAGCGGTCAGGTGGTCGGACACCTGGGCGTTTATGTGGATGATTTGTTGATCACTGGTTCAAGGTATGCGATCAATGAAGTGATCCAAGCAGTCCGCAGCTTGTGGGAGACATCTGAGCCGGAATGGATCGATGAGCCCGGTGGCTTGACCTTCTTGGGCGTTCAGGTGCGGCGAACAGCTGAGGGAGACTATGTGCTCAATCAGGTCAAGTACGCTCGAGAGCTGCTGTCAAAGTATCCTCAGGTTCAAGCAGGGTCATGGGTGCCGATGCTCAAAGAGGACGTGGGGGAGCCAGAGCAGCATGTCACCGCGGAGGACCGCCGACGAGCCCAAGGCATCACAGGTGAGATGAACTGGCTGGCGTCAAGGACACGTCCTGACCTGGCGTATGTCGCCAATCGGATGAGCCAGTGGATCCCGAAATGGCCACGACATGTCTACAAGGTGGGTTGCCAAGCTCTCAGGTATCTTCGGAACACAGCTGAATATGGACTCAGGTTTTCAGCAGAACCAGAACGCCAGTGCCAGGAGGGATGGTCTATGACTCCATCAGTGGAGCAGCTCATGGTGTATGCTGATGCGTCGTACGCACCGCTAGCCGAGCCGAGCCAGACCGGAGCAATCCTGCTCTGGGCAGGCTCACCCATCTCTTGGGTGAGTTCGAAGCAAGCTCTGACGACTCTATCCACGGCTGAGGCAGAACTCCTTGCCTGTGTTGAAGGTCTTGTCCTCACTGATGCTATCGAACCTCTAGTAGGAGAGCTCCTAGGCAAGCCCCCCACCAAACTGCTCCTAAACGACAACATAGCCACCTCAAAAATCCTCTCCTTCAGTAGCGGATCATGGCGAACCAGACATTTGAGGATTAGGGCGCGGGTGTGGCGTGAACGGATAGAGGCTGAAGAGTGGAGGGTGCGTCACGTGAGTGGAGATCAGATGCTCGGTGATCTTCTCACTAAACCGTTTGTGTGGAGTAGGCTATGCGACCTGATACACCAGATTGGGCTGTGGACGGGAGGTACAAGCGGGGCACAGGATTCGACCACGGGAGGGCCTAAGCATGGGGAGCAGGTTCTAGCGGCGAAAAAGGTCTTGGGGGTCCTGTGCTTTCTCCAGTGCGCCTCCTTGGCCGAGGGTCAGGTCATGAACACGCTGAAGCATGCATGCGAAACTGTGTCTGTTTTCAGTGGGGTTGTGGTCCTGTTGTGTTGTCTGGGGGGACTGGTCGGGTTGGGTCTTTGGTCACGACGACATTCCGCCACGGCCAACCTGGATTGCCGGGTCCATCAATGGGGTCCTAAGGATGCACGGTCCCAGGACGATGACGGTGAGGAAGATGGTCAGTTGATGTGGGAGGGCGACTCTTCGTGGCATGAGACGTGTGAACCCCCGACACAAAACCATGAGCCTCCACCAGTCTCTGAAAGAACCTCAACAGTAGGGTATCCGTCTCGAACCTCTCCTTGCACGAAGTGGCTTGCGGGAATTGTGGCTTGGACACAAGTTCAGGCATCGCGAGGGGTGAGAGAGATGGATGGGTCAATCGAAAGCATTGAGACAGCGGATTGGACACTCTGCATATGGACTATTTTTTTGCTGCTTGCTTGGGAAGGGTTTAAAGTGGGAATGAACAAAATGCTATCCGTTTTACACGGGAAGCGCTCAGCTCAGAAGGAGCATCGATGCACAGGGGTACAGCACCAAGCGGTGCAGACGGAGGGCTTGAGTAGGAGTAGATATGGGGTGGAACTCGTCCCAATCAATAGTATTCCTCCAACGGTCCCCCCTGAACTTCCTATCTTCATCACCCGAGGGCCGCATATCAAGAAGGATACTTTTGAAGTCCGTGAAGATCTTAGGGCATTGATCCGATGGCACGTCAAGCCACGTATGTATTCCTTCAACCCTCACCAAGCAAAGCTCCCCATCTCACCAGACAGACTTCAAGGGACTCGACAGACCGTCTGTGTCAACAATTCCCAGAATCGCTATGTGGTCATCGACGTGTGGAGCGTCGCGGATCATGTCTTCCAGACACAGGCACGGCAAGAGGCATGGACGGGATATACCCTCTTTTACCTTATTAGTCCCTAATGGTGGTTGGGTTCAGATTCGCTTGAAACGGAGCTCATCTGAGGGGGAGTATGTAGAGAGGCACAGGTTTGTATAGTTCAGAGTGCCAACTCCGAAGGATGGCCCAAAGAGCACAAGGATGACACGCACAAATCAAGGAATGTAAGAGTACCAGAGGTACCATTTCCAAGGCTCCGTTTAGGGATGCCATGTTTTTGTAGACAAAATCTTTCAAGTCAAGATCTTTTGTTGCTCGCTTCTGGCCTTAGTGCTAAAAGTCCGTCGGGCAGTGATTGGCCATTCGCACCCTAAACCCCTGAACCCCGAAACCCCTAAACCCCTCCTGAACCCCTGAACCCCTACACCCACAAACCTACACCTCTAACCCCCCCATGAAACCCCTAAACCTAAATCCCTAATCCCCAAAACCTTAAACCTCAAGCCCCCATCCACCTCCAGCACCGTCTTGACACCAGCAGATGCCCCGTCGGTCAGGAAGATATCCTGCGCAGCCGTAGGGCTTAGGGTTTAGGGTTTAGGGTTCAGGGTTGGGGTTTAGGGTTTGGGTTTAGGGTTTAGGGTTTAGGGTTTAGGGTTTCGGGTTTAGGGTTTAGGGTTTAGGGTTTAGGGTTTAGGGTTTAGGGTTTAGGGTTTAGGGTTTAGGGTTTAGGGTTTAGGGTTTAGGGTTTAGGGTTTAGGGTTTAGGGTGAAGGTCTAGGGTTTAGGGTTTAGGGTTCAGGGTTTCGGGTTAAGGGTTTAGGTTTAGGGTGTAGGGTTTAGGGGCAGGGGTGGGGAGATCCTCAAACCATGAAGCTCGAGTCGCCAGCATCACTAGCTGCTCGCCTTCAATCCCCAGAACAGTATATTCTTATGGATAATTCTCTAAACTAGGGGCTACCCAAAAAAGGACCCTCATCTAGGAAGCTACCTACTTCCACAGCCCTCGGATGGGGGCGGGGGTTCCTACGACCATCTGCACTGGGCCGCGCCAGCGAGTGTTTACACTTCCCGAAGAATCCCATAGAATCAGTCGGGAATGCCCTGTCAATCCAACCGGCAAGTGAGTGCCATGATGGAATCCACCAAACATGCACGACCCAGCCCTGTAAGAAAACGATCACAGCTAAAAAACACTCTGGGAGAGGATCTCCTTGAGGTTCTAGGGAAAGTTTAGGGTTACACTATACCACATTCTCACAAGGCGGGATAAACAAAACAACCCAAAAAACGCCTAAAACCCTAAAACCCCTAAACGCTAAAACCCTAAAACCCACCCTCAAACCCTAAACCCTAAAACCCTAAAACCCGTAAACCCGTAAACCCTAAACCCTAAACCCTAAACCCTAAAACCCTAAAACCCTAAAACCCTAAACCCTAAAACCCTAAACCCTAAACCCCTAAACCCCTAAAACCCTAGACCCTAAACCCTAAACCCTAAACCCTAAAACTCCCAAATAAAGCGAACGTGGGCTGCCTCCGGATCTGCCGGGGGCACAGAGGCCCCGTCCCTGCGATCGATGTAGTTGGCGACCTGCCGCCTGAGGGCCGCTCTGAAGCACATGGTATATATATATATATAATATGTAATATACATATATATATATACATATATACACATGTATGTATCTGTGTATATATATATATATACATACACACATATATATGTACATATATATATATAACAGAACGTAACATAGCATAACATAATATAATATCATATATAATATGATATAAGATAATCTAGTAAGAGTAGAATATAAGATGAGATCAGCCAAGATCATTCTACAGTCTCAATCTCGCTGAGGTCCAGAGCCTGAAGTGGAGGATGCCTTTGGAATGGGAGTAGGCGCCGAACTTGGGGTTCTTGCCGATGTACTCCTGGCATGGCAGACTTGGCATTGCGCCCGCCCCCGTTTGGGGTTTAGGGTTTAGGGTTTAGGGTTTAGGGTTTAGGGTTTAGGGTTTAGGGTTTAGGGTTTAGGGTTTAGGGTTTAGGGTTTAGGGTTTAGGGTTTAGGGTTTAGGGTTTAGGGTTTCAGGGACTTGCCCGACCTACAGACGTGCGAGCGGGGCCTTGGCTCTCGCCACCACATCTGCTGGATACAGCGAGGCTGCATCCTGCAATCTGCTGCAGAGCTTGTCCCGAGAAGGCCAGCCTCTACGAAAACCTAAACCCTAAACCCTGAACCTTGAGCCCTAATTGGGGGCTTACGATATTCGGTGTACCTTGTTGGGGTCCTCGAGAAAAGGGGATCCCTACTATTTGGCGGTCTATATTGGGGTCCCCTACTCTCGTAAACCCCCAATTGTTCTCTGCAGCCTCAGTACATCCAGGGACAACCCCAAAGTTCTGCCCAGCACCCTAAACCCTAAACCCTACAGTAAACCTTAAACCCTAAACCCTAAACCCTAAACCCTAAACCCTACAGTAAACCCTAAACCCTAAACCCTAGACCCTAAATCCTAAACCCTAAACCCTAAACCCAAGAGACGTACATTCACGCGACGCGGTCGGAACTAAGTAGGATGCATGTTGTCTCGAGAGCCCCTTCGCCCTCAAATCATCCTCCGGATCTCCGCGGTTTAGGGTGTAGGGTTTATGGTTTAGGGTTTAGAATTTAGGGGTAAAAGGGGGGTTACACCGAACTTGCGATGCACTGCAGGCCAGTGCCTCGATCAAGGAAGGATTGCTCATCAAGGAGAGCACCTGACAGTAGGCTGAGACGCTAGTAATTGCTTAGGAACCCACAAAACGATAATATAGAGATTGTTCTTTTTTTCTTTCGGGGTTCTTAAGCAAATAGTAGGAGGTGTTTAGGGCAGTTCGTGCCTATTTTTTTTGGTGTCGTACAGGAGAAGGGACTATGCTGCATTTGTATCTGGGGTACTCCCATTTTGGGAAATGAGGGTCCTTCATCTGGAAATGGCTTCTTCACGAACTTTTCCTTTCCTTTCGTGGAACTTTCATGGCGTCTTTCGCAGGACATACTTGCGACGTACCCTAAACCCCAAACCCCAAACCCTTAACCCTAAACACTACACCCTATCTACCCTAACATTTAGATTTTGGAATGGCGTTTCTGGGTTTGGGGCTCGAGGTTCTGGCTGTGGTTGTTTCGGCTGTCGTTCAGGGCAGGGTGCCTGAGCACGGGCGCTGTGTAACGGTCAGGGCCCATGCGAGCTTTACGGCAGCTTTCGGCTTAGGGGTTTAGGGGTTTGTGGGGTTAGGGGTGTAGGCTTCAAGGGTGGAGGGACTTATGGGTTTAGGGGTTTAGTGGTTTAAAGTTGAGGGGTTTGGGGGTTGGGGGTTTGGGGGTTTGGGGGTTTGGGGGTTTGGGGGTTTTGGGGGTTTAGGGCTTCAGGGTGTGGGATACCCCGAACTACAGGTCTGCTAGTGTTACGTTGCACTTTCGCGGACCCATCGCCAGACTTTCGTGGACATACTGTTTGTTTCTTTAGGCCGCCGCAACTTGACTTTGAGAAACCCTCCAATACCCATTTAAGCCCTGAGGGTGCCAGGATGTGTCAGGCTTGACGGAGTTGCTGAAACCCTAAACCCTAAACCCTAAACCCTAAACCCTAAACCCTAAACCCTAAACCCTAAACCCAGGGGTCAGGGCGTTGCAGGGTTCGGGTGCGGGGTTTAGGCTGGCACTTTGGGCTGGCCCCGCCTGGCGGTGGAAGGTGAGAGGTCGTGCGCCAACGGCCTGTTAGTCTACAAAGCCCGGACTGTTTAGGGTCCAGGGTTTGGGGTGTAGGGTTTAGGGTTTAGGGTTTAGGGTTTAGGGTTTAGGGTTTAGGGTTTAGGGTTTAGGGTGTAGGGTATAGGGGACCGTTCCGGGTTCTAAGGGGTTGCCTTTGGGGCTTCTCAGAAGGCCAAAAAAAAGGCCCCCTGGCCTGAGGGTTTCCGATGTTGCACGGCACGAGCTCATCGAAAGGAAGCGAGTGGTTGTCTTGCTCCAAGAGCTTCTCCAGCTTGAAGGATCTCGTCCTGAGCAGTTCTTGCATGACGTTGCGCGTCGTGAGGAGCTCCACTCAACTCCATGCCATGCTCTGTGCTAGGTGAATTCTCGGACCACGGTGGTCTTCAACCATGCTCATAAGGCTCAGGCACAATCTCTCCCCTCACGGCGTACTCAGCATCTAGGATCTTCTGCGGCACCTCAGTTTCACACAAGTCCGCTCCCCTCTGTCATGGCTTCGAGGTTCGAAGCCATGACAAGAAAGCCTGAACCCTAGGCTGCTAAGGCACGGATGCCAATGTCAAGGCTTTGCCTTCGCAAGATCCAGCTGAGCACGTCCTTCAGGAGTTTTGTCGCAGGTGCAGCAAGAACCCCTCGACCGGCTTAGCAGTGATCCACTCTTGCCATGAAATATTGGGATCCTTCTTTAAATGCATCCTTATTCTTGGAATCCGTATTCTTGGGATCCGTATTCTTGGGATCCTGAAAATTAACCCTTGTAATAATAATAATAATACTCAGAATGATGATAATAATAGAAATAATAATACTCATACGAAAACTAAAAATGACAGTTATTATTGTTATTACTACTATTATTAGTCAGGCGGTCCCGGGCTCGTCGCCCACTGCCTCGCCAAGGAGTATGACCTTCCGCAAGACGCTGCAACGTCTGCGTCAAGAAGATCTCACCTTCTGCCCCTACCCTCTAAACCCTAAACCCTAAACCCTTAACCCTAAACCCTAAACCCAAAAATGGCCCTTAAGCCCTCACTTTGAACCTACGTAAGGCGTTTGAGGTCGGAACCGACAGAGCTGCGGCCCCTGCAAGACGCCATATCTGCAGCGCCATCACTCTCGGCGCGCAAGCAACGCGGCGCTTTGCACAAAAGGCTGATGCCTATTGTGGTGTCCTACGCCCTAAACCCTAAACCCTAAACCCTAAGCCCTAAACCCTAAACCCTAAACCCTAAACTACTATTCCCCGAAGGCGGCGCCGAGCCCATGAATCGGAGTGCGTGTTGAAGCCTTCATGTTGTGATCCTCCCTCCCTTTCGAAAGATCTCAGCCATAAGCTCGGAGCCACCTACTTTAGGGCTTAGGGCTTAGGGCAGTTTAGGGTTCAGGGTATGTAAACATATTACTAAACTCAGAGAATCACTCTCACAGCTGGAGCCGAGATGCGGTCTTACACGAGTCGACATCGCAATGCAAAAACCACACGAGTGTCAACCTCATGATATGTGTCACACTGGCGCGGTAGGAAGGTCCTTACGCCATCTTATGCTGCCAAGGACTTCAATCTCGCAATCTCCTGGCACGTTCGTGGCACGTGCATCCGTTGATCATCCTTTGAATATAATATACAATTTCAATATATAATTTGTAATTTATAACAATGAATATATACAATTTATAATAATATATAATATAATAAAATAATATAATACAACATAATATAACATAATATTATATTATATTATATTATATAACAAATGGTATATAACATCTCATATATATCATATGTATGTATAGAATACTTAGCATATTTCCGGGAATTCGGACCTCATCTCGTTTCCGGATCTCGTTCTCGAATCCCGTGATGAGCTCCTAACCGAAGTTCGGATGCAGAGAATTCATTGGGCCCTGCTGAAGTCCTTGGGGCAAAAGGCTTTTAAATTTGAATTGAGCAATGATTTTAGATCCAACCACACCCCCCCCCCCCTCCCCCTCCCCCCGTCCCCCCTCTGTCAAAGAGCCGTGTCCTCCTTGTTCAGGCACAGGAGCTTGCTGTGACTTCGCTCCTGCGGATGCATTGTAGTGTATCTGATATCAGATATTTGATGTTTGGTACTAGAGATTTGATATTAGATATGAAATATTGCATGCATTTGTTACATATTGTTAGTGCTTATGACTACTTTTTTGTTATTATTATTATTATTCTTATTATTACTATTCTAAAAATCATTATTACTTACTATTATTCTTATTGTTACTATTGTTCTGATTATTTATTGTTATTGCTATTGCAATTGTTCTTGTTATCGTTCTTGTTCTTGTTGTTATTATATATTATAAAGTATGAGCTCTACATAATATATAAATATAGATATAAATATAAATAACAATATAAATATAAATATGTAAACCATGAGAGGCCCCACCAGGACGCGGATAGGTGGCTGCTCATAGGGCTTGAAGGCCAGCCACGTCCCCACCTCAGACTTCTGAGCTCCACAGGGTTTAGGGTTTAGGGTTTAGGGTTTAGGGTTTAGGGTTGCACCATTCAAGCCGTGGTAGAGCTCGGGAGCTTGCGGAGGGAAGCTGCTTGAACGGCTTGCGTTCCTTCGTGGCCGGCACTGCTTCCTCTCAGGTTAAAAGGAAAAAAGGGGGTTTACGAACACATGCATGGGGGGGGGGGGGGGGGGGGTAGGGTTTAGGGTTTAGGGTTTAGGGTTTAGGGTTTAGGGTTCCCCGAATATAGTCTCCCAAATAGTGGATCCCCTTATAAAAAAGGACCCCTAAGAAGGTACCCCTAGTTTCGTAAAGCCCCATGAAGGTTCAGCGGCCACACTTTGCTTGAAAGCTTTGCATAGCGATGTTTCGCCACACATCCCCTTGTCAATCTAGACTCCTTGTGCTTCTTACCACATGGTCCCGTGGTGCCCATCGCGCATCTGCCCAGCGCGACGCGCAGGACGGTAAGAGTGGCTCGCGCGGGGCGACGCACAACACTTAGTAGCTAACTTTGGGATGAACACCGTGTCACCGCACATAGGGCTTAGGGTGTAGGGTTTTAAGGTTTAGGGTTTAGGGTTTAGGGTTTAAGGTTTAGGGTTATGGCATAAGCTTGATGAGGTCCTTCGTGCTGCTGACCGCTGGAGCTTCCGACTGTTGGGGAGCCACCTGGTAAGGTCACATGCATCCCACACGCTAGGAGTCGCTAGGACTGTACTTATAACCCACTTATAAGCCCCTTAAGTGCCCTAATATGGTTATAAGTACAGCTAGAAGTACAGTTATAATTGGTTAATAAGTACCATGAACCTCCAAGTAGGAGTCGCTAGGACATGTGCCCGAACTACGCGTCCAGGTCTGAGGTTCAAGCCGGGGCCACCGCTGCAGGCATCTCTGTCGAAGCCTTCGCAATCAGTGAACCATCTGACGCCCTGTTTTGGGAGGGGCAAGTTGTAAGGCCTGAAAATCGCCTAGTTTCCTGAATCCTGGCTCGCTGAATGCTGGCTTCCTGAATCGCAACAAGTTTCTGAATCACACAACAAACCTGGAAATGTGGACCAAGCTAGCGTTGAGTCGAAGGAAGGGGACCCGAAACCCTAAACCCTAAACACTGAACCCTAAACCCTAAACCCAAAACGCTAAACCCTAAACCCTAAACCCTAAACCCCAAACCCCAAACCCTAAACCCTAAACCCCCGGAGGGCCTGGATCCTGATGGGCTTGGATGCGAGCCATGTACCCACCGACGGCAGCATGGAGAACCTTCAGGCCGCGGGTTTTGCTCCCTTCTGCGGGTTTGGGGTTTGGGGTTTGCGGTTTAGGGTTTAGGGTTTAGGGTTTAGGGTTTAGGGTTTAGGGTTTAGGGTTTAGGGTTTAGGGTTTAGGGTTTAGGGTTTAGGGTTTAGGGTTTAGGGTTTAGGGTTTAGGGTTCCCTAAATTCTGGGTCCCTTTTTGGGGTGCCCTAAATTAGAGGGGCCGCCTCATAATCAGGGCCTCACAAGGGACCATATTTTAGAACTCACCATATGAAATTATAGGGGTACCATATTGGGATCCACATTATGAGTAGGGATTCCTAGGGACCCCAAATCTTATTTCCCAAACTAACCCCTACATGGAGGTTTCCGAAATTAGGGTGTATCGTATTGGGGTCCAATCTTTTGAGGGAATCCTACTATTTGGGGATCTATTTTTGGGGTCCCCTATTTTCGTACCCTAAACCCATACCCTAACCCCTAACCCCTAACCCCTAACCCCTAACCCCTAAACCCTAACCCCTAACCCCTAAACCCTAAACCCTAAACCCTAAACCCTAAACCCTAAACCCTGAACCCTAAACCCTAAACCCTAAACCCTAAACCCTAAACCCTAAACCCTAAACCCAAACCCTCAACCCTGAACCCCCCTAAAGGAACTCTGTGCGGCTGGAGCTGAGGTTCAAACTGAACTCGAGCAGCTGCCTCTGACAAGCAGGTACTTGGAGGCTCATGGTACTTATCAACCAATTTTAACTGTACTTATAACTGTACTTCTAACCCCATTAGGGCACTTAAGGGGCTTGTAAGTGGGTTGTAAGTACAGCTATAATTGGTTAACAAGTACCATGAACCTCCAAGTAGTGGCAACCGGCCACCAACAATCAATGTGTGATGCCTTGCCCCGTGTCTGGCATTGGAGCTGAGGCTGCGGCTGGGACGCTCTTCGCTTCTACAGGCTTGGCATCCGACTCCGGCTTTGCTGATGCTGTTGGCGCTGGTACCGGCTTCGGCTGGGCCGGGAACTTGTCGTACAGCTTCTGCCGAACAATTTCGAGGACCGGTGTTGGCACCGAGTGGCCGCACTCAAGCATCTGCTCAGACCCCCACAACAGCACTCCCCTGGGCCTGCATAGAATCGGGCTTCACCGTCCGCAGGTGTGCATCGTAGTATGGCCTGTCACACAACTACGGATGCAGGAAAACACATCCACTTGTCACAAAAGCCGGGCACCATGAGAACTACAAGCAGGGCTCTCTATTCGATCTGATCATCTATATCGCTCCGAATGGATCACCAACACTTGGAACATGCCTGACTAGATGTCTGCTGTGGACGACCTGGCCTGAATGGCGTAAGGGCCACAGCCTCAGCAAACCGCAAAGTGCTGGGCGACACCGACGAGCTGTGATGCTTTTCCCTGCGTCTGGCATGGGAGCTGAGGCTGCGGCTGGGACGCTCTTCGCTTCTACAGGCTTGGCATCCGACTCCGGCTTTGCTGATGCTGTTGGCGCCGGCGCGGGCTTGGGCTGGGCCGGGAACTTGTCGTACAGCTTCTGCCGAACAGATCGAACAGGTTTGAGGACGGGTGTCTGTACAACCACGTATCCCCACATACTCCAGTAGCAAAGCATCCCACACAGCCCGAAAACGTCCCTGACCTGCATAGAATCGGGGTTGACAGTCTGCAGATGTGCTTCGTAGTATGGCCTGCCACACAACTACGGGTACAAGAGTGCAGCTTCTGTCACAAGCCAGACACCGCAGCAGCACTAACTAGGGCAGCTTAATCGATCCGATGAACGTACAAGGCTACAAGTAGATGCGTGCTGTGGACAATCATGTGGACAATCTGGCCTAAACGGCGTCAGGGCCACAGCCTCAGCAAACCGACAAGTGATTGGGCGGCCGGTGGTGGAGAGCTGTGATGCCTTGCCCCGTGTCTGGCATTGGAGCTGAGGCTGCGGCTGGGACGCTCTTCGCTTCTACAGGCTTGGCATCCGACTCCGGCTTTGCTGAGGCTGTTGGCGCCGGCGCGGGCTTTGGCTGGGCCGGGAACTTGTCGTACAGCTTCTGCCGAACAATTTCGAGGACCGGTGTTTGCATCGAATGGCCGCACTCAAGCATCTGCGCAGACCCGCCCCACAACACTCCCCTGGGCCTGCATCGAATCGGGCTTCACCGTCCGCAGGTGTGCCTCGTAGTATGGCCTGTCAGGAGCACATCCTCTTGTGACAAAAACTGGGCACCACGAGCACTACAAGTAGGTCTCTCCATTCGATCTCATCGTCTATATCGCACAGAATGGACCATCGAAACTTGGAACATGCTTGACTAGATGTCTGCTCTGGACGACCTGGCCTAAATGGCGTAAGGGCCACAGCCTCAGCAAACCGACAAGGATGGGTGCGGCGACGAGCTGTGACGCCTTGCCCTGTGTTGCCCGCTGCTTCACTTCTTTGCTTGGACTGGGGCGGTGACGCGCTACAACAGCACGTCGCGGAGAAAAATTGATGCCCTGCCCTGTATCCGGCATTGCAGCTCAGGCCGCGGCTGGGACGCTCTTCGCCTCTGCCGGCTTGGCATCCGCCTCCGGCTTTGCTGTCGCAGTTGGCACCTCAGCTTTGCCGGAATGTGCGCGCCCTAACCCTAAACCCGAAACCCTAAACCCTAAACCCTCAACCCTAAACCCTCAACCCAACCCTCAACCCTAAACCCTAAACCCTAAACCCTAACGCTCAGGTGCGGATACTGAGCTTGGGCCACGGCTGCTGGAGCTGCTGGAGCCTTCAAAGTGGCCTGAGCCGCAATTGTCACCGACATCATGCACATGCATGCGAACATACAGACATACCCTAACCCTAAACCCTAAACCCTAAGCAGCAAATAAGGCTTGAGACTTACAGTACGTCAGGACGGGTTACAGCCTTCAAGGCCTCAGCTTAACATCAGAACAGCCCTGACTCTGCCAGGACCCCAGGCCGTGCTTCAAGCTAAAGGGCGCTGAACATCACAGAACCAACCCTAAACCCTAAACCCTAAACCCGAAACCCTAAACCCTAAACCAGAGGCCTTCAAAAGTGACAAAGCGGGCCATGCCTGCAGCTTCGATGGGTTCGGCGCGATCCAAGTGCCCACAGAGGGCCTATGTGCGAACCTTAGAGTTTAGGGTTTAGGGATTCGGGTTTCGGGTTTAGGGTTCACCTTCGTCAACTTGATGCCTTGCTGCCCGAACTGAGCATCCGACTTCTCAGGAGCCACCTTGGACAAGCAAAGGAGCACACATCGGGCAGCTCCCTTCTCGTAATTGAAAAACTCCGAAACGCGCATCTGAGGCCCAAGCTGTGGCTACTGGACTTGCCGGGGCCGCTGGGGCCGCTGTGGCTGGCGCGGTGGGGATGGAGGCCTGTTAGAATGTTCTCCTTGCGTAAGCAGACATCGGACACGGACGCAAGAAAATGAACCAGAGTATGAAACCATGCTGCGTGGGGTGACGCCCAGTACCCGTGTGATAGGGCAGAACACACACACACACTAAACCCTAAACCCTAAACCCTAAACCCTAAACCCTAAACCCTAAACCCTAAACCCTAAACCCTAAACCCTAAACCCTAAACCCTAAACCCACCGCTTCCACTGCCTGAGGCGAAGGAAAGGCCCCGGATGGCCTGCATCTTCTTGGGCTTCGAGGCGAGCCAAGTGCCCACGGACGGCAGCATGGAGAACCTGAGGCGTCACTCGCTGCGATCCAAGATGCACGAGTTACACACAAGAATACCAAGAATGATAGTAGTAGTAATAAAAAATCGTAATAGTAGTAATGATGAGAATAGTAGTGACAATAATAGTAATGCTAAAAAACAAGAAGAAGAAGAAGGAGAAGAATAATAGTCAATCATTACACCAGCCGCGCTGCTGAGGCTGAAACTTCTGAACTGGAGCAGCTGCCTGACAGGCAGACTAGGCAGGTAGTAGAAAGCGGCGATGTGCCGTTAGCATGTGACGCCTTTTATTGTCGTGCGTTGCAACCGGGGCTGCGGCTGGGACGCTCTTCGCTTCCGCGGGCTTCGCATCCGATTCCGGCTTTGCTAGCGCTGTTGGCGCTGGCACCGGCTTCGGCTGGGCCGGGAACTTGTTGTACAGCTTCTGCCGCGGGTGTTTGCGCACAATGGCCCCACACACTCCAGGAAAGCATCTGCGCAGACCCCGCCCCACAACAGTCCCCTGGCCTGCATAGAATCGGGCTTCACCGTCCGCAGGTGTGCATCGTAGTATGGCCTGTCACACAACTACGAGTGCAGGAAAACACATCCTCTTGTGACAAAAGCCGGGCACCACGAGCACTACAACCAGGGCTTCTTATATTCTATCTGATCATCTATATCGCACAGAATGGATCACCAACACTTGGAACATGCTTGACTCTAGATGTCTGCTGTGGACAACCTGGCCTGAATGGCGTCAGGGCCACAGCCTCAGCAAACTGCAAAGTGATGGGCGACAACCGGCGAGCTGCAATGCCTTGCCCGTGTCTTTCATTGGAGCTGAGGCTGCGGCTGGGACGCTCTTCGCTTCTACAGGCTTGGCATCCGACTCTGGCTTTGCTGTTGTTGTTGGTGCCGGCGCGGGCTTTGGCTGGGCCGGGAACTTGTCGTACAGCTTCTGCCGAACAATTTTGAGGACGGGTGTTTGCACCGAGTGGCCGCACTCCAGGAAAGCATCTGCGCAAACATCACCCCACAGCACTCCCCTCTGGCCTGCATAGAATCGGGCTTCACCGTCCGCAGGTGTGCATCGTAGTATGGCCTGTCACACAACTATCAGTACAGGAGTGCATCCTCACAAAAGCCAGGCGCCGCGTCAAATTTCAGCACAAGTATAGCTCTCTACTCGATCTGATCTTCTATAACGCTCAACATGGATCACCAAAACGTGAGAGACACGAGGCTGGATGTCTGGAATCGGGCCTAAATGGCGTCAGGGCCACAGCCTCAGTAAGCCGCTAAGTAATGGGCGGCAAGGGGCTAACAACAACAATAATAATAATAGTAATAATAATAAACAGCTGCGATGCCTTGCCCGATTTCTGAGGCTGCCGCTGGGATGCTCTTCGCTTCCGCGGGCTTCGCATCCGATTCCGGCTTTGCTGATGCTGCTGGCACTGGCGCTGGCTTCGGCTGAGCCGGGAACTTGGCGTACAGCTTCTGCGGAACAGGTGTTGAGGAGGACAGGAGCTTGCAAGGCCAACCCCCCCACCCCCCCCCCCGGAAAACTTCAGGAAGGCATCACCACAGGACAGACCGTCCCCGCCACACTCCCCTGGCCTGCATGGAATCGGGGTTGACGATACGCAGATTTGCAGCATAGTACGGCCTCTCGGGCAACTTCGGAAGGGTCTTAGTACCAAAAGTCTCTTCTGAGCCACAGTGTCAGAGAGATCTACTCGATCTTTCCCAACTGTCGCTGACCGAAGCCCTACCCCTCCATGCGATCCCCGATCCCTGAGATGAGGGGTGTATACTGTATACTGCATTCGTAGTACCAGTAGCCGTGTTGCTAGTATTACTCTTGGTGGACATCGCCTGAACGGTGTCAGGGACGTAGCGGTGGCCTCAGGATTGTCAGAAATGGCTGAAGGCCAACTTCTGTGCATCACGCCATATCCCGCCTGCATTGGCAGAGGTGGCACCGGCGGCAGTTCCTTCTGGGCATCCATTTGCCTGAGGGATGTCCACACAAAACTATTTGGCCCGTGCCGCTTGGGATTTTCTACACTTGCACCGTGCACCAGGCAAGCAAAACTCATTTACTGCCTCGTTTTTGCTACAACGTCTGAGCAGTCCAATCATTGATGCAGTTGCAAAGGTCACAAACACATGTTAGCTTGAGGTTCGCACGGAACTGGCGCGGGCGTCTTGGCTGCCTGTTGCTATATGGTCAGTTCTCGAAATTATGGTCCCTTTCTGGGTAGGGGGCCGCCTTTATCACAGGAACCCCAAAAAGGGACCCTAATCTACAGAAGTGACCCTATTATGGGACAAGCCATTCAACACAGGCTGCACTGATTTGCACTCGGCAGAGGCAACTTGAGGGCTTGGCAAGCTTCAGGATCTGCGTTGACAAGAAGGCCAGGGGCTCCGCCGGCTTCTCACGGATAACCTACAAGATTCTGCACTCTAAGCCGTGGGTCTCAGACGGCTACCCGCTCGCTGAGTGGTACCTCGCGGATCGCATCAGTAATGACTTCCTCCACATGGTGTGACGCCAGGTACCTCTGCAACGACTCAGCACTTAGGAAAGCACTCCAGACGGAGCATACTTGCAAGCCAGCGGACAGGTCGCTATCGTGTCCATTAACTTTCCGATCTCAAGAAGCTTGCGGTCGATCATGTTGTCGCGCACACCAGGCGGTATTTTGCTCGTTCTCATTTTGCTCGGCCAAGACATGCTTGGTAATGAGGCCGTAGTTGCGCTTGTCACTGTTGGTTGTCTTGCTTGCTGAGTGGGGATGAAGGGCTAACGAAGCAGACCTATATGTTTGACTTCATTTGGGGGTTTACGAAAAATAGGGGATCCCAAAAATAGACCCCATATAGTAGGATTCCCTTATCATAAGATTCCCCAATAAGGCAACCCCTGAGGTCGTAAACCCCCCCCCATTCTGCTATGACAGCGCAGACAAATTCATTGACAGCTGCTCGCATGCTTGCAACGCTGAGGCTCACGTCTGTGCTGCGTCGAGCTTGGTCTTTACCTGGCAGTGTGAGAGAACCCAATACCGAGAACCCTTTGCGCCCTACGTACCACGTCCTAGATGCCTCACACAGACCCACTGGTAGTTTCTGCAACCAAAAGAACTCCCCTCAAGCTGGTGTTGGGACGGCAGGGCGTGCGCCTTGGTATTCTTGCCCTTCGGCTCCATTTCCTGCGAGAAAAGCTGGGAAACAACTACTAAATATGGTATGGGGCAAGGTACGTCTTCCCCATATTTAGCGCTCGGGACGGGCGAATCGCCAGAAAAGGAAAGGAGAAGAATCTGAGAGGAGAGGTCTGGGTCGACGGCTGGGATGTCACCGTGGAGCCCCAGCCTAGCAGATTAAAAAAAGTGTCTTCATACTCGTAGGGTTTAGGGTTTAGGGCTTAGCGTTTCGGTTTTAGGGTTTAGGGTTTAGGGTTTACGTGTGCAGGATGGTACACATCCTGCTCCACTTGACCAGCCTCAAGGGCAGGTGGGACATTCCTGGGATGTCCACCGGAACCTGTGCCAAGAGGGACATGGCCGGGAATTAAAGGGTGGAAGGAGGGACTAGAAGGGACCCTTCATCTGATTCCCCTATATAACCTGTATCTGTACCTTATGTAGTCCCTTTATACATAAGTAGCCCCCAAATAACCCCTGAGCAACCCCGAAGGTTCCATATAAGGGTCCCTCCTTTAGTCCCTTGAGGGAAAGCGATTTTCTCAAATTGGGGGCCTCCACGCTCTGATCACTTTGGTGTAGCTTCCCCAGGCTGAGGGTCAGATGTCCAACTCGCTGGAAGACCTGCGAAGCAAGTGCTGAAGCCCGCCTCGTTTGGGGTTGAGGGTTTAGGATTTAGCGTTTAGGGTTTAGGGTTTAGGGTTTAGGGTTGAGGGTCATCCTCCCCGCCTCAATGCGGGCGAGACCGCTGGGGTCTTCCATCTTTGGAAACTTGTACGTCTTGGCGGTACCGAATCCTGGGTCCAGGAGTATGTCAGGGCGACCCTGGACTGGACCCCGCCGCACGTGACACTAGACATGGACCTTAGGATCGGGCGGGATTGCTTCTGGAAATCTCCGATGCGCATCGACAGAAATGTATCCTTCGGGGTGGCAAACCTCAGAAGCTGAGTTTGCAAGCATCAATCCGCGACGGATCGCGACGGTGCCCCCGCCACTGCCGTGACACAGGGCCCGCTGGGCCTAGGGCCCCTCTGCGGCATCAACACGGATCTCCATCTTGCTCACCGCTGCCTGCCACAACGCGTCGTTGCACTCAACACGCTCGTCCGATGCTGCAATTCGATAAGCAACTGGACGAAAGTTAGGGACACATCAGATCCTCATTCTGAAGGCTTCTGCAACAAAAGGGCGTCGTCCTGAGCTCGCCGCAGACTCCCCCAACAAAGCCGACGGCAAGGGGTGGATGGGAGCGAGGACTGAACACTGCGCTGATCGAGCCGTGTGGTTACCGCATCCAAGCAATTGCTCGGTACAGTTGCTCGGTGGCTCTATAGTAATACCAGTCCTTATTAGAGATTCTAAGGGTTACGATAATCCCTACAAGGACTGTTAGTATATGAGGGGGAGCAGCTCCAGTGATTCTCGTGGTGCAGCGGCCTTTTGACTCAATGCAGGCATGTGCCGCAGCCGCTACCGAAGTGGGTGAGACCGTGTCACTCGTCGACCGTGGGTTGCTAGGTCTGCCAGGTTACCGAAAGGACCTTCAAGTTTAACTTAAACCCCAAACCATCCCTAAACCGTCTTTAAATATTTATGAATATTTTATATACCATTATCATTCTGCGGCCTGCTTGGCTGCCGCCATTGTCTTGGCAATGGTCCAAAAAAGCCAAGATTCAGGACAGCAATCTCTCGACCGCGCGCACCCGAAGGCCCTAAGTTTTCTGGGATGATCGTTTGCTGCACAGGCTTCCCTTGTCAGGAAGAAGTTACAAAAAGTCATCCGCCTAGGCAGTTTCTCCTTTGCGGAGCCTGCATTCATCGATGACAGGCTGAAGCAGCCGATGTTGCAAAAGTGGCGTCAGCGAAGCGCCAACGCCAAGCTTCGTGCGTCGCAAGAAACGTTGCTTGGTTCGCCTGAAGTGTCTGCTCCATGTGCACTACGCCTCGATGCACTACGAAGCTTGCCAAACCATTGCCAAGCCATCTCAGAACCACAACCCTAAACATCCCTAAACCCTGTGACCCCGAGATCAAGCCAACGTTTTTGGTCCAGGTCTTTGGCTGGGCATCGAATTCCTGGCCAAAATGGCACCATCATTGCACAGGTTGTACTTTACCGCTGCCGAGACACAGCACAGCATCCCAGCTTCAGGACGCAATGGCACTGCGGTCCCCAGGGCTTGGAAGCCGCCGCAAATTCCAAGTCTTCTTTGAAACTTGCACAGGTGGCATGCTTTTCTAAGCCGTGGCATAGGCATATAAGGCCCTTGTGCACAAAGCCTCCCAGTTGCGGAGGAAAGGTGCACCCGTATGTCTAGATGGCAGCATCGCCAGGAGGAGCAGGCAGGGGCCAAACGCCCATGACTTGGCTTGCTCACTCTGGCTTCATAGCAACCTGGGTGCCATGCCATGCTCTGCTATACATACATATATATATATATATATATATATATAGATACATAAAACATATATATATATATTCTTTTTAAGTCATTTATTTCTTTATGCCTGTATTATATTTGTATTTATACAAAGAGAGCTTGTCACAAGCAACGAACAGGTTACGCCCAGCTCCGTGCAATGTACTCGAAGTCAGTCCCGCGGCGCAGCAGCGACCATCCTGCACGTAAGTCCACGGCTATTCCTTCAACTGCTCTCTCCGAATATAGAGTAGTATAGAGTAATATAGAGTAATATAGAGTTAATATAGAGTCATATAGAGCAATTTTAGTAATATAGAGTAATACAGAGTCACATAGAGTCATATAGAGTGATATAGAGTCATATAGAGTCATATAGAGTAATATAGAGTCATATAGAGGGGCACCTGCCATCAGCACCGGAATGACGCCAAACAGAATTATAGCCGGATAACCTGAGGACAAGTGCCACAGGGCAGGCTGAAGGCTTCGACAGTGAGCTCTCAGGACACGGCCTGATATCGTGTTGTCTGCGAAAATAAATCCGAACAGCGCAAGTCGGCAGAGCCAGGAACGTGGGCCTCCCATTGCAGTCCGCACAACTGGTTTTGCCCGAAACCCTAAACCCCTTTAATCTTGAGCCGATAAAACCCCGACACCCCCGAAACCCCCCAAACCCCCCAAACCCCCCAAACCCCTAAACCCCCTAAACGCCCTGAACCCCTAAACCCCCAAAACCCCTAAACCCCCTAAACTAAACCCTAAACCCCCAAAACCCCTACCCCTAAACCCCCCCTAAACCCCTAAACCCCTAAACCCCTAAACCCCCTCTTTTAAACTCTAAACCCCGTAGACATTCCCAAAGGCGCCTTCTCTGAGTCCGGGCATCTCCAAGCGAGACTCGGGGCTTTGCGCAGGCCTCGGCTTCCGCGGGCCAAGGCTTCAAGTGCCGCAGATCGCGACTCCCATTTTGACCTAAATATGTGCAAGTCTGGCCGGCTCTTAGTAGGGAATGAGGGAACGAGGTACCCTATAAATCCCTTAAAGGGTACATGTAGCCGAGTTCCCTCATTCCCTGCGAAGAACCAGGGGGAAGTTGCAGCCCGAAACGGTTTAGGGTTTAGGATTTCGGGAACTCAGTCCCCACAATACCCTTGTGGGGTCCTTTCTTTCAGGCTGCCCCTATTATTTAGGGTACCCAAACAGGGACCATAGTGTAGAAAACTAACCATCGGCATATATTTGTATATATATATATATACCGTATATACATATTAAAGTTACAGTCCTACAAACTGAGTCCCCATAATTATACGTTTCACGTGAAGTGAGGGAAAGGACGAAATCCAGCGGTAACACACGAGGAGCAACCGGTGACCCCTCTTGTCTGGGGTTGGGGGGTGGGAGGGAGGAAGGAGGGCGGGAGGGGGAAGGGGGCAGGGGAGGCGAGGGGGGAAGGGGGAAGGGAGGCTCCGACCTCGCTTTCGGTGATAATCGATCTAGGCAGAAGTGCGCATGTGTCTATATGGGGGTTGACGAAAATAAGGGATCCCCAATGTGGTCCCCCAAATCAATAGGACTCCCTTATAACAAGGATCCCAATATGGTACCCCTAACCCTAAACCCTAAACCCTAAACCCCTATATGTCAGCAGCTTCACCGCCGAGCTCGCATGCAGTGGGGCTACCAAGGCAAAATCCGCCCCCCGAGGGCCGAGCTGCTGCGCATCCTGAGGAATTCGCATGGATACGCAAAAAAACACAAAAAAAACGTGGTAGGTATTGAAGTGTTGGTGCCCGACCTCATTCTCCGTCTCAGCTGGACCTCAGCAGAACCCCCTTGCAGAATGCCAGCGCGCGAACTTCAGCGAAGACGCTCTTACCACCGACAGGGCCCGCGGGACCCCTGCGTGGTGGGACGTTCTGGTAATACCGCCCCTCCACCATGTCAGAGATCACCTGGGCTCGGATGCGTGGACTTCTGGGGTCCGGAGATTAGGAGAGCTGCGGCTAGCTGGGCTAGCTTGGCCCGCTTGGCGTTACAGTTCTGAGAGGGGAGCAACTGCGCCGGCAATGGTGTACAGCACCATAACACCGGAGATTTGGCTGATCCCGGCCGCCAGAGCCTGGGAAGGCTCGACGGATGTCTCTCCGCTTACACGCTTACAGACTCTTTGAAGGATTCGGGGACGGTGTTGGATGAGAGCCCGCTAGAAGCGCCTTCTCCGCGCCGTTCATGGAGGCCATCATTGCGCCAACGTCCTGGGAAGCAAGCAGCTTGCATCTTGATTCCGCGCCAGTAATTCAACTTTCCGAGCTGCGCTTTCATCTGGGCAAGTGGAATTCCAACATAAGCTTCTGTCACAAGGGGGGTTTCCGAAAATACGGGTTCCCTTTTTAGGGGGTCCCTTTGAGGGGATTCTATTCTATTTAGGGGTATGAAAAGGGGTACCCCTATTTGGGGAAATGCCCCCACATCTCACATGCAGCATGAAGAACCAAGTCAAACTCCTGGCGCAGTTGCTCGGACCCGACTTGCAGAATGTAGGCCAAGAGACTCCCAGCCCTGCAGCATGGCGAATAGGGGTACCCAATGGTACCCTCTATACATACATATATATATATACATATATATACATACATATATATATATAGCAAAAAATCTATATGTATATGTGTATATATATATGTCCCCAATTAGGTACGATGATCCTCATTGTAGGAACTCGCATGAAGGGTGCTCTTGTGGTCGGAACCCCCCCCCTACGTGGCAGTCAACTGCTCAGACACCCTGGAATGTACACATGTCTCGGCCTCGGGACGAGCTTGGTGAGTGCCATCATGACGAGCGCAAAGCATTGCGCCGTGCATGTGATTTGCAAAGTGTGCATCTTTACGAGGATCAAGCCAATGGAAAAGTGCCTTAGGCACCGCGCAGCAATGCTGCACGACATAAAACTGAGGAAGCAGACAACCCCCATCTGCTGAGGCGTCAGGCGTTCGCCATGGGATGTTCTTGACGCCAATGCTGGAGGAGAGCCTTGCCCACTGCAGGCAGACCTGAGCCAGGCAACCAGCATCACCAGAACGCCATCCTCTGGATACCTACGCGACGATGACAGTGTAGGTGAGCATGTCATGCTCACCAGAGCCTCGGCCTCACCAGGGTCTCACAAGCTTTCTATTTGTTTCATGAGAAGGACGACAAGATCAAACAAGCAAACAAGCAAGCAAGCAAAACAAGCAAGCAAAACAAGTAAGCAAAACAAACAAACAAACAAACAAACAAACAAACAGACAGAGACAGACGGACAAACAAGCACACAAACAACTCATCGCACAACAATTACAACCTCGAAGCCGACCTCGCGATGAGAAGCCCTCCAGTTGGCCGAGCGGCGTAGCCGATCTCAACCAGCCCTTGCATGTGCCTTCTGCCCTGCAAGGAATCCGCTTCGGAAAAAAATGAGCAAGCGAGCTGCGAAGAGTTGGCTTCTGAGGTGGGCCTGCTGAAAGCGCGCTTTCAAGGAAGCCACGTAGCCATCCGAAGATTCGGCCAGGTACGACACTGCCTCGGTGCGGGGCCGTGCTGAGCTTTAGCTGTTTCGATATGGGTAGTTCTCGAAATTAGGGTCCCTTTTTGGGGTCCTATATCTAATAAGGCACCCTTATTATAATAAGGACCCCCAAAAGGGACCCTAATTTAGAGAACTACCCATATGTCTTTTTTGTCACCCTCTGTGGCGTAGGCCGGCAGAAACACGGGCTGAACCTGACGGCCAAGAGCTGACGTCGCAGATTCTTAAGCACCAATTGACCCCCAAAAAGGGTTTAGGGTTTAGGGTTTAGAGGGTTTAGAGGGTTTAGAGGGTTTAGGGTTTAGGGTTTAGGGTTTAGGGTTTAGGGTTTAGGGTTTAGGGTTTAGGGTTTAGGGTTTAGGGTTTAGGGTTTAGGGTTTAGGGTTTAGGGTTTAGGGTTTAGGGTTTAGGGTTTAGGGTTTAGGGTCCCCCGGTGGACGGCTCGCAATAGCAGGGAGCCTTGACTTGAGGGACGATGTGTACCGCGTTGCCCTCGTTGCCGTTCGACACTTTCGCATGCTCCTGTCACTCAGCTGCGCACACGAGGCCTGCGTATTCCGCGTGCATTCCAGACTTCCCGGGCGCAGAAGGCCTTCCGGGCTTATGTGGCAACCGAACATCCCCAGTGAGTTTCGATTTCATCGGCTTCGCCGACTTCATCGATTTCAGTTTCTTGAACTCTTCTTCAGGTTCGCTCCCGCACCGTGATGTTCGACTTCACCGATGTGCAATGTCGATGAAATCGCAAATCGTCTTGAGGTTGGTTTCTGGGCAGCACAAAAACGAATGAACATAGATGACATCGAACAAATCGAAAAATCCTCACCGATGTCCAACTTCATCGATTTCGACGAAATTGATGCTCCTTCTTCCGATACTTGATACTAGCCCGCAACAGGATACTCGAAACTCTAAGCCCTAAACCATAAAGGCCATACATAGGGCTTATACTTTACGGCACAGGGTCAGCAGAGCTGGTATCGAGCTTTTGGAGGGCTCTAAGTCTTGCCAGGTTGTTCAGGTGTGTTGTTGTCGGCAGGTTGAGGGTTTTAGGGTTTCGGGTCTAGGGTTTGCTGTGATATAGGCGCCGGCCCCCCACTGTAGGGGCCGCCCGAAGCCTTGAGTTTAAGGTTTAAGGATCCTGCGCTGACTTCCGAAGTTGTAGGATCTCGCCGGCTGGTCGCAGAACCCTAGACCCTGTTGACCCTAAACCCTAAACCCTAAACCCTAAACCCTAAACCCTAAACCCTAAACCCTAAACCCTAAACCCTACACCCTAAACCCTAAACCCTAAACCCTAAACCAACCCCTGTGACAACGATCGTCCGATGGTCCTTCTTGGCATGTGACAGCTCCCAGAGCGCTGCAAAGAAGCATTTGCAGAACATGTGGTGGTCCTGGGGCTTGTGGTGTTGGGATTTGGGACTTTACGAAAATTGGGGACCCCTAAACAAAAACAAATGGCAGGACAGCCTTTGAACTTAGACCCCATTAAGGTACCTCATCGTAAACCCCCATTTGGGGCTTAGGATGGGCTTCGGGGTGTAGGGTTTAGGGTTTAGGGTTTGGGGTTTAGGGTTTAGGGTTTTGGGTTTGGGGCTGCATATCCGGGTTTTGGAGTCTGGAACCGAGGGAAAACACCACCTCCGGACCAAGCCCGACAGTTTCCTAAACCCAGCACCACAACATTCCAAAAAACAACTAGACTCCCAAGGCATCCTGAAATCCGACTGCTTATGGAACAGTTGTCCACATGACGATGCTTGGCCGTTTGCCGGTTACATGCCAGATTACCAGCTGTCTTGGCTACGTGGCAGCTGATTCCGCCGCGGTTGCCCGCTTGTGCTGGCTGCCGTGGCATCTGCTGTCCTGTATGCCATGCTAGTACAATTGCCTCGCTGTGGCTGCCACTCCTTTCGATTGCGGTTTGCGCCGAGCTCTTCCCCAGAAAGACTATTTTTTGGGCACCAGAGTGGGCAGGCACTTCCTCCCCCCGCGCAGGCAGATCTCCCCACAGCACTTCTTGTTGCATATCTGCAGCCAAACAAGGTTCGCCTCTTCGCAGACTTCCGCGCTCCAGACTCAGACGGAGATTTCAAGCCGCCAAGCGCTGTTCGCCCTTACCCGCTCCGAAGTGAGGGCAGGACGAGACCTCAAATTTTGCGGGTTTGGGTTTCGGGCTTAAGGTACCCCAAACCCTAAACCCTAAACCCTTTTTTCGGATAGCCAGAACATGCTGGCGACATGGGCTCTCCTCGGCAATGACATCCACATCCCAGCCATCCACTTCAGGATGGGAAGCCAACTGAAGTGTCATCGAGTACCTGGCACAAGAACAACTCCATGTCAACAAGGTTTTTAGGGTTTAGGGTTTAGGGTTTAGGGTTAGGGTTTAGGGTTTAGGGTTTAGGGTTTAGGGTTTAGGGTTTAGGGTTTAGGGTTTAGGGTTTAGGGTTTAGGGTTTAGGGTTTAGGGTTTAGGGTTTAGGGTTTAGGGTTTAGGGTTTAGGGTTTAGTGTTAGGGTTTAGGGTTTAGGGTTTAGGGTTTAGGGTTTAGGGTTTAGGGTTTAGGGTTTAGGGTTTAGGGTTTAGGGTTTAGGGTTTAGGGTTTAGGGTTTAGGGTTTCCTCTGCACCCCAAATCCCAAAGCCCAAGCCTCTAAGACAAGTGCATGACATCTCAGATTAGGCTATCTCACGGAGTCCAAGGAGGACCTCGAAACCCAAAGGACAATGTCAACAAATTCAAGGCCTTGAGTGTCTGAAGGATTTTTGGGGTTTACCGAACCCGACCAGAAAACATGGCAGCACGACGAGGAATAGGCAAAGGCTGGAAAGATGCGCTGCCATGACAAAGCGGAGAGCTCGAAAATCAGCCTGAGTCGCGGAAAACTAGTAACTAGTGACAGCATGCACAATGATACTTGACATGCCAGTTGTGTCTGCCGGCCAGCTGCAGCTTGCTGAAATGCTTGCCAGGAGCGTCCCATGGGCGGTTGCCCGAGTCACGGCAGGCACGTTGAACAAGTTGCGTAGCTGCAGCAGAGATGAAAGTCCAACCATCCAGAGGTCTACTGGTTTACACATGGTTACACTGTTTACACCATGTGTACATGATGTTTACAAAGTGTTTACACATGTTGACACGAAACGTGTAACAAGCCGGGTTGACAAGCATGACAGGCGGCTGCCAAATGGTCCAGGATCGTTCCTCCCTGTCCATCATCAGGCCTCCCATTTACGTTTTGCCATTGTCTGCACGATTTGGGCATAAGGACAATGTGCCGACCCTGGTACGTCATCGCACTGAGATAATGCGGATGGAGCCTCAGCAAGCGTGTCTCATGGTATTCCTCTCTCATCCTGTCTCTGTTGCAGTCATGCTGTGGATGCAAGAAGAAGAACATAAGCTGAGCGCAGTGTGTCAGCATCAGCCACAGTGAGAAAGACCTTCGACCTAAGCCGCACATGAAGTGGAGTTTCTTCCAGTGCTTGAAGTCGGAACTTTAGGAACTTTCAGAATAATTTGGCTCTCCGCAGATCTCGCTTGGACAGTGAGGCTCCATATCTTCGCAGTGCCTGTGACGCAAGTGCGCGCGTGCCAAAGCAGATCGCTGAATGCCCCATGCACACGTGACCTCACGGAAAGCCCACTGGGTGTTGGAGGACTTGCCCGCAACTTCGCCGGGAAGTCCCTGCCCGGGATCATGGATGGCGAAGCCCTTTACAGTCATTGCGAGACTAGCGGACTAGCTGCTCTTGTACACGCTCCACAGGCGAGCTTCTCCAGGTTGGTTTCGGAATGCTTCAGATGTCGCGGACCTATCGGTACCAGGTACCCAAAACCCAACAGAAGTACGGCTTTTGGTACTCGTTTAGCCAAAGAACACCCCATCTCCACGCACTACTATACAAAAGGAACCGTAGTCACACTCACCAACAGCCGTGCTAAAAACCTACCTGAATTCCTCGCATCTCTTGATCCTCTGTACCTTCCTCTACTGGCATTCGTCCTCTAATCTCCGGGGTGCTCTACATCATTGTTCCGGCTCCATCTCTGACATATTCCTCATGGGTACCCAAAGGTCCTAGACTCGCGCCCCCTAAATCCTACAGCAAAGGCTCTAACATGAAACGTTACAATTTGGACATACACATAACCCAATACACATGAATGTATGCTTGCTACCTAGTTCATATCCTGATTATACCAGTGAATATCATGATTGTATATAGACACCTCACCCCCGACATGCACCCGGGTCTCCGAAGGCCTGCGGGTGGTAGGTTGCAAAAATGTCTGCGAAAAGGTGCTTCTGGCACAGGCGCGCGCGAGCTTTTTCGGCCGCCCCAGGGAATCCCCCAAGAACCGCAATCGAGCACAGCTGGAGCTTCCGTCCTTCTCCGCGATGATTCTCTCTGCCTTCACACGGGCTGGCTGACCTTCTCGGCCCTGTCGCGCAAGCAAGTCGGGATGGCATGATGCGCGCGAGGTGAGATACCCACGAGTTCCACACTCCCTCCCCTCGGTCGTCCCTTCCCTGCCATTCCCTGCCTCCATACCCAGCACAACATGCACACAGTTCTTCGCTAGCTTTGAGCGGGCAAGGTTGTCGAGGGTCTCCTGGGTTGCAGTGCAGCAGCGGCATGTCCCCAGCATCCGCCGTGCTAGTTCGGACCTTCAGCATCTTCTCGTTTTCCAAATAGTTTGGCAGCAGAATGATGTGCTTCACCCCGCTTCTTTCCTGCAGCACATGACATGAGAAGTGTAGAATCTCCGCAGCACAGGCTTAAGCTACCTTCGCCAGCGCGCGCGCAGCTCGGCTTTTGCAACTGCTACTGTACTAGAGCCTTTGAGATCAAGCCTGTATGCCCTTTTTGACAGTCACTCTCCACACAGGCTGTCATGCATGGGCGAAGTATTTACCTGAACACTTCTCAGGCCAGGCCAGGGGATTTACGACGTCTTAGGGGGTGCTTCATGGGGCTCCTTGTTGTAAGGGGATCCTACTATTTGGGGGTCTATATTCGGGGTCCCCTATTGTTCGTAAAGCCCCCATTTGATCGTCTCTCTCCACACAGGCTGTCATGCATGGGCGAAGAAATTACCTGAAAACTTCTCCGGCCAGACATCCTGTCTGCTCTTTGGGGGGGGGGGGGTTTACGATATTCGGGGTACCTTATTTGTTATAAGGGGTATCCCACTACTAAGGGGGTCTAAACTAGGGGCCCCCCCCCGTTTAGTATCCTAAACCCCCTAAGTTTCCAAGCTCCTGATAGCCGAGAGCAGAGCCCTGCTCATGCGGGGGGTTTCCGAAAGTAGGGGGTGCCTTCTTGGGGTCCTGATTAAAAGGGGAGCCTACTATTTGGGTGACTATCTTATAGGGGGGGGTCCTGATGATAAGGGGATCCTACTTTTGGGGGACTGTATCAGGGCCATTAGGGGGTCCCTTATTTGCGCAAACTCCCAATGCAGAGTAAAAGCGCGCCTCCTCTGGGATCTGACGCAAGCGCTCATGCCAGTCGATGGACCCCGCCTGCCCATCTCCAGCGTTCCCAAAAAAAAGCGCTTGGGGAAGCCCGGGGCCGTTTCTCAAAATGAGGGTCCCTTTTTGGGGTACCCTAGACAAAAGGGGCCGCCTTACGATAATGATAAGGATCCCCAAAAAGGGACCCTAATTCAGAATCCCCCACGTGCTTCTGTGCAAGGTCTTTCATGATTAAACGAACTCAGCAGGTGGGCCTCTCGCAGTCGGTAGATTCCAAGCAGACAGGCGAGAGACATGTTGCCAATCCAGAGCGACGCGAGTAGGGTCAAGTATGCGCATATCAGCTCTGCAACGTATGTCCAGAACAGGCTGGAAAACAGGACCTCGGGATCAGCATGTCAGGCTTGAACTGACTTTTTTTGACTTCCACACAGCTGAGTGCCCAGCTGACAGGTATGTGGAAAAAAGAAAGAACACGGGTGCCATGCAACATAGCCATGAAACGAGTTCTACCTGACAGGGTCCACGTCCAACCAAAGGCATTCGCCCTGCTAAACATCATCCTTACCGCAGGCCTCGGACAAGGAAATGTGTCTTCGCGGACCAGCAGCCAGATCGCCAACACCTGACCTGCCGGGACATCATGAACCCTCCAGCGTGATGTTAAAGGCCATCGACGGCTCAGGGCATCGCAAGAACCACCAGCATCCCAAAACCCTACAGCCCTACAGCCCTAAAACCCTTAAACCCCAAAACACCCACAAACCCCTAAACCCATGAAGCAAGCGGGGGCCTCTTGTATGTGGCATGCGATATCAATGGCGATCCCAATGTCGACCTGCCCAGCTTGTGTCTGCAGACAGTTCACACCATCACGAATCCGTTTAAGCTCTAAAAACATCCAAAAACCCTAAACCCTAAACCCTAAACCCTAAACTCTGAAAACACTCTGAATGTTGACCCTGAACATCCCAAAGCCCTTCGGCCTGGGAGTCGGCAGCCCTGCAGCAATCCGCGCCACAGCAGCAGATTCCTCGGGCGAAAATCTCACACGGAAATCGCGACAGCTTTAGGGCCCCACTTCAGTAACCCTAAACCCTAAACCCTGAACCCTAAACCCTAAACCCGAAATAACAGAGCAAGCCGAGTTCAATTCCGAGCTCCGGGCTGGCAAGTCTACATCAATCTCCGGTGGGCTCTTTGGACCTTTGCCCTTCCTCAAGCGTGCCTGATGGCAGGGCCCCTAGGGTTTAGGGTTTAGGGTTTAGGGTTTGGGGTTTAGGGTTTAGGGTTTCGGCTTTAGGGGTTCGGGGCTTTTCGGATGCAAGGGAAGTCTAGAGTCTAGAAGATCCATTATGCACATCAGCAGTCGGCGTCAAGTCAGATGTCCTGAGTGACTTCCCTCAAGAACCCTCTGGAAGGATTGCGCGCTGGCCTGGGATGCCATTCCTACATCCGACAGGCAGCTAAGCTGTGAACCCAAAAGGCTCATGTGCATCGGTCTCACAGCTGGGGATGCCTTCTCGCGGCATGCAGATCTCATCTCGCAGATTGCTGAATTGCTGTGTACCCTACGTGAGGCCCTCATGAATTGCAGTACTGGCGGCACTGGGACTGTCACACGAAGCTCCTATTAGTCCTAATCATCCGCAGGAAGGCGGCGCAGGCAGAGGCGAACTTTGTTAGATGGTGGAATAAGGGCATCACTCGGAGCAGCCCGTGCTTCGCACGGGGAGAAACATAATGCCACTTTTGACCATGTGCAGTTCTGCACTATAACGGATGCCTCGCTGCCTTCGACGCAGACCCATCCAACGCACGCCCTTCCCGCAACAGCTTGCCTCCTTCCCGGGTCGAGCCACAAAGCCAGCGGAACACGAAAATAATTTCTGAGACCTTCCGGACAAAGAAGCGGATGTCTTCAACATCGGCCACAGCTGTCCATGAACCCTTCGGGTTTCAGAATCGATGCGCCTAGAAAATGACATGAAACTAAGTGCAAAGGCAAGTGTTCAGGTTTGCCGCACGCAACGCATAAGAGCCAGGTCCTCGCACCAGGAATGTGCATACTGAGCCCAGAGCAACTGAGGCAACTTGAAGGCGACAACCTCTATACATGTCACGCAGAGAAGATTCGAAAGGCCTTACGCTTTCGAAGACTTCAACTTCGCAATCTCCTGGCATTCTCCGCGCTTCATACAGTTGCGCAGTTGGCCGGGCACCGAGTTCCTCACCTCGTTCAGCTGTCGGATCTCTTTCTCATAACCCGTGATGAGCTCCTAGTCCAAGGCTTCAGAGCAACCCTAAACCCTAAACCCTAAACCCTAAACCCTAAACCCTAAACCCTAAACCCTAAACCCTAAACGCTAAACCGAGGTCGGGTGCGCTCTCCTCCTTGTTCATGCACAACAGCTTGCTGTGGCTTCTCTCCTGCTCGCGATGCTCGTTTGGGACGCATCTGCACACTTGCTAAACCCTAAACCCTAAACCCTAAACCCTAAACCCTAAACCCTAAAACCCTAAACCCTAAACCCATGTGCACGTGCGGAGAGACCCCACCAGCATGCGAAGAGGCTTTGGCGACTCTTCGAACGGCTTGAATGCGAGCCAAGTCCCCACCTGAGTTTGGCTTCATGTGGGTGGTTGTCAAAATTAGGGTCCCCTTTTCGATCCCTATGATAATACGGCACCTAGTATTTAGGATACCCAAAAAAAGAGGGACCATGATTTTGACAACCACCCATGCGCAACACGGCACGGGCAAGGATTGCAAAGCCAGCCGTGGAAGCTCAGGAGCACGCGGAGGGAAGCTGCCTGAACTTCCGAGGCTCCTGCACACAAGACCGGCGTTCCGCGGTTTAAGGGTTAGGGTTTTTGGGTTTGGGGTTTTGGGCTTAGGGTCTGCAGAGTCCGTAGCCGGGTCTACGCCTACGCCCACTACTGGGAGACCTGCAACACCACACACAAGTAACTTCTGCACCCAACGAGCCCAATGCCCCTTCGTTGATGACCATAATCCTTACTATAGGAAACCCAGTGAAGGGTTTCCGTATCTTACAAAGCCCCCATGTTATGGTATTTTCACTAGAGGACCCAGCCTACATACAGCTGCCTCACAAAACAGAACTTCGCCCGGAACACATTCAGCCCTGATAGCCACACCAGTGGCCCGAAACAGCTAAACCCGAAACCCGACGCCACAAACCCGAAACCCTAAACCCCAAAAAACTAAACCCTAAACCCCAAACAGACCCCCAAGCAAAACCGGTGGCTGCCTGAACATACTGACCATACCTTATTCCAGAATAAGACCCTGTACTGTGCATCCTAGTGTATGAAATTGTATGAAGTAAGCGTTATATTCCTAGTATACACACAAGGACGCCCAATACACTCGCTCACCAATATTTGAAGGGAACAGAATATACACTCACCGCAAACCCAGAATAAAGCCCTTCTTCATACGTATACAGATATAGTCACTTCTCCGAAGTTTGGCCCGTTTTGGGGTTCCGAATTTCAGGCGGCCCCTCAAGGGTACCAAAAAGGGATCCCAAGTTTGAGAACTGATCCTAAACCCTAAACCACAAACGTATATACAGACGTTCCGTATATTCCTCAAAGCGGATCATGGGTCCTTTGCCGGGGCGTTCGCCGCTGGAGACACCTGCAGTCGCGGCAGCTTCGCTGCTTTCAATTTGGGTATTTCTCTAAATTTAGGGTCCCTTCTTGGGTACCCTAGATAGGAGGGGCCGCCTGATAATAGGAAACCCAAACCGGCCCCCGTACTTTAGAGAACCCTTGAACCCACCATTTGGGTGTTTGTGCACCACACAGCAGAGGCGTATTCTGAGAGGAACCCAAAAGGGAACCATGACTTAGAGAACTGCCCCGTTTGCTTGCGTCATGGTTGAGACCTTGCGGAATCTGCTCAGGCCTCCGTCTTCGGCGGATTGCCAGCATCCGACTGCTGAGGGGCCACCTATATATATATATATATGTATATATACATATACATATATACATACATATCTATATATATATATACATACATATATATATACACACGTATATATATATATATATACAGGCAAAGCCAGCACACATTGCCCCTCCCGGCCCTTGGCACGACACAGCAAACAGTGCCCGAGGTTCAGGCCGATGCGGGCTTCGTCTGGGCGAAACGTGAAGGCTCCAACAGTAGACGCAGTAGACGTTTCAGCGGATCTCTCTCGAAAAACAGAACGGCAGCCGCGCCTGAGCGTTCTTGTTGGGGTTGAACGCGAGCCACGTTCCCACAGACGGCATCTTCGAAAACCTTGACTTCATGTCGCACTGTCACTGCTGCAAGCTACTAGTAGCAGCATACTACACTTCATTCCATCATAGAACAGCCTCGGCTGAGTTTCCAGCTTGACGGGAGGCGCCTTCTGTCGGGGACAAGTGACGAGAATCAACAATGCCATGCATCATCACCCCACGTAGCTTCAACAAGATCACCTCACCCCCCTCTGCGGGTGTGTGTTCTCGTGTGCTTTCTCCCGTCCTCTGGTGCGGGCTCTGCTTTCGCCGGAGCAGGAGCTGCTTCAGGTGCAGCCTGAGCATGGTCATAAATGGGAAGACCGCAAGAGGACTGATAAAAAGCCCTAAACCCTAAACCCTAAACCCTAAACCCTAAACCCTAAACCCTAAACCCTAAACCCTAAACCCTTCAGACCCGCCCTGCCCTGTGACGAGAGAAGTAAGGCCGCAACTTTCGGTGCCGGCACGGGCTTAGGCTGGGCCGGGAACTTGGCGTACAGCTTCTGGCCAACAACTACCATTTGTTTCAGAACCACCCAAAAATTAAAGTAAATATATGTGTATACACATATTTTTTATGTGTACATACATATATATATATATATATATTCTTCCTTATAAGGGTCATATAGGGATTGTTGTCTTGTATTTTTGATGTTCCCAAGCAAACAGTAGACAAGTGTTGAGAACAGGAAATTTGCATAGATGCCCATGCGTATATCAGGATAACATCAGCACCCTCATGCAGCCAACATCATGTTCCCCTGGCCTGCATCGCCTCGGGCTTGACAGTCCGCAGATGTGCGGCGTAGTACGGCCTCTCGGTCAAGCTTGTGGTCAGTTCTCGGAAGTCTTGTCCTTTTTTCAGATTCTTATTCATACGGAGATGAATATTCAGGCACACGAACAGAGGCCATGATTTCGAGAACTCCTCTTATCTCATCCGTCAACAATCAGAACCTGAGAGTTCCCGAAAATAGGGGATCCCTATAATGGACCGTGACCCCAAATGGTAGGATCCCTTATGAATAAGGACCCCAAATCAGGAACCCCTAATACCCCTAATACCCCCCATACCCCTAATACCCCTAATACCCCTAATACCCCTAACACCCCTAATACCCCTAATACCCCTAATACCCCTAATACCCCTAAAACCCCTAATACCCCAATAAGGTACCCCTATAAGGTACCCCTAATACCCCAATAAGGACCCCAATAAAGGTACCCCCAAGTTCGGAAACCCCCCCCAGCTGGCCTGAATGGCGTCAGGGATGTCGGCACATCTTTCGCGGGAGCGGGGGCAGGCGCCGCCTTGAAGGTTTAGGGTTTAGGGTTTAGGGTTTAGGGTTTAGGGTTTAGGGTTTTAGGGTTTAGGGTTTAGGGTTTAGGGTTTAGGGTTTAGGGTTTAGGGTTTAGGGTTTAGGGTTTAGGGTTTAGGGTTTAGGGTTTAGGGTTTAGGGTTTAGGGTTTAGGGTTTAGGGTTTAGGGTTTAGGGGTTAGGTTTTAGGGTTTAGGGTTTAGGGTTTAGGGTTTAGGGTTTAGGGTTTAGGGTTTAGGGTTTAGGGTTTAGGGTTTAGGGTTTAGGGTTTAGGGTTTAGGGTTTAGGGTTTAGGGTTTAGGGTTTAGGGTGGCACAACTTCCCCCCAAACCCCTCAAACCCTCCAACTCTCCAAGGGTAGTTTCATGGTCCCTTAGCATGCCCTTAACAAGGCTACCCCTTAAACTACTCTCCAACTCCCCAAACCCCGAAACCCTTAGTTAGATGCAACACCCCAAGCCCTAAGCCCTCAGCCTACCTCACTGTAGCCCCTCTACCCCTCAACCAGAAAGAATCCGGGTGCCCAAAGCCTTCCGTAAACCCAGACAATCCCACACGCGCTGCAACCCTAAACATCTGAATCATCCCGAAGTCTATTGGTGAAACAGGGCTTTATATTTCTGTTTTTGGTGAGTGTATATAAGGTTCCTTTTTAATATTGGTGAGTCTATATATACCTGGTGTCCTTTTGGGGGTACAAGAAATATATACCCTACTTCATGCTGAATAAACCCTAAACATCCCAAAACACCCCCTAAGCATCCCCAAGCATGCCTAAGCATCCCGAAGCTTCCGTGAGCATCCCTACGCATCCTTACAAGCATCCCTAAACATCCCAAAGCGTCCCTAAACCCTAAACCCTAAAGCCTCGGAAGACCCCCGTGGGGCCTGGGGTGCGGCAGCCTTCAGATCGAGGCCGCCGGACTTCAAACTGGCCTGAGGTCATGCCTAAACCCCTCAACCCCCCTGGCTAATGGGGCACACCCTAAACCCTAAACCCTAAACCCTAAACCCTAAACCCTAAACCCTCAACCCTAACTTGCTGAAGAGCCCCCCAACAATCAGTATGCATTCCTCCTTATAAGGGCAATATAAGGACTACTATCTTTTTTGCCGGGGTACTTTGCAGGTAAGGGGCTGAAAAAACATGGGCGGTTACTGTGGGCATGTTCTTCAGTGGCTGGCAGGGCTGCGTCAAAAGCAGCTCAAGGCCTTCAAGGCCTCGATCTCACGCTCCTTCTCCGCAATCACGCACTGAAGGTCTTTGATGACCTCAGGACATCGCGATGCCACTGCGTTGCTTTATGAGGGCTTACGAAAATAGTGGACCCCGAACATAGACCCCATAGTAGGATTCCCTTCTCGTTACGAAGGACCGCGATAAGGTATCCCCAACTTCGGAAACCACCTTCTGTGTTCAGCGCATGCGGAGCGCGCCTTGTCATCCTCTGTCTCCCCATGGACTGTGTAGTACCATGGCCTCTCAACCTGCGACACCCAACGCTGCAGCTACCCCCTCCCGTCAACCGCCCCCTCGCAGCAGTGTGCGTGCGTGAGGGGGCATGTGGGGATTTACGAACATAAGGGGACCCCTGATGTAGACCCCCAAAATAGTGGGATTCCCTTGGAATGAGGACCCCAATAAGGATTTCGGAAACCACCAATGGTGCCTGGAAGGGCTTCTTCTGCAGCCATGAGCCGACCGATCTCAGAACAAGACACCATGCCACATCATACCAACATCGTTCCACAAACTGGCTGCTTCTTAGTAGGGAATGAGGGAATGAGGGCCCTATAGAATCCCTTAAAGGGTAAAAATGGGGCCCTCATTTTCCCTCATTCCCGCCCTAAGAACCAGGGGGAAAGATAGGCTCAGCAGCAGGCGGCGTGTACTTGTAGGGTGGGGCCTGTTGCAAGGAAGCACTGGAGGTATTCTGTAGGTTTAGGGTTTAGGGTTGAGGGTTGAGGGTTTAGGGTTTAGGGTTTAGGTGTTAGGGTTTAGGGTTTAGAAATTGGTTTCCTGCTCGTGGTGCAACAAGCGCACGACCGGCCCGCCTTCTGTGTCTTGCCTGAGCACAGGGTCCGGCACATCTGCGCGCAAACCCTAAACCCTACCTAAACCCTAAACCCTAAACCCTGAACCCTGTACCCTAAACCCTACGATCTCTTCCATGGAGGCATTTCGGCCTGCGTTCAATGCCTCCTCCAGAGTACCATCGAGGGAGCTCTTCACCAAAGCATCGCGAGCCTTTCAAGCCATCTCCCATTGCCCTGAACCCCAATCCCTAAACCCTGGACCCTAAACCCTAAACCCTAAACCCTAAACCCTAAACCCTAAACCCTAACCCTGAACCCTAAACCCCATTCCCTAAGTGCATCAGGGAAGGGCACCTGAACTCGAAGCTCCTCGAGCATGTCGCCGCCCTGATTGGGCACGAGCCATTCTGACAATTTCCGACAGCTGGTACCCAAACTATTGGGTTTTGGGTTTTGGGTTTAGGGTTTGGGTTTAGGGTTTAGGGTTTAGGGTTCAGGGGCTCCCCAGCAAGTGCACCTGCGCTTTCTTGTCTGGCTTCCCTCGCAGCAAAGTAGCAAAGTCTCAAGGAACAGGACCTCGCTTTCCAAAACGACAAAAGCCAGGCCTTCTTTCAGAGCCTTCTCGAGCGTGCCATTGATGGAGGCGCGAAGCAGCGCGTCGCGAGCCTGTCAAAGAACCACGTCTCGCTGTGCCCTTCTGAGTCTTACTGCGTCCCATGAGGGCTTAACCCTAAACCCTAAACCCGAAAACCCTAAGCCCTAAACCCATTATTCACCCTAAACCCTAAACCCTAAACCCATAATGTAACCCTAAACCCTCAACCCCGTACATCAGGGCGCCTGGACTCGAAGGTCCTCGACTTTGTCCTCCGGTCAGCCAAGGCCAGGAGCACACTTCCAACTGCCGCCCTAGGCCCCTAAACCCTAAACCCTAAACCCTAAACCCTAAACCCTAACCCTAAACCCTAAACCCTAAACGCCCTAAACCCTAAACCCTAAACCCCAAACCCTAAACCCTAAACCCTAAACCCCCCAAGAAAACGCGGCCTCCTCTTTGTTGCTCTGCAAGGCGGCCTTCAAGGAGCCATCCTTTGCTCCCTGCAGAAGGGTGGCGCGTGCCTGCAATCACCATCGTAGAATAATTTTTGTTCATTAGGGTTTAGGGTTTAGGGTTTAGGGTTTAGGGCTTAGGGTTTAGGGTATATAAACCCCAAAAGAGGATATTAACAATGCTATTTTTATTAAGGTTCTAAGGGGAGTATAGTATAGTAGAAATAGTATCATGGGAGAATAGAAACTGATGTAGTAGTAAAATTGTATAGTAGTACAGTAGTACACTAATATATTGTGGTATAATAGTATAGATAATATTGTAGTATAATAGTGTAATAATATAGTAGTATAGTAGTATAATAAGGTCAGCTACTTCAGCATTGGCAAAAAATGGCATTCGTCGGATCCTGATGCCCTGCCTGCTGTCGAAGCTCCTCAAGTTCCGCGTTGTCCTGGCAAACGTTGCGAGACTTGCCGCTTCATGAAACCACAAGAGCACAACTGAGTTGTGCTTTAGACCCTTGAAAACCATCTTATGAATAGGTTCCTTAGAAGGAAAGAAGGGAAATTGAAAACTCTCCCAAAGCACAACCCAGACAATGCTTGATTCATGCAAGGCTGCTCGGGATTCCTGGCCAGCCCTGGTTTGCCGCAACGCCACATCCAGGCTTCCGTCGCGTGCCGCATTGATCAGCGCGTTTGCTGCCTGGCTGCAACAAGCACCCAAATTGCGAGCAGCGTGTGCTACCTGCCCCACGCCTCCTTTCGAAGGCTCCCAACATCTTCTGTGCCCTGTCACAACAAGCGAAGAAACTTTGATTCTTCAACATCCAACTTTTCGTGAACTCACAGAAAGAGCGGGTCAACACGTTGGCTTCTTGACGTGAAAAACTTCAGACACATGACCTTTCATACCTCTCACATAATAGACATGCCAATAACTCAATGGTTAGGTCATACAGAATAACTCTTGTGACAGTACTAGTTCGTGAAAGTTCAAGTTTTGAGTAAGTTCATGTAGAACTGGACGCCATAGACACACAGATGGTGCCGCTTTTGTACATGTCTTCATCGACATCATATGTGCAGCAAATACAAACTTGCTGATTCTACAACACACATCTCTTTATCGTTCTCGTCGTTTCGTAAAGTGGCATACTTGACCTTCAGGAAACACCACAAATAGCAGCGTTTTCACACTTCCCCAAGCCTGAACATGGCAATGCACGCGACCACCGAATCTGAACACACCGATGACATGATGCAGAATCGCACATCTGCACATCCATAAAGACTACATCACTGGACCTCCACCCCTCCAAGGTCTTGCATTTCAGGCCAAAGGCGTCTTCTTCCATTTTTCCAGGATATGCGTACTTGATTCTCTGTTTTATTTGGCTGTGGTCCATGGCCATCCCATGCAGCCTTGTATGGTGTGCCAGGATGTGCCATGACGCTGCTGCCAATTGCGCCCGCACGGCTAGAGACACACTACCGCTCCCAAGTAGTCGCCACAGCACCAGTCTGTGCGGGAGGCAAGCTTTAGACTGTTGGAAGAGAGGCTTGGTAAGAAGATGTAGAAAGGTACTAGAACGATCGCGACCCAAGTCCAATCCTCAAAGACATGTCACTCCTTGCGAATGCTTGACTCACGCAAGGCTGCTCGGGATTCCTGGCCAGCCCTGGTGTCCCGCAACGCCACATCCAGGCTTCCATCCCGTGCCGCATTGATCAGCGCGCTTGCTGCCTAGCTGCAAGAAGGACCAACTCAGGCTGCGAGCAGCCTTGCTACCTGCGCCACGCCTCTTTTCGGAGGCTCTCAAGATCTTCTTGCCCCTGCCACGACCAGAAACTTTGATTCAACACCCGACTGTTCGCGAACTCCCCGAAAAGAGCTGGTCAGCATGCTTGGATCCGGGCAGCGACATCCGCCTGTCAGTGAGGATGCAACAATGTGACTCGCAGACTCGACCATGTGTCGACTCAATTCTAGACACTGAGACGTCGGCCGAAAGAACAGCTGCCAAGCTTCCATTCTGGGCTGACTGGAGCAGGGCATCACGCGCCTAGCTGAGGCCGCATGCTGCAAAGATCGGGTCTACTGCGCGAGCGTGTGCTCCATCCTGTTCTGCAGTTCAGAGTTGGAACTGGCAACCTGCAACTTGGCAGCTACTTCTTACACTCATCCGCAAGTTGTGTGTGGGGGGGGGGGGGGGGGCCCACATGATGGCACGTGGCTACTCAAACCTCAATGTCATCAGGCCTCCAGTCGAAGTCGGTTCAGTTCGGCCGCCTAAGTCAGTGCCGCGGATAATGGGCCAGTGCTGAGTCTCAGAATACGGCCCCTTACGTTTAGGGTTTGGGGTTTAGGGTTTAGGGTTTAGGGTTTAGGGTTTAGGGTTTAGGGTTTGGGGTTTGGGGTTTAGGGTTTTGGGTTTTGGGTTTTGGGTTTTGGGTTTTGGGTTTAGGGGTACCAAGAACGGACCAGAAGTTGGAGAATCATCACTCTGGGACAGGGACTTCCTCGGGCTTTCCGGATCCGCCTGGCAAGTCGTTTCTGTCCTTCTGCTACTTTGGGCCTCTTGCAATATACTTATGAAATACTGGAATATACTGAAATATACTACCAAAAAATTAATATACTACAACATACCACAATACACGATCATATACCAATATATGCTAGAATATACTATAAAGAATATATACTATAATATATACGGTAATATACCATAATATACTAGAATATACTATGATATCCTATAATATACTACAATATACTAGAACATACTACAATATACTATAATATACTACAATATATTACAATACACTACCAAATACGATAATATACTATAGTTCAGTGCCTTTCGGGCCAAGTCTGGGAGTCCCGCCAATGGGCGGCAGCTTCTCGGAAGGATTCGCTTTGCGGTTCCTGGGGGCCAATGCTTCAATCACTGGCCGCATCGGTGTTTAGGGTTTAGGGTTTGGGGTTTAGGGTTTAGGGTTTAGGTTTATGGTTTAGGGCTAGGCCCCTGACCCAACCGGAGCTGGCGGCGTAGGCTTTGGAGCATTGATCGGCCTGTGGGAAACATACTTTGACCACCGCTCAACATACTTTGACCACCGCAGAGAGTGGGTGTAGGTTTGGTGTAGGCCTAGAACTTTCGGTTCCTGAAGCTTCATGTCCGAGTCCAACAAAGCCATTCAAGTTCTTGGGTTGCAAGGGGCTGGACTCAGGAATCGTCGGAGGTCTCGATTGTAAAAAACGGGCCCACGAAAATGGGTGGTTTCCGAAATTAGGGCTACCTTATTGGGGTCCTTATTGTAAGGGGATCTATATCCCGGGTCCTTGATCGTCGTAAAACCCCAAATGGCCCCAGTTGAGGATCCCAACAACCCTAAACCCTAAACCCTAAATCCTAAACCCTAAACCCTAAACCCTAAACCGCCCCGAGTTTTTGTTCAATCTCTTTGAGGCTCACACGGAAGGAGCTCCGGCTGCTTCTTCGACGCCTATCACTGCGATCATACCACAAGTTCCAAAGGGTATAGGGTTTAGGGTGTAGGGCTTCGGATTTAAGGTTTAGGGTGTAGGGTTTAGGGTTTGGGGTTTAGGGTTTCGGGTTTAGGGTTTAGGGTTTCGGGTTTAGGGTTTCGGGTTTAGGGTTTAGGGTTAGTTCGCACTGAGGTCGTGGCATGCTTGAGGATCTGGGTTGACAGAAAGGCAAGTGGCTCCGTAGGCTTCTCATGGATGACCTCGAACCGACAGAGATGCTTCGAATCTCGCACCACGCTCACGACAGCATGTCCCAGGCGATAAAGCCCAACCTCGCGCATCGCATCAGCTATCACCTCCTCCAACTGATGCTCCGCCAGGTACCTCCACAGCACTGGCCTTGCCTCCTGGCTTAGAGAGGCTCAAGGCAGATGTTCACCATTCTCTCGCAAGCGTTCAGGCGTGACGAGTGTGTCTGCCAGGGAGACGACGAGAGCTAATCCCTAATCCCTAATCCCTAAACCCTAAACCCTAAACCCTAAACCCTAAACCCTAAACCCTAAACCTCAATTTAACGGTTTAACGCTAGCCGAGAGCCTAAAAAAGGGGGCTCACTTCTGTGCCGCATCCAGCTTGGTCTTCACCTGAAGCATCGAAACCCGAAACCCAAAACCACATCGGAGAGAAGCAATCACTGCTGGAAGGATTCTCCTACTGCAATATACTGTATTCTACTTCATTATACTAGATTGTACTATATTATACTATATTCTACTATATTATACTATACTGTACTATATTTCAACATAATATACTAGCTTCTACTATATAATACTATACCATACAATATTTGTATTCTACTAGACTATGCTATGCATTGCGGAGTGCCTTGGAGCTCTTGGCTTTCGGCTCCGGCTCCACCTCAGCTTGCGACCAGAAGCCAGGAACCAACCGGAACAAGAAACGGAGACACAGAACGCAACATAGCATATTATACTATAGTACAGTATAGTATAATATAGTATAGTATGGTATAGTATTATAAAAACCTACATGTAACGCGTTAGATATCATAGAAAATGGAGAAATATTCAGACCGAATGTTTGGTATTTGATATCTTGGAATTCACTTCAGGTCTGGGTGAGAGGCTGGGCTGCCACCATGAAGCCCTAACCTGGCAGATGGGCTCGCATAGCATAGGATACTATACAGCTAGTACAGCATAGTATAGTATAGTATAGTATAGTATAGTATAGTATAGTAGTACGTATGGTATGGTATAGCATAGTATAATATGGTACAATCTAGTATATGATAGAGTATAATTTGGAATAATATGGTATAATATAGTAGACCCTTCTACCGCGGGCACCTTGCAGACCCAGCGCCCAGGATGGTTTAGGATTCAGGGCTTGAGGTTTAGGGTTTAAGGTTTAGGGTTTAGGGTTTAGGGTTTAGGGCTTAGGGTTTCGGGTTTAGGGTTTGGTCTTGGGTTTCGGGTTTAGGGTTAGGGGCTTGGGGTTTTAAATTTAAAAATAGGGTTTAGGCCTCATGGGTAGATGGGACATTCCCGGCATGTCGACGGGAACCTGCGCCAGGGGGAAGATAGGAGATTGATGCCATGCATGGACACGCCTGGTCAGAAAGACCTACTCTCCCAAAGTGGGGGCCTCCACATCTTGAGCACTCTGGTGCAGCTTCCCGAGGCTGACCGTCAGATGTCCAACACGCTGGAACACCTGAAAACGGAGGGAAAAAATATTAATTCTTTTTCTTCGAACATCCCCACCCTCTCTTGGCTCTGGGGTTGGGCGCTCCACGGACACTCTGGGGCTGAACGCCCGGGAAAAGTCTGGGGTTGGGCACGAGACTCTGGGGTTGGGCACTCCAGCGAGACTCTGGGTTGGGCACTCCAGGTAGATTGTGGGGTTGGGCACTCCAGGAAGAGTCTGGGGTTGACTCTGGGGTTGGGCACTCCGGGCACTCCAGGGATGAGAGAGGAGTAGACCAAACGCGGAGAAGAGTTCGGGCGAGGAGAAAAGTTGAGTTTAAAATCTAACAACCCCACACCGAGGGTGGGGAACAACAACAACAACAACAACAACAACAACAACAACAACAACAACAACAACAACAACAACAACAACAACAACAACAACAACAACAACAACAACAACAGAAATAAGAATTAGAATAAAACTAAATAATAATAATAATAATAATAATAATAATAATAATAATAATAGAAGGTGCCAAGCTGCCAAACATTGAAGCATCTCAGGGTGTGTCCCTGCCTCTATGCGGGCGAGACCGTTGGGGTCTTCCAGCTTGGGAAACTTGTACGTCTTGGCAGCACCGAAACCTCGGTCCCAGCACAACTCCGGGCCACTCGTAGATATATCATAATATAGTAGAATACAGCATGACATAGTATAATTTTGTGTGATTGAAGTATAGTATAATATAGCAGAATAAAAGATACTACAACATAGAACAAATATAGTATAAAATCATACAATATAATATACCATAATATAGTATAACGTAGTATAATATAATACAATATAGTACAATATAGTACAATATAGTACAATATAGTATAATATAGTACAATATAGTACGATATAGTACAATATAGTACAATATAGTACAATATAGTACAATATAGTACAATATAGTATAATATAATATAATAAATATAGCTTTATATAGTAATTTCGTACAATATAGTTTCATATAGTATCATATAGTAGAATATAATATAATATCATACCTCTCCCGGGGATCGCACGGGACTGCTTCTGGAAATCTCCGATGCGCATTGACACGAATGTCTCCTTCGGGGCAGCAAACCTCGGGGAGGAACTGTCTTTGAAGTGCTTCTATATTACACTACACTGTACTATATTATTCTACATGTGACTGTATTTCTATATGAGACTATATTTTTCTAGATCTTACCATACTATACGATATGATACTACATTATACTACATTATACTATTCCCCGCCGCATGTCGAAGTGAGGAGGCCGCCCCTCTGCGGCATCAACACAGATCTCCATCTCTCAGCACCTGCCGGGGTTCTTGACATGCAAGGGATTGGGGCAAACTCGACAGCTCGACTCCTGGGTATGGCCCCAAGTCGATTGATGCGTAGAACATGCGTCGTTCCGGCGAGTAAGGCTTGCAATTGCTTTGTTGTGTCTTGGTTTTTGCTTGACATGCTGTGCATGTAGCAGGCAAAGCAAATAAACGCGGACTCACTCGTAGATACTCGTAGGTCGGGAGGTTGTTTCGATGTGCTCCGCACTCCAATCAATGTGCGAGCCTCTCTCCCGCCAGAGGAAAACTCGCAACTAGCTCACAGAGCTTCAAAACGCTCTCCTGAAACCTGGCTCGGGTCCGACCTTTGGACATCTGGCAGGGAATGTTACTGGCAGATGGATCCAGCGCCGGAGGGTCAGGAAACGATCAAGTACCCATGCGCAGGGTGCCGCCGGGCATTGACACCGGACTTTCCATAAACAAGGGGCTAACAAAGCGCCACTTTGAACCTTCTGCAAGCTGATACAAGTAGCATGGCACAGCGCAACCTGCACTACGAGTAGCTGACAGCTGGATCAGCTAAAGCCTGCATTGCACGCATGCGCAAACAGAGACAATGATCGGCACTCTTGGATTCCACTTTGTGCTCGAGAGTCGCAAAAAAAAACATGGGCTTCCGTTTCACATGCACCTGACCTCGAGGGTCGAACCCGCAGCGTTTACACAAGCACCAGTTTTAGGGTTTAGGGTTTAGGGTTATAGGGTTATAGGGTTATAGGGTTATAGGGTTATAGGGTTATAGGGTTATAGGGCTATAGGGTTAGAGGGTTATAGGGTTATAGGGTTATAGGGTTATAGGGTTATAGGGTCGGTCACATGTAGGGTCAGTTCAACTTGTACAGGTACGCTCTCAGCCCACCTCGGCGTCTCGGGGCGATAGGGGAGCCCACTGTGAGGAGTAAAAAGAAAGACCGAGCGAGGAAAAAGTCCTGGCGCCCAAAACTGCGGAGATCGAAATGCGTTCATGGGGCTGCTTTTGACGATGGCCCCGGCGGTCGCCCTATCGTGCCGCATGCATCTCGACGCCTCGGAAAGATGCAGAAGCGGCTTTTTGACTCAATGCAGGGCCGTGCGCGCCAAGTCAGTCTCGAAGTGAGATTGTGTCGCCCGACTTACCGTGTCGGGGACCGAAGCTCAAGTCAAACCTCTCTAGGGTTTAGGGGTTGAGGGTTTCAGGCTGTTATGGGCGTTTTGGTTGTCCATTTTCGGGCCAATGGTCCTAGGACAGCGCACAGTCGAAGCCATCTGCTTCGGAGACTCACCTGGCTCACTGTCGGGGAGTCGGCACGTGGAGAAACTTGAACCCAAAGGCAGCAGGGCATCAGATGAGGAGTCTCGCATGATGCCGGCTCAGCAACATGGCAACACGCATTGCCATCAACCTTTCACCCAACATAGCATTATATAGCATGATATAGCATAATATAGTATCATATCGTATAGTACAATGTCGTAATCTAGTATAATATAGCATAATATAGCATGATATAGCAGCTTCTTTTCCCGCGGTTGGCTGTGCACGCTATGTCTATGTCTCTGCCGGCGCTGACAGGGGCGTCGTGAAGCCGTGACAACCGAAACCCTATACTTCTGAACCGTGGATCGTCACGCCACAAGCTCCTGTCACTTGCACGGGCGTGTGTTCAATCGAGTCAGGGTTGAAAGAGCTTGCAAAATTATGTTTCCTCAGGTTCCCACACCTCTGCGGGACATAAGAGGACAGCATTAAACTCAGCGAGCCACATTGGTGCAGGAGCGCGCCCTGCCTATTGCAGCCCTGGACTTCGGTTCTCTTAGGCTTCGATTTGGGTGTCATAGGCCAACTCATGTTCAAGCCATGCTTTTTGCGCTTGTTGTGCAACACTGCCGCCAGATATCGAGGCCAGGCCCAAAACACCTGGAAGAATCTTAACAATAGCGAACGCCTCATGGGGCGTCAAGCCCTGAACCCCAAGTCCCCCTAAACCCCTAAACCCCTAAACCCCTAAACCCCTAAACCCCTAAACCCCTAAACCCCTAAACCCCTAAACCCCTAAACCCCTAAACCCCTAAACCCCTAAACCCCTAGACCCCTAAACCCCTAAACCCTAAACCCCAAACCCTTAACCCTAAAGCTCCAACCAAAAAAGAAACTGAGCATGCTCTTATCACCACAAGCCTCAGATCGCTCCGTTTTTGGGGGCCTTTTTTTGGGCTGGCCGTCGATGTGTGCCGAACACTTGGCCTTGAGGCCGCTCTTGCTGTCAGAACAGCAGAGGTTGGCAGAAGTTGGGTGATTCTGCTATTGCATTGCTATGTTTTTGTGATTGTACTATTAGGAGGAAATACTTTGCATTGTGATATTGATATGCGATACTTTCCATATTATCATTGAGATACTTTATTGTTACATTGCTATATTCATGCGGCTCAGGCAGCCCTAACTCAGCGTCGGGTCCTTCGGAGTGATAGAGAATACACCTTAAACTCTGCCGGGCACCCCCAAGTACCACCTGAAAAATAAGCATAGCTACTGCATCCTCTGATGCTGCTTAGTAGTTGTTGCCTGCAGTGTGCTTGAACGTCGTGCTGTTTGCTGCCAAGCCGTGAGCGGCATCGCACGGAGCTGTGCCCTCACGGAAACCCCCAACCTCCAGCTGCTGCATTTCAAGGTCTAGGGTTTAGGGTTTTAGGGTTTTAGGGTTTAGGGTTTAGGGTTTAGGGTTTAGGGTTGAGGGTTGAGGGTTGAGGGTTTAGGGTTTAGGGTTTAGGGCACTGAGGCTCCAATACAGCTTCTACATGGCCTACAAATCAACACTCTGAGTTCAACACCTGGCAGAGCCAAGTCGAAGCTTCTCATCCTTTTGCAAAGAGAAGGCACAAGACACTCGGCCGAATTCAGAGCGCTGCTCTCGAGCCCTGGCCTTCTTCGTCAGTTTCGTACTCTGACTCCTCGTCTCCGTCCGGGTTCTCGCCGGCCCTGTAGTGCGCCTGTAACCGTACACTCTGCGCCCAGCTTTCCAACGCTTGCCAACGCCATTCTCTTTCGCAGACTTGCGGCCTTGCTCTCGGCAGGCTTGCTCTCGAAGACGGACTGCTCCTCAAGCGCCAGAAACATGTCTGGCAGCCCTCAACCCGAAACCCTAAACCCTTGCAGTTCGGAAGCGGAAGCCTGGCCAGCAGCAGAAACGTTCCGTCCGTAGCCGATTTCAGCCTTGGGGTGGGCGCAGGACCCTTCCCTACTATGCGCTTAAGAACCCCCCAAGAAATAAGAAAGTGATAATCCCTATATTACAAGAACCCCCAAGAAATAAGATAATAATAATCCCTATATTACCCTTATAAGGAAGAACATCTCAATTTTTTGGGGGGTTCTTAAGCAATTAGTAGTTCCTCTCTGCAACAGTGCCCCAAACCCAAAACCCCAAAAACCCCATAAGACTCGCGCCTTGCTCTGCTGCGGCTGACTTTCAAAGACAGACTGGTCCGTTGCCTGCCCGGAAGCCTTGTCATTGTGGCTGACCTCGTTTGTCACTATTGCTCTCGGAGCGCACTTTTCATGTGGCAAGGGGGGGGTGGAGTGTTGCTAAGCCTCTTTACCGAGGAAGCCTCGTCCTATGTTCCCACGCCTGATTTTGGCCTCTTTGAGCCTCTTAAAGCCTCCAAGCCTCTAAATTCCGGAAGTTTGCTGTTCTTTCCTCGAGTTCGATTCCCGCAAAGTCGAAAAAAGCAGGAATTCGCTTAAGAGGTTTGCCTGTGTTCTGGAACTTACAGGTGCTTCGGGCGCTTGATCCAAGAACCTGGAAGGGAAAGACGCTTGTGAGAAAAGGTGCTTGAAGACGCTTAGAAACGCTTAGGCGTTGGACTCGAAAATGTTGCAGCCCGCCTGCCCGCGCAATGACTTGTTCCCACGTGCAACATGGACCCGCTGAGCGTCCAGCCATTGCAGAAGACTGCTTAGGCTGGCTCTCAAACACCTGAGGCGGCGAACGCAGCGGAGTACTGCACTTGTGTCGAACTGGTTCGGGCAGACCAAGGCTTCTGTCCGGAGCTATGGTCCACGCTGACTGCGACGTGTCGGCGGCGGAGGCGGCTTTGGAGTAGGATGTCTCTGCTTTACTGGCCAGGCGGTTCAAGCAACGCTCATCGATGCTATCACACAAGGAGGCCGGAGCATGAGACGAGACGGGCCTTTCCGCTGGCTTGCTCTCAAAGACCGATTGCCCGTCCCCAGCAGCCGGGGGCGCCTTAATTCAAGGCGCAGCATCGCGAAAAAACTCGCCACCTCCTTCCATGATGATACGGACCCCCTCCGAAGCCCAAGGGCAAGGGCCAGGCCAAGGGGGGTGGTTTTACATTTCCTTACTGCATCTGCGAGCCTTGTCGGCAGCCGTCACCATCGCTTTACTCTTCTGCGGCTGGCTCTCGAAAACCGACTGCACCTGATCTGCCCGAGTCGTCAAAACCGATCGTTGGCAAGAATGCCATGCCTCTCCAGCGCTTGGCGCATCAGTCCGGCCATATCCCACAGCAGCCTTCAAGTAGTATGCAGTCGCGACAGACTCACAGCAGTCGCGACAGACTCACCGTTTTCGCAACAGACTCACAGAAGTGGCGACAGACTCACAGTCTCGCAAACTGCACAGCCTTGGATTGCTGTGGATTGCTTTCAAAGGCAGACCTCAAATGGCAGCCATGTGCTGGTATATGCCGGCTGCACAGCATTGCGCAGCAAGCAGAGCTCTCCACGGCTCTGATGCGCTCGCAGTAGAAGCTCCATAAGCGGTATCTGCCTTCGACCTGTGAAGAAGAGCTCACGAAGCTCAACAAAGCACTCTCATGTCGGTATCATGGGGTTCTCAATGGTTCTCAGCCCCTAAACCCTAAACCCTAAACCCTAAACCCTAAACCCTAAACCCTAAACCCTAAACCCTAAACCCTAAACCTAAACCCTAAACCCTAAACCTAAACCTGAATGTGCTGAGCTGGTCGCTGCTGCGGCTGGCTCTCGAAGGTCGACTGCGCAGCGTCTGCTGGTGCGGCAGCGGATGAGTGGCTTACCTGGCATTCTATTTAGGGTTTAGGGTTTAAGGTTTAGGGTTTAGGGTTTAGGGTTTGGGGTTTAGGGTTAGCAGTTTCTAGCAGTTGTGTGGAAAACTCGCTTCAGTAAACTTGCGAAACTCGAAACCTTTACCCGCTGGACCTCCGCAGAGCTTCGTTTCGGCTGTGACTCGAAGACGGACTGCTCTGCCTACGCCAGCGCTTCTGTCAGCCAGTACTAGTCTCCTTTTCTCATCAGCAACTCCAAAACCAGGCTACCCTTCAGCCTCTGCCCCTGCAGATTTAGATCCGTAGTTTGTGTCAGCCTGGTCATGGTTTCCGGTTTGCACAGCCGTCAGCGATAACGCGAAATCCACCACAGCTGTGCAGTGGCCAACTTCTCTTTTCCAATGTCTCACAGACTGATGCACAAGTAGCGCCCGTTCCGGACTGCTTGAAAATGGCAGCTGCGCACGCTTTCAAAGTTGCTGCTGCCGGAAAAGCGGAGACTGCGCCATGGATGCGAGGATGGCAAGACGCGCCCAGGTGGCAGCCACAAATGTTCCAGTGCAGCCTTGTGCAGCCTTCGACTGCTCTTCAGCTGCAGAGATATTTACACTCGAGCGTTCCTCAAGAGAGAGGCAACCGCCTGCCTGAAAACTGGATTTCCTGCGCGTCACCGGAGTGTTGCCTGGATTGTAGCATCAAAGAGCCTTCGGCCCTCAATCTCAGACAGGTACTTCGGGCGCGGGTTCGTCTGCTTCTTCATTCTGTGCCTGGAAGCACTGACAACAGCATTGCTCGGCCTCATTCGGGTAGTTCTCTACATTCAGGCCCCTTTTTGGATCCCCCGTGTAATACCTTAGAATAAGGACCCAAAAAGAGACCCTAATGTAGAGAACTGCCCATTACAAGCTAGCGGCTTGCAGCAGGTCTGAGCTCGGTGCTGCAGATGCAATGTGGCGGCTTGCAAGGCCAAATGCCCTCTCAGCGTCCGCCTCGCCCTGAAGGGACAGAAACGCCTGGCCAAATGGTTTAGGGTTCAGGGTTTAGGGTTTAGGGTTTAGGGTTTAGGGTTTAGGGTTTAGGGTTTAGGGTTTAGGGTTTAGGGTGAATCCCAGATGCGAGGCTTCTCAGCGCCGATATCGGCCTTGAAGTCGACTTCATCCTCTGTCATTCCCTCCACCTGCCCGAGCACTTCGGGGGTTCATGGGTAGCTGTAAGTAGGGTATAAGTACTCTAAGTAGGGTGGTTATAAGTATAGTCACCATACTTATCACCCTAAACCCTAAACCCTAATTCCTAACCCTTAAGCTGGCTAGCTGTATGTAGGGGTATTTTTCCAATGAGCATGACTGAGCTCCCCACGACCAAGAATTAACTACAGGCAAAAAGTGGGGTGGTTAGAAGTATAGTTACCATACTCAGAACCCTACTGATAACTACTCACGAACCTCCAACCATGCTCTCGACACCAGAACCTCAGGCCCGGGCGACCACCGGGATGGCCTTGCAGCCCCGGATTCTGGGAAAAGGGATTAGGGTTTAGGGTTTAGGGTTTGGCACGCACACACATAAAACGAGATCCCGGCATACTCTCCCTTCACGAGTCTCACATTGGGCCCATAGTCACATCCACCCGTGCCTGCGCAGACATGGGAGGTTCTCCGGATCGCGTTCATCTGACAGCTGGGCGAGCTGGGTGCCCCTGCATTTGCCCCATTCGACTCCTGGGGCGGGCCAACCTGCCTCAGAGTCAATTGGAACTTGCTGGTTCTTTGCGCAAGTTTTTGTTGGGTTTAGGGTTTAGGGTTTAGGGCTTAGGGTTTAGGGGTTCAGGGTTTCTGGTTCTTTGTGGGGGGGAGTTACGGTCCCTGTGAAACCCTCTTAGGGTGATGTAAGATACCTGATGTGAGCTAGCTTATTCCCTATTTCCATGCTAAGAACAACTTCCGCGACACACGCGAGGTGCACAGTGCAGCAACTTGGGCTCCAACTGAAGCTGCAGCCTTTGCAGTTTCTTGTAGGACGAACTTGGGGTTGTAGCCGCTACCAGCTTTTCGGCTGACCTTCAGGCGACCGCGCAGAGGGGGGGAGGGGAGACAATGATGGCGGAGTCAAACCCCCACATACGAGGCATCGACACACTTCTCGCAGACTCGCAGAGCAAAGCGGGGCGGTTGTGCTGCACTCGCCTCTGGCAACCTTGCCATCCAGTTCAAGTCGAAGGGAGAAGCCGAACAAACAGGCGCACTCACCGTCTGCCTGATTCCGCTGAGCGCGACGGTCGCCAGAATGGCCGTCACCGCAGGCAGAACCTCATTTCTAGCCCTTGCCCGGTTGGGATTTGCGTCTTGCTCAAGATGACGTGACATGTGGGCCTGTGCCACGGACAGCTTTACTCGCAGTGAGGGAACGGATGGTGGTCCCTGAAAATTTGGCCTTGCCGAAGGCGTTGCCGAAAGTGCCCCTCTGAATTTCGTTGGCAACAAGGGAAGAATAGCAAGCAGCAAAAAGAGACAATATGGGGATTAGCAGGAATAGTAGTACCTTTAATATAGTAAACCCCCACATGTGGAAGTTTTGGCAAGCGGCAAGTCGCCGATGTCCCAGCACCAGCCTGTTCGGGTTGCTGTAAGTTGGGACCAAGTGGTGGTTTCCGACATTCGGGACATAAAGGGGATCCGATTATTCGCGGGTCTTAATGAGATTTCCCTTCATGTTCGTAAACCCCCAAATTCTGTAGCTTCTACCGGTGCCTTCGCGGGCGCTGGAGGGGCGCTGGCAGAATCTTCTCCTGCTTGCCCCGGCCCATCTCCATCTGTAGATCACGCCTCGAGTTCTCAGCGCATGATTCACGACAGTTGCACCCCTCGTGGAAATTCACTGAGGCCAGTGCTTTGTCAGAAAGAACTACGTCAACAGCCAATTTCAGCCACAACGGCTCGCACGGGGCCGCACAACCGGCTGGGGCGGTTAGGCGCTTCGGCGAATGGGTGTGCACTGCGTCCAACAGCCAGCGCGCTTACAACGGCGCCACACAAAGCAGCGAACTCCGGTTCCTAAACCCGGTCGACCCGTGCCCTAAACCCTAAACCCTAAACCCCAAACCCTAAACCCTAAACCACTTTGGCCAGCCTTGCTCTGCTGCGGCTTGCTCTCGAAGACAGATTCTTGCTGAACCTGCTCCCTTGGCAAGCCATTGTCGACAAAAGCACAGCGGGTTTAGGGTTTAGGAGTAGGGTTTAGGGTTAAGGGTTTAGGGTTTAGGGTTTAGGGTTTAGGGTCTAGGGTCTAGGGTTTAGGGACCCGATATCCCATCCGTCATGCAACTTCATGCAGGTTCTGCTCCAAGGTCTGCACACGGCCGCACCACTGGGACAATCAGCGGCACTGGCTCTGGGCTGACTCTCAAACGTAGACTGCGCGCCGGAAGAGTCGTTGTTGACCTGACGCATCAGGCACAGGGAAGTCGGTTTTAACAAAACCCGAAACCAGGGGGCAGGTGCGGGCTCAGCGGCTTTTCTCACCTTCCTGAATCGAGACTTGGGCCGGCCAAGCTGTCTGCTTTTGGCACTTGAAATGCACTCGAAACAGAAGCAGGGCAGCTGTGTTCGGGCTCGCCCTTCGCTTGCACAGACCCTTCGGCTGCACAAGCTTTTGGGGCCGTCTTCAAAACGATGTAAAAGAGGGCAACAAAATGTCGATGGCTCGGTTGAGCATGGGCTGCACACCCAGAGCTTTCTCCAACAAGCCCCTTACAGAAGCGTTCAGGTGCTACATCGCCACTTGTGGTGCAGGACTGTGTGAGGTTCGAAGATCCGGGCATGCGGCGAGAAACTGTCCTCAGCAAGGCCATGCGACACGGAACGGAGTATCCTTGCGAAACTCTTTGCAGCATTCCACGCCCTCGATTGCAAAGTGCCCGCATGTCGAGCCACGGCCACTCCAACCAGTCTGGTCTGCGTGGCTCGACTTGCAGGCGTCAAGATGTGACAAGTGTTCATGCCACGCAACATTCGTGTTGCTTCTCATTAAAGCATTCGAAGGCCCATCTCCAACGTCGGATTGTCGGATACCTGCGTGGAGGGAGCAACTCTGCGCAAGAGGCTGATCAAAGGCCCACCACCATCGACAATGCAGCTGAGCCTGATTCAAACCGAGGCATCACTCGCGATCCCAGTCTTCTCCTGAGTCCACAGAGCGCTGCCCTTCTACCAAACCCTAAACCCTAAACCCTTAACGACTCCGGGATTGCGCCTCGGAAAGGAGCTGCCCCACCTTGCAGTTTTCCAGCGTCTCGTAAGGAAGGTTTGCAAGAAAAACACAACGCGCCCCGAGGTATATACAATGTACAACATATAACAGATCATATAGAAGGTACGATGTATGACCTATAACCTTATACATAAAATATACAATAGTCATAATTAAACAAAAAACTAATTTTATTCGAATATTAATGCTGCCAAGAATAATGATGATTATCATCTTGTGCCTCCTTCCAGCCAGCTTGGCCTCTCCAAGGCCTCCAAAGGGGCGAGTTTTGTTGGAGCTGCGACTTTTTCCGAAATCCCCCATCCCCCCGATGCTTGCCTGCCAGTGCTGATCATGATGAGCAGCGCCTTCCCAAGAAACTGTACCCTAAACCCTAAACCCTAAACCCTAAACCCTCAACCCTAAACCCTAAACCCTAAACCCCAAACCCTAAACCCTAAGAAACTGTCCGTGCAGCTTGCGTTCATGTCTTAAGGCCCTGCCTTGAGCTCAGCTGCTGGCTCCCTTTTTGGTTCCCTAGGACTTGGGATGTGCCCCCTTTCTACGAACAGCCCTTAGTAGGGACTCTACTAGGGGGTACTTGAATCCCTCTATTCAGGACTGGTAGTAAAAAGGGGGGGAAGATCCCAACTTAGGACCTGTAAGCCCCAAACCCGATTTCATCAGAAGCAGCCTCGAGGACTCCACACGCCAACTTCGGACCGCCCAGCACACGGCTGCCACCTGGGCGCGCGCGTGGCCCTGATAATGACCCTCAAGTCAACCTCGAGACCTCACCTGTAAATTATCAAGGGCTGAAGCCCCACGAAGCCCCTAAACTGGGCCCCTCAAGCCCCTCGAGCCCTGGCCCCTGCCCTACCCCGACAGCCCCGAAACCCTGTCCCTGAGAACGCTCGGCCACAACAACCCGAGTACCACGCTTATTGCCCAAAAAATACAGCATACAGGCAGGTCATTACTTGGGCCGAATACAAGCTTTGCAGGATGTCTGTAAGCCGGCATTGGGTCCAAAAAGGATCCACTCGTTCATTTACTGGCAAGTCGGCGGCCAAAAGGTTCCCCAAAAAGTGGTGTGGAGGTCCCCAACTTCGAGTGACTGTCTGAGTGTCGGCACACCCTGAAACTGCAACAACACACGCAGACACTGAAAAACTCAGAGGAATAGTCCCTCAACCTACCCGAACCCAAAACCCTAAACCCTACACCCCCTACACGCTACCCTACCCCTAAACCCTAACCCCCAACCCCCCTAAACCCCCCTAAACCCCCTAAACACCACCCACCCTAAAAACCCCCAAGCCCCCAAACCCTAAACCCTAAACCCCCTAAACACTCTCTGAAAGTCCCGGGCCTGAAGTGTCAGGAAGGCACCGGAAGGAGGCGAGGGCCTGCGTCGTTTTACCGGGGATGGGGGGGGGGGGGGGGGGGGGGCGGGGGGTCTCGAGTTTAGGGGTCGGATTTAAGGTTGAGGGTTGAGGGTTGAGGGTTGAGGGTTGAGGGTTGAGGGTTGAGGGTTGAGGGTTGAGGGTTGAGGGTTGAGGGTTGAGGGTTGAGGGTTGAGGGTTGAGGGTTGAGGGTTGAGCGTTGAGGTTTAGGGGCTTGCCAGGACATAGGTGTGCGAGAGGTTTCTCGTGAGTTCAGCTGCTTACAGCGTCTTTGTATCTTCTCTGTTTCTGTGCAGTGCCAAGAACCTGCGGCCTTCCCCCTGCATGCTGATGCAAACAGAAGCTGCCTGCTCCAGCGCAACACGCAGTCGGACAAAATACGCTGCGAAGGTGTCATGCACCATCTCCTGCCCGACATGAGCTGGATGCCGATCTTTGCTTGGCTAGAAAGCTTTGCAACGGCCTTGCTTGGCTAGACAGCTCTGCTTGGCAAAGCAGGAAAGCCACAACTGTTCTGGTGCGAAGTGAACAGCTAGGACCCCTGAGGGTCCTCTGCAAGCTTCACCTTGATTTCGTTGCGAGCGTCCTGTTTCCGCTCAGGATCTTATCTCGTTCTCGAGCAAGCAAGCATCTTTGCCAGCTCAATTGATGCAGTTGAGGGCAGGGCACTGTTGAAGGCATCAAGCACTTGCTGCCAACAGGCTGACGCATGGCACCAGTACTGCTTCCTGGGATGACCCATGCTGACTCTGCGAGCTTCCCCTGTCTTTCGCTGAGAAGATGACCACACCTCTCCGAGATGTTCCATGGTGAGGAAGGCTGCCTCCTGACGCGGGGGCTCGTTGCAAAACAAAGAGTCCTTGTTTGGGAACCTTTTGGAGGCACTCCCGACGGAAAAAATACCTATAACCTGCAAGGGGACTGCCCCGCACCTCTTCCTTGCAGGTGGGAACCAAAGGCCCGTCCTGAAAGAGTGCACGACTCGGGATGCTTTCGGTGCCTCTTAGGCTTACATTGTTGATCCATGCGCTAGTGTATCTGGTTGATGCAAGTTAGTGTGATTCCCAATCTATACATATGTATATATGTATATATATATATACATCTGCAGACACTTACTTGTTTTAGGGATGTTTTTGGTTTAGGTCGCCTTGCTGAGCACCGCCAGAGTCTGCAAGACACTGAGGCCTCAGCTGCACGATACTGCAGCCCGAGCAAAGCAATCGGCTGGGTCTTGCTTAGGCCGTCACCTGCAGAGTGTAGGTCGATGAAGTTCGCATACTCCGACTGCAAATCCTGAGGCAGAACCAGGGAAGCAAGCAACAGTGACAAATATGATAGCATGACAATGGCGATAGTAGTAGTAGCAATACAGTAGACCCCAACAAGTTGGAAACCTTTTTGAGGACAAATAGTGCCGGGATTCCCTATACTTTACTCTTAGGGATTGAGGCTACCGAGTTTCCAACTTTTTGGCTTCTACTATAATCATAGTAATAGATGCAATACAGTCCATATCCATCATCCGCTCGAAAGCCGATCCTGGTCCGCGGACAGGGCGTCGGTGCCCCGCGAGAAGAGCAGCCAAGAAGATATGGTCCAATAGCGTCCATCCTCAGAGAGAGAGGAGCTGGAGAAGGCCATCGGCCCCTGCCTTTAGCCCCCTTAAACCCCCCAAAACGGGCCCAAAGGAGCCCCAAAAACCCTGAACCTCAAGAACGCGAAGCCCCGAAGAAGTGAAAGGCCTATGAAGCCTAAAACGCCAAGGCCGAGGATCCCCGGCAGCACCCGCCATGCGCCAGCCACCAGCTCTCCAGATTTCGGAGTCCACGGCCTTGGGGGGGGGGGGGGGGGGGGGGGGGGGGGGGGGGGGGGGTTGTATGTTCTTAGGGCGGGATTCGGGATTCAGGTTCGTTTTCAGGCTTCAAACCCTAAACCCTAAACCCTAAACCCTAAGAGCTTCTTTCGTGTTGCGCGTAAGTGCGGCTCACCAGAGGCCCCAGGAAAAGCCCTCAGCCCGAGACGAGGCCAAAGTCGATCAAGCCGAAGCTGAGCTGCCCTGTCATGACCTGGAAACACCAAGGGAATTTAGGGTTTAGGGTTTAGGGTTTAGGGTTTAGGGTTTAGGGTTTAGGGTTTAGGGTTTAGGGTTTAGGGTTTAGGGTTTAGGGTTTAGGGTTTAGGGTTTAGGGTTTAGGGTTTAGGGTTTAGGGTTTAGGGTTTAGGCTGCCCTGTCATGACCTGGAAACACCAGGGGAAGTACAAAAACTACACGATAGGGGCGTTTAGGGTTTCGGGTTTAGGATTTGGAGTTTGGGTTTGGGGCTTAGGGTTAAGGGTTTGGCGCGGGCTTGAGGTCACAGCTCAACCATCCCCAAGAAGTTTCTACACAGTGGTTGACATGAACCGCTTGGTTTTACATAGAGCCGTTCTTTAGAAGGGCATGGGCATTCGCAGAGCTGCTTTTGCGCCGTCTGTGCCTGGACCAGGATGTTGTGTGAGTTGACGTCACGGTGGAAGAAGCGGCTGCTCACGTGGCACATCGCCGCGGAGATCTGGCCTAACCTCGCAGCAAAAGTCTTTGGAACTAAATGTGGGGAATCTGTTCCCACCGAGGAAAAATGCAAAGCCAAGTGGCATCGTCGCGGCCACTCGGAAGGCCTTGCCAACACACACAATTGATGCAGACTCGCCCTTTGTCTAACCCTAAACCCTAAATCCTAAACCCCAAACCCTAAACCCTAAACCTCTTGCTGCTACTACCCGCAGCGCCGTGCCCGACCTGCGCCATGGGGTGCAGCTTGTGCGCGCAGAGCTGACCAGCCTCGCCCCAAAAAGATTGCCCGCCACTGCAACCCAAGCCCATCTTCCTACAAGCCCAGAAGTGGGAATGGCCCCGAACAGGGGGGATAGGGGAGGCCGGCCTTGATGAGGACCCCTCAACCCTCTCAGCCCTGAATCCCAACCCCTTAACCCCAAACCCTCTACCCTAAACCTTGACGATGGGTTGCCCTTGCCTCGAGGGCCTGTTGCAGAGGCGCGCCTGGCCGGAGCACTTCAAGACCCGCAGGCTTCCAACTGGGTTTTAAGGTTGGCGTTCTACAAGGTTTGGATACTTTGAAGAATTGGTCTGTTGAGTCGATCCTTTTCTAGCATTGCGTAAGCTCCGATGCGCTCAAGGGGCCCCTATGGAAGCGTATATACACATGCAACCAGGCTCATGCTCACACAGATTCCCACACATGCCGCGACACCGTGAAGGGGTTTGTCGGGGAGTCCCCCTTCGTCCCCATCGTTCTACCGTCAGCGCCACGGATGCCGTGGGCACTGGGATTCTCAAGAAAGATTTGCTTAACGAAACACAGGAAAACAACCAACAAACAAGAGGGAAGCAGCAACCAGGAAAACACAACCCTACAAAATACATATATATATATATATAGATAGATAAATAGATAGATAATAGATAGATAGATAGATAGGCGGGCGCGGGATTCAAGACGCCCACTATTTCCTTGTGACTGTCTACAAAGTCCACATTTCCTTGTATTTCCCGCGTTGCTTGGGGTCCTTACAAACTGAACACAGGTTCTGCTCCGTCAAAGCCTTCCTATTGCTTTTCATTGGGCTTCTATCAAACCTCCCAAATTTCCTTTTGTTCGGCTCTTAAATATAGCCGAATATTTAAGACGCCCCTGTGTGCTTCGCTCATTTCTCCGACAGCATTTGTCACGATGCTGTTGCACTGCTCCTTGAACATATTATTAAAGATGATGATGTGCGATATGTTGCGATGCTGATTATTTAGTATGGTCGAACCACTGGCTGGGCCCGGAGCGTCACACTTGCAAGCTTAGTTCAATCCAATCAAACTCCAACCCCTGAAATCCAAACAACAGACCAACGACACGGCACTTAAGACTTACCAAACACACCTCTGCCGGGCGCAGGGCCTACATATTCCAACCTAACCACCTGATCTTATGGTAAACACCCGATTCCGGTAAAAAATCGCCTTTAAACACCAGAAACCTCCGTTTTTTATTTAAAACCAAGGTACGTCTTAAATCCCGCGCCGGCAGTATGCATGTGTATATATGTGTATATATATATATACATATATAACAAGGAACAAAATCCGGCCTCAGTCCCGGGACTTCTTGTTCTGTTGTTTGTTTGCTTTTTGGTGTTTCGATATTTTTCTCGAGAAAAACCCAAAAAACAACCAAAAAAACACCAAAACAACACAGAAAAATAGCAACACAGCCTCTGCGGGCCCTTCCCCGCCAGCTGTTTCTTCATCTCTGTGTTTTTTCTTGCTTGCTTTCTTGATTTAACCTTTTCCTGGATTTCAAGAGTCCACGGGGTTTCCACTGCCTTAACTCTGCCGTGAGCTGCTCTGCCTAGCCACAAACAGACCTCTCACTCCGTAATGTGATGAGCGGCCTGGTATGTGCTCCATTGCCAGAAGCGTCCGGTAGCCTGTACTGGTGAGCACAGTTCCAGCCTCACGGAAACGGAAACATTGGAAATCCTAAATCTCTGGAAGCTTCCGGGTCTGCACTGGGCATGGTCTTCCGTTAGGGGACAGGGTTCTACTGGAATGACAACAAACAGATGACGAGTTGGTAGAAGTCCAGCCGCTTGCTTATTTGTTCAACTAAAGGCCAGGCCTCCACTTCCCATGCTTCCCGACCCAGATCTGTCCCACGGAGCTGAACAGATGGTGACATTCCACTGGGCGTCCGGCACACACTAAGTACGGCAGAGCCGCGCAAGCTCTGTCGTCCTTGCACCGGAACCCTCATGTTTCAAGAGGCAAGTAGGCTCCCCAGATTCTTACAAAGCAAGCAACTTCATGCCCCAAGCGCCGGTTGCTTGAGACCTTTGTTGGGGTTGGCAGTCGGAGCAGTGCGGGCCTGAATTAGTTCGCGCAGGGCACGAAGGCGCTTGGCCTCCAGCATTGCGGCCTGTGAGCTGAGTCTTCTTACCGCTTCTATGCCTATCTGAAAGCAAATATGGGGGTTTCCGAAATGGGTTGTTGTCAAAATGCTTGTTCCCGAAATTGACGTTAAATCGGAACTCCCTCGGTGCCGCCTTATGTCCTGAAGGAAAAAGAAGCTGATTGAGATGGAGTAGCAAACGCGACATTTGAAGGATCCAAGCATGATTTCCTAGAAAGGGTGCTAACGCGGACCATTTTTCAGGCGCTGCTGTCGGACGAGTCGTCACAAGAACTGCTAGTGTTACTGCTACATACTGCTACTGCTAGAGTTCTGGCGCGAGCGAAGGTTTCTCCGCTGTCGCTACTTGCGGGGCTCGAGCTCCAGCAAGCACAGCACTCTCGGTTCTATGGTGTTCCGTTGTGGTGGAGGAATGGGCCATGGTCTGCCGGGGGAGGTTGCGTTGACATTTTGCTAGCGCCGTGCTGCGGCGCTAGCGCAAAACACTGTGCCAGATTTTCCAAGCTCTGATACTACGACGTGATGACCGACGAAAACAAACCAGGAGCAGCAAATGTACCAAGTCTAACAAGAATATCGTTTCTTTCTTGTCATCGTTTTTCCTAGAAGAACCTCTATCCTGGCAACAGGGGCCCCGTCAATTCAAAACGAAGAGGCGCGGGGTTATTACACCACCCCGGATGTTGTACGCATATTTCGGGTGGTGCGCCTGGCTGGGCCTTCTCAACCAATCTCTGTTGGGTTCGTTTAGTGGTGACATGCGAAATTTGAAATAATGTTGGTTGATTTTACCTAGCGCGAACCTAGCGTTCTCCTAGCGTCATACTGGGGTTTAGGGGATCCCCCTCGGTGCCGCCTTATAGAAAAGACATGAAAATAGACCGGCCAAACCAATTACTGTAAATTACAGTACCTGAGCAGACACGCGAATTTTGAAAGCAACCCAAATAGGGATACCTTATTGGCGGTCATTACTATAAGGGGGATCCTACTATTTGGGGTTCTGTGCTGGGGTCCCCTATTGTCGTCAACCCCCCTATGGGCAAGGCTTCTTGAGGCTTTGCGCTCGTTGCGCCTCCATGCCTTCATTGGAGGAGCTCTGTACTTCCTCGCGCGAACGTGGCATGATGAGTCCGAGTGCACAAAGGGGGTTTGCGAAAATGGGGAACCCCTGAAATAGACCCCCACATAGTAGGACTCCCTTGTAATGACCCCCTTGAAATCCCTTGAATCACGTACCCCCCAATCTCGGAAACCCTAAACCCTAAACTCTAATTCGGAAACCACCACAAAGGAGGGTACACTGAGAGGCCGACAGCATGCCAAGCATGCTGATCCTTCAACGCGATGATCCTGCCAGATGCTGTACAGCTTGCCATCCAGACCTGACGCGCCAGGGTTTAGGGTTTAGGGTTTAGGGTTTAGGGTTTAGCGTTTATTGTTTAGGGTTTAGGGTTTAGGCTTGAGGGTTTAGGGTTGAGGGCTGAGGGCTGAGGGTTTAGGGTTTAGGGTTCAGCCAGTCACAGCAAGAGCACGGGAGGACTTGAATGTTTGCAATCTCTGCCGGGGTGACGGAGCCAAAACTCCCAAAGCCAAGAAGGTTATGCAACTTGAACGTCTGACTGTCAACCTAAGATTTGCGGCACACAGAGGGACTGGTTGGCAAAGGTGGTCCTCGTCTTCGCCCTTGTCTTCGCGCATCTTAGCACATGACAGAAACGGTCGCGTCGGTCTCCATCTCGGTGGCATCCTGACAAATGGGGGGGTGTACGAAAACAGGGGACCCCCAATGTAGATCCCCAAGTAGCCTTATAAATAAAATAAGCACCCCAAAATAAGGTGCCAAGTCCGTAAACCCCCAGAGAAGCCTGTCCTGGGAGCAAGTCGTCGACAGCGAGCAGCCGCCGAAGAACTCCTTGCCCACCAACTGGGCAGCTTCGGATTCTCGGCCGCCCGGCCATGGCTCACTGCCTTCTCGAACCGGGATGCAGCACATTGCAGCACAGGGCGCAGCTCAGGATTGGTCCCACTTCTTCATGGCTTCGAAAACTCTGAGTTTCAGACGGGCCTGCCCCAATGATGGGATACTGAAATTCTCCTGACAAGGTCTGGAGTCTCCCTTGAACCCCACCCGCCTAGCAGGCCCAAACCCCAAAGCGGCATATGCGGGCCTGGGGAGTCCTTGTGTAAGAGCCCCAGTACTCGTCATCGGATGAATCGTCTGATGCCATAGCAGCTACAGCAAAGAGTTGCAGGAAAGATATCCACCGTTGCGCCGACGCCAATGGCGTGAATATGTGTCATGCCTTCGGCTAGTGAATGAAGTCCAAACTGAACAGGAGTTTGTTAAGCCAAAGCTTTGGCAGTCGCCATGGCACATCCACAAAACAAGTGCCCCGCAACCTCTACCACTGCCGGGGGCCACCAAGACTTACAGGGCCGAGAACTGTGAACTGCCCCAGGGGACCGAACATCCACACCCCTCATTTGCCGACCCCGGATGCTCACAGCAGCAAAGGAGGCAAAGGGGGGAGGACCGCTCTCGTTGCGGAAAATTCAGCAGACGATTGTGCCGGCGTGGACTCGAAAACGGACTTGACTTCCTTGACCTGCGCAGAAGGGCGCCGAGGGAGACAAGCGAAGACACCAAAAGCAGACGAGCAGGGACAAAATGGGGCGCGGCGCCTTTTTCTTCTTTTTCTTCTTCTTCTCGGCCTCCTGTTCAGCACGGAGCTTGTTACGGCCTTACTGGCCCCTTGCTTCCACCAGCTTACCCTAAACCCTAAACCCTAAACCCTAAACCCTAGACCCTAAACCCTAAGCAGCCCCCGGGGCCTGAGGAGCCGGTGTCTCAGCCGGTGTCTCAGCAGCGCTAGCGCTGACGGGCGGGGCTTCCTCCACCGCAGCGTCAGGTGCCTCACACATCTCTGCTCGAGGAACAGGGTCCGTGTAGCAGCTCCACAAGTACTAAGAAAACATGAAAGAGGGAGAGAGAAAGAGAGAGAGAGGGAGAGAGAAAGAGAGAGAGGGAGAGAGAGAGAGAGAGAGCGAGGGAGAAAGAGAGGGAGGGAGGTTCAAAAAGTGCGCTTCGATGTGGAGTAGGTGGGCGACGCTAGCCGGCGTCTCTTCCGCCTCGGCCATGCTGGGCCTGGGTCAGCGACAGGAGGGCGCAATTGCTGCATGGTTCGTCACGCTACATTATATAATTGTATAATTATATAATTATATAATTATATAATTATATAATTATATAATTATATAATTATATAATTATATAATTATATAATTATATAATTATATGATTATATAATTATATAATTATATAATTATATAATTATATAATTATATAATTATATAATTATATATATATATATGGCTCTTGCTCTACTCTTCCATATTTGCAGAATGCACCATATTAAGGCACCGACTGGCTAGACTCAACGACCGTGGTGAGTGCTTGAGATGAGTGGCAGCCAGGGGAGCCGCGTACGAAGGCTTGGTGGAGCTGTGGTATCCCAAAGTCGGTATGCAATGTTGGCAATGCTTCTGTCAGCTCCTTGTTCTGAACTCAAACTGCGCACCACTTTGGAGCGATCAGATTTCTGGAGCTGGCGCTTGCCTGCTTGCCCAGATTCTCGACCCACTGGAACGTGAAACTTCAACATCGGACTGCCAACGATTCGAACTCTCAGGCTGTCGACTCTGTTCAGTTGCGCTCCATCCTCAGTTCTTCCGAGAAGTTCTACAGACTAGTTCAAAAGAGTAAGACTTCGTGCGGGTTTTTTTAATTCATTGGGAATGGCTCCTCCTTCCTGGCTGCAGACGCGAACGCCTTGTCACAGCATGGTCGCGCCTGCTGTCAAGCTCATGTATGGGTGATGGCACACCTCCACCTCAAGAAAGCATGCCATCGGCACCATTGGCTGAGGACTTCCTTTGCATGGAATACGTCTCCCCGACTCCAGCCTGCAACAAGTGCTACATCTCAGGCGCCATGCAATTGCAGCTCCGGGCGGGTTCCTCTGGCCTCGAAGAAAGTGCAGCAAGGTGCACAAAGTCGCACCATCTGAGCATGACCTGAGGTAGCTGCAAAGCCGTTCTCATGCAACAGAGAAAAGGCGCTCATTTTCCAGCTAGGGCAACAAAGCTGAACAGTCCAGATGAGCTGGCAGCCACTGGTGGGCATGATGGGAGCAACTCCACCACCTCTCTCACGATTCAGACCACCTGTATAGGAAGGCACGCAGGGCAATAAAGCAGAAACCCCTGACCAAAATTGAGAGCTGCAGTTCCAATGCGCAGCCCACACCTTCAACGTCTGTGGATGCCTGAAGGCCACGGCAAGGGAAACTTCGAAGGAAGGGCTCAAAACATCGGGCAAGCATGACCGGCTGCTGCCTTGCTCCCATTGCTGGAAGACTCTGCCACAGCCTGGGGGCGGGGGTGATGGTAACTAGGACCGATAAGGGGCGCGAAGGAGCAGGGTGGGGGAGCAATGTAGAGTCCTCCAGGCTCCACAATGGATTGCCCGACGGTGAAAAAAGTAGCGAAAAATCAGGACCCTCATGTGGATGTCCTTCGCATACTGCGTTCCCAGCGCACGTATCCTCTAGACACTGAAGGCCTCAAAAAAACGTTAACAACCCCAAAGCACTCAAAAACCGATGGGTGCTCTTATAGAGCCGTGTGAATGCCCCCAATACCTCTTGACGAACCCCAGAAAACTCCCAAAAGCGGGAGGGGGTTCCAGCATGCATCAAGTCCCTGGTCCAGCTTGCATCCTACGGGACTGTGCCCTCGACTACGGACCCCCTACTATGCACGCTGGAAGTGAAACATGATACACACTGGACCGGTCGCAAGTCGAGCGTGCATCATGTTAAGTCTCCACGTGCATCGTTGCTATGTTTAGGTACCAGAGCTCTAAACCCTAAACCCTAAAGCCTAAACCCTAAACCCTAAACCCTAAACTTAAACCCTAAACCCGAAACCCTAACGGGCTCAGCCGGGTAATTTCGTCATTCTGCTGAGGACCGGCAATTCGGAGGTGAAACAAGAAGGTTCCGGGTCCCGCCCAAAAAGAGCGCGCCAAATGATGCCAGCGAAAACCCGGCCAATGTCGCATTCACTGGCCCTGCCAGTACTTTCGACATGGTGGCTTCGGGTGACGTACACAAGCCCACACGGCCAAAGCACTGGCAGAACCTGCTTCGGATGCACACTGGAAGGCCATCTAGGATGCACGCTGGACGGGCAACTTGATACATACTTGACCCTGCCCCCCCTAAAAACCCTTCAGGACCCCAAGAACACCCAAGAAATTCGTAAATAAAAACACTCACCCCTGAAAACCCTCAAACTCAAAGCTCTAAAAACACCCCAAAAAGCCCTCAAAACCCTGAAAGCCGCCCAATTTTTCGGGCTTCTTCCCGGGGGGCATCTGAGCCTCGGGAACCTCGCTCGGCCGGACGTCTGGCCTGGGCTTCGGGCTCAAGGCTCAGGGTTTGGGGTTTAGGGTTTAGGGTTTAGGGTTTAGGGTTTGGGGTTTAGGGTTTAAGGTTCAGGGTTTAAGGTTTAGGGTTTCGGGTGTATGGCGTACAACTTTGGAGCTTTTGAATCAGAAAGAAGAGTCTTCTTAGGGCTTTCGTTGACGAAGAAATGCTAAAACCTGGGGCTTTTGGGAGTTTAAGATTTGGGGTTCAGGTTTGGGGTGGCTTGGGGTGGGGGTTTGGGCTTTGAGGGACGAGTGGCCAAGACTACGGAAGTAAACCGACAAAGCTGCAATCAGCAAGTGCCTCTACTTGTGCTAGGCGGAAAAGAACAGCAATATGGAACCAGTCTGAGTTTTCATCAAAGTGTGCAACCTTTGTCGGTTTAGAGAGCCTTGGCGCGCAGAAGTTTCTACAAACAGCGTGTCACAGTCGGCAGTGCTTTTGGATAATCATATGGTGAGTTCTCTAAAAGATGGTCCCTTTTGGGGCCGTTATTGTAAGGCGGCCCGTCTTATTTAGGGTACCCAAAAAGGGACCTTAATTTAGAAACTCACCATATGAGTTTGGGGTCTTGGGAGTCACAATCTAGGGAGTTTAGGATCCGCTGTGTTTCCGGTTTGAGGGTGTAGGGTTCAGGGTTTAGAGTTTAGGGTTTAGGGTTTAGGGAGACACGCAACGCCGGACCCTACTTTGCCCTACGCCAGACGAATGCCGGATGCCATGTAAATGGAGCCTGGTGCGCTGACCAAAGCTGCTGACCACCAACTTTTCAGTGTCCCTAAACCCTAAACCATAAACCCTGAACCCTTCACCATTCCGCTCTCAGAGTTCGCTCAGCTTCACTACGACTCGCTAAGCCTTGCACACCAAGCCAGGGCTTGCTCCTCGCTGAGAAGGTCACTCAGGGTCTTACATAATTAGTATAACTGTGTGAATTATTATGCATTATTCATATAAGTTATACTAAATACATTAAGTATATCGAGTACATTAAGTATATTGAGTACATTAAGTATATTAAGTATAATTAGTATATTGAGTATGTTACGTACATTAATTGCATTCAGTATCTTTATAATAAGTATCATAGTACTTATGTCGACTATCTTATGAATTGTATTCATGTTGTTAGTTATATCCATGAAAATAGTGAGAATACAGATATTGTCACCACAAAGTGTCAAGTCGAGTCCTCTATCCTGATCGAGCGAGAGCTCGACCGCCTCGGCAGGATGAGTGCATTCAGAAAAAGACTCAGAATCTCAAGTGGCAAGCAGACTCTACGGACCCAGCCGCTGTCAGCCGCGACTCGTTGAGATGCATGTTGACCTGGAGGAGGGGTAGCTTCAGTTTGGACGCCTCGTGAGAGAGTCAGCTGTACGTTCCATGACCACTGGAAGTATGCAGCATGCCGCACATGCCTTGGCACTCCGCCGCTCGTCCAGCGGAACAATGATGATGCCCCTTGCAAATGTCAGGCATGAACACTTTGGCTGTGCAATAAGAATATGCATATTTTTTATGGAGACATATATATATATATACATATACAGGGATAGTATGTATACACATATATATATATATATATATATTCCTGAATATATGTATATATATATATAATATAGACACATATAATGAATATGTTCATATATGAATCGCACTTGGAGCTGGTTTAGTCCCGCAAGCTGGCAGCTATCCGGTCTAAATTGATGGGGACGCAGGCTGAGCACCATGGGCAAGCTTCTCGCCGCGATCCGTCCTGACCCTTTGTACAAGCGGTACTCGACCTCACGTCTTTTTCCCGCTATGGCGCAGCCACGCTCGCATTTGCAAGTTTTGTGGGACACTGCGCTCTACCTGCACGACGTCCTATCACAATCTTGTCAGTCGAACATGTTGCCGCCTTCCAACGCGATGCCCTGCCAAGGGACTACAGGAAGCCCAAAGTTGCCGCAAACAGCAGCTCCTATGACAACTGCAACATTGCTCACTGAGGATCCATTGTCCCGGCCCTGCCTTGTCTTTCGCAAATCTATGTATCTCTTCTTTCAACTCCGTCTGAGGGATCAGGTCCTCTTTGCAGCAATAAGCATGCCTTGCTTGTGCGTAGCTTCCGCATGCGGCTACGCGGGTCCTCCACCTTGAGCGGTGTGTTTGCGAATGGATCCTTGTCCCCACCTTGCAGAGAGGGGGCGTGTAGGAACGTGCAGTGTAGGCCGTATGGGCCACTAACCACGACAAGGTTTGGCTTCGGGCTCATGATGATCCGAAGAGCCGAGGTCCTGTCCGCAACCTGAGAAAGGGAGAACTTAGAAGCAAACAGCAGGGGCCCTTTCTCTTACTGTTGGTTAGGAGGGAGGGAATGAGGTACCCTATGTAATCCCTAAAAGGGTACAGTATACATAGGGGGAGAAAAGGGTACCTCATTCCCTCATTCCCTACTAACCAACAGCAAGTTCTAAGCCACAGCAATCCGCCGGCCTTCCGACTTTGTGGGAACATCACTGGATCCGACATGATGTCTGCCATGATCTCGCAGAGGTAGCGATCTGGGATCTCAGCCTCACGGAAATCCACCACCTCAGCACCTGAATCCTCACCAGCTTAGGGTTTTAGGGTTTAGGGTTTTAGGGTTTAGGGTTTAGGGTTTAGGGTTTAGGGTTTAGGGTTTAGGGTTTAGGGTTTAGGGTTTAGGGTTTAGGGTTTAGCGTTTAGGGTTTAGGGTTTAGGGTTTAGGGTTTAGGGTTTAGGGTCATCAACAAGGGGCGCCTCATCGAAGGCCGCACGGTGCTGGGACACTTTCTCCCCAAGCTCCTGGTGAGCCATGACACATGTGGGCTTACGCTCATAAGGGTTTAGGGTTTAGGGCTTAGGGTTTAGGGCTTAGGGTTTAGGGTTTAGGGACCCAAAATTTGGCTCCCATATAGTAAGACCCCCTTATAGAAAAGGATCCCAAGAAGGTACCCCTACTATCGTAAACCTCCAAATGCCAGGCCAAGCAGCCTAAAGCGTAAGAATGAGGCGTAAGGCCATTGTCGCTCCTTGCAGAAGTCTGTGAACGCGTCGAGATCGCTGCCACTCAGCAGGCCGTACTTCCTCCGGCGACTGCTCAGGCCCTTCAAGCGGCTACGGCTGCGCTGAGAGAGGGCCCTGTCCTCACAAAGTTTGTGGCTTTGCTGAAAGTGTTGCTACCTGGCAACAGACAAGAAGGTCTTGATGCTTCAAGCTTCTGGATCGCTTGCAGAAGAGCTGCTGTAGTACCGCTCATCTTTCCCAACCACGCGAACAACCTCCGGACTTTTTTTTTCAGTGTCTCGGCAAGTCTTTGGCCAAAGAGGGCTTTGGGGCAGTTCCGGGCCTCTGCTTTGTTGGCCTTCGCGAGGAACAGATAGATCTCCACAATCTGCTTGATGAGCTCCTGAGCCGCCCAAAAAAAAAGAGAAACTCTCAAGGAGGGCCCAATCCGAAGGTGAAGCAGTGGTCGTGGCAGACGCCCTAACATGGCCCTTCTATTATCGCTTAGAGGGATCTTTCACCCCAAACCCTAAACCCCCCCAAGGGTACACACTCAGGGGGTCCAGGGTTGAGTCCCCTGAACCCTAACCCTAAACCCTAGACCCTAAACCCTAAACCCTAAACCCTACACCCTAAACCCTAAACCCCCCCAATGGGTCAAAAGGCCTTTGGGTTGAAGCCGAGCTCGTCGTACTCCTGAGGCGAAGCCTTGATTGACTTCATCTCCGGGCCTGCAAGGGTTTAGGGTTTGGGGTTTGGGGTTTAGGGTTTAGGGTTTAGGGTTTGGGGTTTAAGGTTTAGGGTTTAGGGTTTTTAGGGTTTAGGGTTTAGGGTTTACGTTTCGGGGCACATGGTAGGTTCCCCCAAACTAGGGCTGGGTTCGGCCGTGTTCATGTGGACCCTTATCTTGTGTGTTACCCAACAAGGCCCCCCCCCTCCCCCATCATTCTCAGAACGAGCAACCTACTATGCAAGATGCGAGCAGAGGCAACTCAGCTCCGGCGCCTACCAAGTAGTGAAGCTGCCTTGGGCTGCGAGACATGCAGGGCCTCAAAGAGACCTCAAAAAAGAGACCTCAAAAGAGACCTCAAAACAGAGACCTCAAAAAAGAGACCTCAAAACAGAGACCTCAAAAGAGAGACCTCAAAAAAGAGGCCTCAAAAGAGAGGCCTCAAAAGAGAGACCTCAAAAAAGAGACCTCAAAAAAGAGACCTCAATAAAGAGACCTCAATAAAGAGACCTCAAAAGAGAGACCTCAAAAGAGAGACCTCTAAAAGAGACCCCAAAAGAGGGGCCCCAAAAAAAAGGCCCCTGGCATCCTGCGGCCGGGGAGCGCATCGAGCGACGAGTGCAGGAGCTGCTCCAGGGTGCCCTTGCCCTCCACAATGGTCGGAGCGCAGAGCTTGCAGAGCAGCCACATCTGCTTCCAGGTCCTGGGAGGGGGGCATCTTCTCTGAGATCAAGTTGTGGGCTGCTCTGGGCATATGATAATAATAGTGATAATAATACTAATAAAAATTATAATAACAATATTATTGATATATATATATATATACTCACTTTCAGGAGAGGCCGCCTCGCCGACAAGCCGAAGTACTTCTTGGCATGCTCCTCCCAGCTTCTCGCACCGCACGACAGGCTCACAAGCGACTTTTCGAGTGCCCGGTGCCTTGTAGTTCATCCGGCTCCGACGATAGATGTCTTCTGCCTCGTCACCATCCCCAGTCCGGTCATCGTCCAAGACCTTCCAACACGCGCACACACACACACACACACACACACAGAGTCGTGAGCGTGATACGTGCGAACACACGCAGGCGGGTGAGCTTGTGTCGCCACTGCGCAGGTTTTCCGGCCACCCGCCCGGACCCCCAAGGCTTGCCCCGCCTGCTCGTCGTGACGCTGCGGGGCCTCAGAAGTCTTCTCGGTGGGAGCTGGGCTTTGCAAAAAGAACTGGTCAACCGCAGGGGGGCCGACGGAAGCAGACGGAGCGCTCTCCCTCTGCTTCTCGTGATACTCCTGCCAAAATGCTATAGTGCATGCTTACTGGCAGTAGCATGAGTCGAAAAGGGTTTTTAAAAACCAAAAGAGGGTTTTTAAAACCCTTTTGTTTTAAACCCTCTTTTGGGCAAGAAGCTGGCTGTCCTTGACGGTTCGGATTGCCTCCTCGATCTGAGAGTTGCTGTCATTGATGAGTTGGGTCAGCAACTGTGCGCAGCAGCAAGGACCGCAAGGTGCTTCTCCTAAACCCTAAACCCTAAACCCTAAACCCTAAACACTCTGTGTTTGATACTGTCTTGGCCTTCAGGAATCTGTCGTTGCCCTCACCGTTGATGAACTGCTCAAGTACCTGAGGCAGCCAGGGCCGCAACGACGAGCCTGTACGCCTAGGGGAAGAAACCATCACGCTGCAACCCCAGAGATTCACCCAACACCAGCTTTCAAGCAGCTCGATACCATTCGACATGATTCGGAATTCTCAAGAGCAGTGAAAGGGGGTTTACGATAAATTGGGGACCCCTAATCGACCCCCAAATAGAAGGATCCCCTTATACTACCAAGGACCCCAAGAAAATACCCCCTATTCTCGTACACCCCAAAAAGGCGAAAGGCACCGCCAAAAGACACCCAAAGACTGTGAAGCTCCGCGCTCGGCCTGGCGATGGCCCTCTGTCTGCAAGGCCAAATCGAACAGGTCCATGACGGGCACCCGAAGCTGCCGCAGGTTTAGGGTTTAGGGTTTAGGGTTTGGGTTTAGGGTTTAGGGTTTAGGGTTTAGGGTTCAGGGTTCAGGGTTCAGGGTTCAGGGTTCAGGGTTCAGGGTTCAGGGTTCAGGGATTTTTGTGCTGGGGTTGATGACTTGTGGCCCTGAATCTGGCACCTCATACTTGTACCGGTACGAAAGGTCGTAATAGCTCATGATGGCTTTCTCCACCGCAATGAAGACCTCTGTGTCAGACAACAAGCCACGCTGGGCTGATTCCGGCCCTCTGACCTGCATCTCTGTCTGGGCATCGCACATTGACCAGGCATGGGATGAGGTGCTTGTCGAGCGGTGGCACATTTAGCCGGTCCTCGCAGGCCACGATTTCCCAAAGAAGGTTAGGCACCCTGCGGGTCAGAAATGCCGCGCGGTCCCTCCAAGATCGGAAGGACATGCAAAGCCGATGAAGCAGCTTCACCTCTGCTGGTGCCAGGAGTTCTGAAGATGAACCCCTTTGAGCGTTTTCAAGGCCCAGGCAGCTCGCCCGCGCAAGGAGGGATCTCTGACGTGGTCTTCGGAGGCCATGACCTGAGGCGAAACCGAAACTAAGAGGAAGACGATTTTGGAACATTCCGAGCGAAAGGCGACGCAGAGCGTCGTCAGGACTGGATCAGGATCCAGGTGCACGAACAGCCCCGTTGGTATACCACCAGCTGCAAACAGGGCCGGCATGTGAAAGCTACGACATTGACGTAATGGTAGACTGCTGTCAGGCACACAATGACATAAGGACCAAACATTTGCTCCTGTCGCGGTCACGGTACAAGTCACAAAGCTCGATGACGTTTTCCAGAACCTCGGTAGTCGAGCCGCACAGTTGAAGGAGGACGGGGCGGCAAGCAGCACCGGCGGATCGATCGAAAGCATGGGCTGCGTGGTACTCCAAAGTATGAGGAACATATGAATATATATATATATATGTATATATATATGGTCACCCCCCCCAATGGACCCACCGCGGGCCTTGATCTTTGCAAAAGTACCGCAAATACCGATAAAACCTATGCTGTCTGGTGATTTTCCGGTGACCGGATTTTTGACTGTATTCCTTAATTCACTCTCTCACACACACGGATGGTTTTTCTTTCTGTTGGCTTTTGTTTATAATTTAAGACTTAGGCATTTAAACCTAAGCTTGCAAAAAAACCTTGACCTTGAAACCCTGTAGGGTTGAGGTTTCAAGGTTAAGGGTTTAAGATTTAGGCATTTGAACCTATGCCGGCAATTAAACCCTAAGCCCTTAACCTTTGATTTCTATAGGGTTAAGATTTTTACAGGTTTAGGTTTCAGATGTAGGCATTTAAACCTAAGTCTGCAACTAATTTTAAACCCGTAACCTTTAAACCCTATAGGGCTAAGGTTTAAAGGCTTAGGGTTTAAGATTTAGCCATTTAAACCTGTAGCCAAGCCCTTAACCTTTAAACCCTGCAGGGTTAAGATTTTAAAGGTTTAGGATTTAAGAGTTAAGCATGTAAATCTCAGACTTCAATTAGTTTTAAATCCTTAACCTTTAAACCCTGTTGGGCTAAGGTTTAAAGGTTTCGGGCTTAAGATTTAGGCATTTAAACCGATTCCGGCAAGTAACGCTAAGCCTTTAACCTTAAAACCGTATAGGGTTAAGATATTTAATGGTTTAGGGTTTAAGTTTAAGGTTTAGGTATTCAGACCTATGCCGGCAGTTCATATTGAACCCTTAACCTTAAACCCCATAGGGATAAGATTTAAAGGTTTAGGATTCTTTACTTAGACATTTAAATCTAAGCTTGCAATTAAACCGAAACCCTTAACCTTTAAAACCCTATAGGGTGAAGGTTTAAAGTTTTAGGGTTTAAGATTCAGACATTTAAACCTAAGACGGCAATTAACAATAAGCCCTGAACTTTTAAACCCTATAGGGTTAAGGTTTACAGGTTTGGGGTTTAAGATTTTGGCATTTAAACCTAAGTATGTATAATTTGTCACCCTTAACACCCTTAAACTTTGTAGTGTGAAGGTTTAAAGGTTTAGGGTTTAAGATTTAGACATTTAAACCTAAGCCCATAGAGTCTAAACCTTAAGGGTTAAGGTTTAGGCATCTATTCCTTAACCCTAAACCCTCTCTGGTCAGGACCCTAAAGCCCTCGGCAATCAAGCCTAAACCCTTGACCTTCAAACCCCATAGGATGAAGGTTTGAAGGTTTGGGGTTTAAGGCTAAGGCATTTAAACCTAGAGGGCATTTAAGCCTTAACCCTAAACCCTAAACCCTTCAAGGCCAGAACCTTAGCACCCTATATGGATCTAGCACCTGCAGGTATACATCGGTTTTTAAACCATTACACCCTGTAAGAAGGTTTAGGGTCTTTTCGGGGTCTATCTCTAAATTTCCCACGGGGTTAACCCCGAAGGGTTTAAAAGTTAAAGGTTTAGGATTAAAGTTTAGGCAATACGTAAAGGATTAGAAGTCTTCTCCTGGTAAAACCATCTTTTCTCGAGAAAAAGATGGTTTTTCGAAGGATGGCTCAAAACCACCTTTTTCTCAAGAAAAAGATGGTTTCCAACCAAAAAACCATCTTTTTCTCGAGAAAAACAAAAAACCAAAAAAACCAAAAAAAAACATCTTTCCAAAACTATGGGGCTGGGGCCTCCAAAAGATGGTTTTTTTGGTTTTCTCGAGAAAAAGATGGTTTTTTGGTTCGAAACCATCTTTTTCTCGAGAAAGATGGTTTTTGGAGGTCTTCTCCTGGTAAAACCATCTTTTTCTCGAGAAAATGATGGTTTTTGGAGGTCTTCTCCTGGTAAAACCATCTTTTTCTCGAGAGAAAAGATGGTTTCCAACCAAAAAACCATCTTTTTCTCGAGAAAACCAAAAAAAAGACCAAAAAAAGATGGTTTCGAACAAAAAAACAGAAAACCAAAAAAACCAAAAAAACCATCTTTTCCAAAACTATGGGGATGGGGCCTCCAAAAGATGGTTTTTTTGGTTTTTCGAGAAAAAGATGGTTTTTTTTCGAAACCATCTTTTTCTCGAGAAAAATGATGGAGAAAAAGATGGTTTACCAGGAGAAGACCTCCAAAAACCATCTTTTTCTCGAGAAAAAGATGGTTTTAGAAAACCAGGAGAAGACCATCTTTTTCTCGAGAAAAAGATGGTTTTACCATCTCTTTTTCTCGAGAAAAAGATGGTTTCGAACCAAAAAAACCATCTCAAAAACCATCTTTTTCTCGAGAAAAAGATGGTTTCGAACCAAAAAAACCATCTTTTTCTCGAGAAAACCAAAAAAACCATCTTTTGGAGGCCCCAGCCCCATAGTTTTGGAAAAGATGGTTTTTTTGGTTTTTTTGGTTTTTTTGGTTTTTTGGTTTTTTGTTAGTTTCTTGTTTTGTTGTTGTTCCCTTGATCTGGCTAGGACTCGGATGCCACCCTCGGTGGGTCCATTGGGGGGTGTGAGCATATATATATATATATACTATATATATATATACTATATATATATATGTACTATAATATAATACATATATATGTATAATTAACAGAGACCCAATACAGCCCACGACCAAGATCAATCCTGATTCTCTAAGCCCTAATTAACCTCCTTTCTAAACTGGTGAGATTGTCTTGACAGGGTCCGCACGGAACTCGGCACCACGTGCCAAGTAGGACCCGGCTGAGGGGGAGGGAGCGCCTCGCATACTTGGGCTGAGGGAATGGGGTTTAGGTGGGATTTAGGGTACCCTAAACCCTAAACCCTAAACCCTAAAAGCCCCCAAAAATGCTGAAAAAAAAACAAAAAATGCAACCAAACCCCCCCAAAAAAAAATCCCACATGGTTTCCGCCTGATGATCTCCCGCAGCCGCGGTCTGCAGAAATCTGAAGGTCAGGTCTACGAGATGGCCGAGGCGTTCCAGGAATCTCGGCTCCTTTCCCAAAGCGGGTTTAGGGCTTAGGGGTTTGGGGTTTGGCATTTAGGGTTTATGGGGTACCGGGCTAAGGTTTTACAGCTGAGGGATGTGCGATATGTTGTATCCCACAAGCACGAGCAAACGCGCCGTCACAGAAGCATACGCCAGCGTGCGGCAACCGGCGATAGCGTGCACGTACGGCACGACAGTAGCGCATCTTGGCGCTCTGTGATCTAAGCCGAATTACCTTTGAACCCCCCACTGGGCATCCATCAAAGTCGATGCCATTGCCGTGCCTGCCCCCTCTCAGCTCCTTTCATATCCTTTCCTCGCCTTTCCTTCTCTCCATTTGTTTCCTTTTTTGAGAGGCTGTGACTGTGAGATGCTCATGAGCAACTCAGCCAAAGGGAAGTGGCAGCTTGAAAGGCAAACAATGGAAAACCTGTTCTCATCGACTTCCGTCCTTGAGGGAAGCCTCGGACAGCAGGTACTCACGCCAGGCAGTGTCCGCAATTTGGCGGTCCTCGTCAGCTTTCGGCCAATGGCTGCAAAACTCCAGACCCTAACCACTTGCGCTGCATCCTTGTCGTAGAAGACCGACGCAATGCCCTGCCATGCGTGGAATGCCTCCTTTGCCACGGGCATGAGCCTTGGCCGCGTCCATGCAGTGCTGGTGGACTCTTAGCTTGGGGGTTGGTTGATCTACATGTTGAGTCCTTGCTGGGTCTCTGTTACCAGCTATCAAAATATCGAAAAAGTTCTTCGTGTTCGGAAAGAGTTTGAACGGCTTCTGAGGAAGCTGAGGCAACGACAGCGACCCAATTCCCTTCGTGGCAAGCCAGAAGATCTGACGACGGCATGTGCAGCAGGTACTATAGGTACTGTTTGGGGTTCGGTTGTGTTGGCAACATATGAAGCAGGGTTTATATTTCTGCTTTTGGTGAGTGTGTGTAAGGTTCCTTTTTAGGATTGGTGAGTGCACACCTTGCTGTCCTTTTGGGGGTACAAGAAATATACCCTACTTCATATAGCAACCGCTACCACAAGAGGTATCAGGTATCGGCAATGCCGGCCATGGACGTCCGAGGTTTGCAGGGCCCTGGCTTTTCCACCCCCCCACGCCCCCACCCCGTTTCGTTCATTTTGTTGTCAAATCGAGGACCGGAATCTCTCGCGATGAGAAGGGTTCCTAGGCCGGACCCCACAGGCCCCCCCTCCCAACATGCAAAAATCTAACAACGCACGCATTGTCGTTAGTCGACTGCCCACTTGCTGTATTGCACAAGATCTCTTCCGAACCTGACCTAGGACCTGTCTGAACCCCCCCTTTTAGGGACACCAATCAAGCCGGAACCCCAACCCTAAACCTTAAACCCCAAACCCCAGAGATATATAGTAATATAGGAATGTGGTCATATAGAAATCTAGGAGTCTAGCGATATCACAATGTATCGGAATATAAGAATATAGGAATATAGCAATATAGTTCCATGTTGTAGTTGTATAGCAATACAGCAATATAGTTATTTCGCAGTACAGTAATATTGGAACCCTCAGTCGAATCCCTACGAAACAATGCTACTGCCAGTGTAACGTCCTAAGCTGGAGGCTTAGGAAGTCAAAGCTTCAGAACTTGTGGTTTAAGTTTAAGCTAGGGCTTTAGGGGTTAGGCTTCAGGGCTTGTAGAGTTTATGGGACTTACCAGGGCTTTGGGCTTAGGGTTCAGGGTTTCAGGAGGCCGACCCGCCTACACCCTAAACCCTAAACCCTAAACCCTAAACCCTAAACTTTTCAAACCTAAACCCTAAACGCCTCGGACTTGAAGAGGGTCTTGTCGCTCAGGGCGGCTGTGTACGTTGGCTCCTGAAGGGCTCCACGTCCCCAATTCCACCCCCGAAAGAAAAAAAACAGCCCTTAATAGGGATTAGGGTTTAGGGTTTAGGGTTGAGGGTTTAGGGTTTAGGGGGGTAATAAGGGGTACTATACTCATAAGATAAACATGAGAAAACACAGTATCTGATGGAGCGAAGCGCCAGGGGCCGGGCCGATTTCGCCCTCTCCGACGCCGCCTCGACCTGCTCCTTCTCCCCAAAGCGAGCCTTGCAATCTCAGGGCTCCGTAGGGTTGAGGGGGTTTAGGGTTTAGGGTTTCGGGTTTAGGGTTTAGGGTTTAGGGGTTTCGGGTTTAGGGTTTAGGGTTTAGGGTTTAGGGTTTAGGGTTTAGGGCTTTGGGCTTTTTGGGTTCTAGGGCGCTGGGGGTTCTTGGGGCTCCGCGTTCTGGGGGGCTCCAGGGGGTTCGAGGGGTTCGAGAGTTGGGGCTTAGGAATCTAGGATTCTGGGAGTTCGGTTCTGGAAGCTAGCGTTCAGGGTTTAGGGTTTAGGGTTTAGGGTTTAGGGTTCAGGGTTCAGGGTTCAGGGTTCAGGGTTCAGGGTTCAGGGTTCAGGGTTCAGGGTTCAGGGCTCAGGGCTCAGGGTTCAGGGTTCAGGGCTTTTGGAAACTCAGCTTCGGCCTAGGCTTCGCTGAGGGTTCAGGCCTATCGGGGTTGGTGGCTCAGCTGCCGACATCACACCTTCCCGCAAGCACTCCGCCCGCCTCCTTTTTGAAGTTTCCAAGCAGCTGCGGGACGTCTTCTCGCAATGGGAAGAAGACCTGAAAGGAAGGCGATGGTCGACGATGTTCAGACACAACAGTCAATCGCATCCTCCTCATTCGCTTCCCTCTCTTCCGTGCGTCAACAAGCTGCTGGTGTGGCCCTCGCAAAAACGCAACACCTGGGGCCCGCGGCGGCCTTTCTTTCGTGGAGAGCTTCAGCGAAACAAACAAAAAAGGTTTCAACACGGTAGCGGTTTTTTCCGTGCATAGCTGGGGGGGGGGGGGCAAATGTTAGCCCCACAGCCCATCGATAAGAAGAATGTTCCCCCCACACATGGAACATGCTGAGTTCAGGGGCCGAGATGGTGGAGGCGTGCTCTGACTTGATGGGCTTGATCAAGTGCAGTAGCCTGAACGTCTCCCGCCCTATACTCCTAACGGTTGCCTTTGCTTTGCTGAAGAAAGCCCTAAGTTCTCGACAGCGTGAATGTGTTCAAGGCCATACCGCTCGTTGGGAAACCTTGAAGACGTGCATGAATAGCCTCCGTCGCAGCATGCCATGTGAGTCCGAGCAAACTGTCAGCAACACGAGCGCTGGCCTGCAGAAGAAGCAAATTCTTCAAGGACTTCTCAAAAGAGCCAGGGTCCAGCTGCTGCATGTAGTCAATCACGTGATTGCCATACTGGGGCCAGAAGTTAAACCTGCACTACACCGGCATGGGACACGCATCAAGCGAGAACGTTCTGGCCACAATATGCCACACTGCACACAGACATGCTGGGACACGGGCCCCTCTGGTGCCGGCTGACCTTGCCGACCTCGAGGCTCTGCTGCCGTGATCAGTGCCTTGGGCCGTGCCATGTAAGCGCAAAGCCGACAATGTGCGCTTCGGAGAGAGATGCAGAGAGCCTGAGGCGTCAGAGCCTTGCAGCTTGGGCTCATACTCCGAGCCACTCGAGCACGGCCATGCGTGGCTCGTCCTGGACATGGCCACAATCTTTGAGTTGTGTCGAATAATGTTGAGTTGCAACGATGCACCGAGTCGCAGACCCCGGCTCTGAGAAGGATATCAACGAATTCGGCGGCCTGAACTCAGGATTGGGTGCGCTCGAGAGGCTCCAGACGACTCTGCTGCAGAGCCTGGTCTTGCGAACTCGTGAGCTTGGTCTGCAAGCCTGACACGAGGGTCTCAGAAGCCGTGCCGAAGAGCCTTGCAGAGCCTCACACGTCCTCGCAAAGCCCTAGGCATGCTCCTCCCCCGCCCCCGCCTTTCTGCAGTCCCTCGATCCGCCCACGCGTCGCGCGCCCCAGGCCTTCCCACTCTTTGGAGCCCGCCTGGCAAGAGAATCCCTGGAGCTCCGGCTGGCAAAAGAAGGGGGCCCAAAAATGTTGCGCCATGTTGTGCCCTTTGAAGCCTCTGTGAGATGCGCTTTCGACGGTGGCATCAGCGCGCCGTCCAGCGCAGCTGGGGACAGTGCCCAACCAAGCAGAGTATTCTCCTGTAGGGCGTAGACTTCGTGGATGCAACTTGGACACTTCACTGCACCGTTTGTGAAGTTCGTCGGGGCTGGCCTGAAGGAAGAGGCCGTCCATCTGTTTGGCGATGACCTCCTTCTTGCGGCCTCTCCAGACCTCTGTCACAGGTCATGCCCACATGGAAAACAAAAGCAGAAATAGCACATTATACCACTGCCCACCACGAGCAGCTGGCAAACTTGGGCTCGAAGGGAGGCTTCCAAATCGCCTGCAAAAGGCAAAAGGCAACACCGTCATGAAGCCACATCAGCTGGCGGACCCGTTTATGCGCTTGTTGCAGCCCCGGGGACCTCCTTGAGGGGTGCGCCCACCAGGGCGCTGATGTACTTGCTATCCTTCTTATCTTTTCTGGCTCTCAACCTGGCATGGACTTAGACGTGCCTCGACTGTCTGTCCACACGGTACTGCTGTCTTCTTCAGGCACTCGGTAAGGCGCGCACACGTGGATCAGCTGACTGAACTGCTGGCTGCGAAGGTCGTTCAAAGTCCTCGGATCGTCTATGCTCCGTTGCGTCTGTGCAACCCGGTGTGTGGGTGTGTAGTCTGCATCCCCATGTCTTGCCTAGGAGCATTCGCAACAGGCAGGTCCAAACAGGCACAAACAGCTCCGAGTAAGGACGGCACCGACCTCTGAGCTGCTCGGCGAGCTTTGACACGAGTGCTGCGGGAACAGCTTCATCCTTGCGACTCGCGCGTGGACCCTGGAACACTGTACTGTTCGAGGTTGCATGATTCACTACGTTTCACTACTACTTACTACTTGTAGCCTCGGCCGCCGCAACCAGAAGCTCGTTCAGGAGCCTGCGGTGTCCAATCAAATCCCATGCTCTTTCATCCCCCTTCTCAGGCGCACTGCCTCACTGGCACGCGGCCATTCATCAGAGCTAGGATCAAGGCCACCTGGAACCATCAAAAGCGCAGAAGCACAGGACAAAGCTTCCACAGTGTCTTCCGTCCAGTTCCACGCAGTCCCGCGCCTTTTGCTCGGAAGAGGCGGCTAGGAGCTGTGCCAGGGACGCCGTCAGGACGGCCTTTCAGAACTGCGCGATGATGCGGCAACACGTGCGCCCACGTACATCTGCGCTGTGCCATCTGCGTTGCGCCTCCTGGAAAGGTGCGATGCCATCCCACGTGGAGGGCACCGTACCACCCTCCTGCCAAGGCTTGCTGGCCAAAACATCACCAAAGGCAGCCAGCCCAAAACAATAAGCAGTTTAGTGTTGCAACATGACAAGCATCGCGACATGGCCTCGCATCTTCTCCAACCCCTAAGGGCAAAAGTACGCACAGCTCCGAAGCTGCGCTCTCCCAGCCACGAAGCACCTGCACGAATGGCCTTCGCCTTTTTCGAGGCTGCGGCTGGGCCATGAAGAGCATTGCTTCCTCCAGGCCCCGTTCGCGGGCTAGGCGAGTTGCCTCTCTGGACACACAACCCTCTGCAAAGCCCCAGGCGCTTCCGAGGCGGTTCCCAAGAGTTCAATACTCAATACCGTATGCCCCTTCCTTTGCTAAAAGCATGTCTCCAAAAACTAAATAGGGATCCATACATACGGAATCATGCGTACATGAACGAGGTGTGCTGTTCTGAAGGGGGCATTATTGGGCTCTCTCTGGGCTTCCAGAGCCCTGCAGACTGCCTCGGCATCCAGGAACTCACCGACCTCCGGTTGCCACGAGAAGATGTCAGAAAAAAACAAGCTCTTTACACTCTGCTTCAATTGTCTGGGGCCTTTTGGGGCTTCGCGCGAATCTACTGCCGACACGACGCTCCAATTTTGTGCTGTCCGAGGAGCATTGGCTACGCTGAGCTTCTGCGCAGGCGCCTGCGCGGGCTGGAGCACCTGCGGCAGTGGCTTCGGGTCAGGATGCCGCTGGAGAGGTGTCGACGAAGACACTTTGCATATCACTTTGCTCAACACTTCGGCCCGCCTTCATGAGCATGAGATGCTCCCTCTCGGTGGATACCGATGGGGCCGATGCTCCATCCATCTGCTCAGAGATGCGAGCGCACGCGACTCTCCCTCTTGCTGATGGCTGCTGCAGATGCCTCCTTTTGCCGCTTGACCTGTGTTGCCGGCCTTGGCGTTGGACAAGCGATCTTGGGACATGGGCATCCAGCGGAGAAAGAAAAAAAGCAGTGTGGGCCAAGGCGGGTGCTCCTGCCCTGACGGGCCGCGCTTCATACACCGCCTGAGCTTCTCTGCCTATGCCGCATGCCTCTAAAAAGCTCTTGACCATCCTTGACCATTGCAATGCTGTCGAGTCACACAGGGCGGCGAAGCGAGAATTTGAGGCTGCAAGTGACCCACTGTAAGCCGAGCCGGATGTGGGCAGCAAGGTGGTCACATATGCAGAGCCACAAAACTACACAGCCTTGCAGCATGCTGCAAGGCAACACTTGCACTCAAATGCCCATGATTGCAGCATCGAGCCTCCACTTGAAGCAATTGCCACACAGCACCAGTCCACAGCTTCTACAGTGATATCTTCCTCGGGTATTTGTCGGCATTGAACAGCAGGTCGCTCTGCCACCAGGAGCGTTACCGCGCCACAATGTGGCACATGTTGTGATTCCGAGCCGAGTGCGAACAGTGACGGAGAAGAGAACCTAAGAAAGCAAGAAAACAAGACCAGATCATTGCAAGCACGTCGAGGAGAAACCGTGCTTGCCCATGAGCACCGAAAGGAGGATGCCTTGCAGCTGTGGCATCGCGGGGCCAAGTGGTCCGGCACGAAGAATGGAGGATGCGTTGCCTCAAGAGACTTAAAAGCACAGAAGCGATCCTAATATTGATTGGGGCCCTATATCTACCCTTTAAGGGATTATGTGTGGTACCTCCTTCCCCCATTCCCTACTAACCAACAGTAAGAATCACAAGCCATTGGCAGCTCAGCAGCTGGGATCGAGCGGGTGTTGAAGAAGGCCTGCTCCCTGTGCAGCGTCTCGCGGTCCTGGCTTGTCTGCTCTTGCTAGGCTAGGCTCTGCTCTTGTGCGCTCTCTGACCCTCTGCTCCGCGACAGCTGCCGTGGATACAGTTTGCAAGTGCCACGTCAGGGCTGGAGCCTCCGTCGTGAGCTGGACGGAGGACTCCTGCAAAGTGTCCACACACACCCACGAAGCATCCTCTGTACGGAGGTTTTGCAAAGAGCGGTCCTGAAAGCGGAATCCGTTTGAGACCACGAGGCAGGACATCCAGCGCTTTGCTGCCAAGTCCTTGCAACGCGCGATTTCTGAAAAGATTCGGGCTGGGCCTTTAAGGATGTCCTCGTGACAGCCTAGAAGAGGATCCGCAAGAATAGAACACCCCTTACACAAACATACCGGTCGTGCTGGCATGGTCGTTCACCGACATTCCCCTTGAACTTCAGTTGCATCTGTGGCCAAACATGCGCACTGTCGCTGTATGCAGGCCTCAGCCGGAATGCTGCATGGCGCACAGCAGATAAGACGCACTATGACTATGACAGAGTGCGAGCAGGACGACAACAAAGTCGCACGACCAAGCACCATGTACTTTACTCTACTGCAGAGACTCTGGTTACCTGCACCGGTCCTTCTTGGATGTATCCACCGCTTTCAACACATCGAACTGATGCTGACTCCTCACATGCCAGAAGGGTTTAGGGTTGAGGGCCAGTTTAGGGCTTAGGGTGAAGGGTGCAGGGTGTGGGGGTTAGGGTTTAGGGCAAAAGCCGGGGCACCGGAATGCCAGGTTGGCCCGGCCGTTGACTAGCAAGGCCGTCGCTCTCGCGTCGAGCCTGAGCAAGCACGCCAAGCACGCACAACGCTGTACAACTTTTGGGCTTTAGGGCAAACGGCCGAGCATGCAAACTGCCACTGCAAAACGCCTGGAGCACGCTTCAAGGATCGGAGGCCACTCGAAATTATCCACCTGGTCATTCGGAACTCTGGGACTCTGGGAAATTCTTAGGGCACCCGGTGCAAGCTCCATGAACTCGCCTGGTTGACATCGGTCTCGGCATGCTGCAGCAGCTGCAGAATCACACTGTAGTGAGCCTCACAAGTCGCTGTAGAATCGACGGCGCTCTGAAGCGACCCCAACATCCCCAACACTACTGCCACCCAACATCAAGTGCACCTTTGACACTGCGAAGTGCAGCGGTGTCCAACCTGTCGTCTCCTGATGCTTAGAGATCAGATGGAGCGCCAAGAGATAGGGAAAGAACAAGTCCCAGTTCCGATGAACCACAGTTGGGTCCTCCTGCGAATTGGGATGAGACTTGTTGTCCAGCAACACCTGCACCAGTCCTGTCGACGGGCTCATGCTACGACCCTGGGCCGCACTGATCGGAGATGTGCGGGCACTTGCATTTCGCAAGGCCGGGGTTCCACGCCCAGATCACCATTCTGAGCCGCAAGATGGAGGGAGGTCTGCCCTCGCATGTCTCGGGCCTCTGTCCACAAAGGCAACGAGAATTCTTGGCTCACACCGTTCACAGCGTTCTCGGCCTCGAGATCGAAGGTGTCCTTGGGGCAGGCCTCGCAAGACTTCCGCGCATCACATAACCCAATATACACATATACCTGAACATATACACATATATAAATATAAATATAAATATAAATATAAATATATATATATATATATATATATATGCTCCGTGTTGCTTCCTCAATGGTACCCTAAGGCTCCGCACCAGGAACCCAACAGGAACCATTATCTAGAGAAAAATGCAGCCACATCCAGACAGTAGACTGTAGCCCAAGGGCCGCACCGAAAGCAGGAAGGAGAGGATGTCAGCACCGGGGCTGACTGCATGTATGCCTTGGAAGGCATAGATGGGTTCAGGGTTCAGGGTGGCATAATCTTTGATTGGCAGTATCTCTCTGGAAGTAAAGGCTACGGCCTTTGCACAGGATGTGCAGCAGCGTGTCCTCGTGATCACTCCACTCTCAAAGCTGGATGCAGCTGCAAACAACCTCACCGCTTTGTCACTGGGTCGCATCCCGTGGCTCCCAAAGTTGAACCCGGCATCCTGGTCGTTGTTGCGCATCTTCCCGAGAACGGTCAGCCTGCAGGCTGCGCGCGGTTCCGCACTGAAGAAACATGCCCCGTTTTTTGGTTGTTCTGTACGTCGCCTTACATTATAGTGCATCACATCGCGCTGGCGCGCGGAACGAGGCAAACGCAAGGACCCAAACGCAAGGACCCAGCCCTTGAAGGGATCCTAGTTAAGAAAGCTGGCCTGGATACAAGCGTGGACGATGTTACTTGTGAACATGCCCAAACAGACAAACCACGGCGCGGGCGAAACCACCCTGGCATGCCCGACACTGTTGAGAGTCCTACAGCACGCCCGACACCCGGAGGTGCAGGATGCGTCCACCCACTCCTTCTGGTGGGGCGAACCCCCGACACCAGCAGGAGGCTCCAGGGTCCCGCGAGACCTCCGCCGTACTGCCGATGGGCCGTAACAGTATGTACGATAAGGCTATGTGCGAGCAGCTTGACGGACCCAAGCGGAGGCCAAGTGCGAGAAGACCGGCCGGGCATAGTGGGCAAGCAAGGGCAGGCGAGGTAGGTGCGCAACTTGCCGTCACAATCGCACCGGTTTGCGGGTTTTGCAGCAGAGTGGAGGCCGACTGCGCACCGTCGGGCCGGCGCAGGAAAGCTCGGGCGCTGTCACGCTGAAGCGTGACACTTAGGCGCAAGAGCTGCTCGGCACTTCACGTCCCAGCTGCCACATGATGACTCCGCAATGAGGACAGGAACTGCAGCCCTTGGTCTTGGCAGAGGGCCGGGGCGGGCGCATGGGCTCCGCGTAAGCCATCGGCGGCAGAGGCAGCCGGCCACCGGCCACAGCCAGGTCAAATACCGCAGGCCGTGTAGCCCCCAGCTAGGCACGAAAGGTCGGCGGCCTTCTTGGACGGAGTCTCCAGTCGCACCTGCCTAGTGTATATCATGCCATACGACGTTACACTGCATTCTAACCTGTTATTTTCCTGCTACGTTTCATTGCATTGCAAGAGGAGCGCGTACCATCTGGAAAGCCCGCAGAAACCAACACGGAAATCCGCGCGTGAAATGGGTTGCCCTGCGCCTGTCTTGCGGCAGGTTGCTCACCATCAGCCTGAGGAAGTCCTCAGTTTCGACTATTTTTTCACCTAAACCCTAAACCCTAAGCCCTGAACCCGAAACCCTAAATCCTAAGCCCTAAACTCTAAACCCTAAACCCTCCAAAACTCAGGTTTAGGGGCTCTCAAGCAAGGGCTGAAAGAGAGGGGCTGCCCAAGGCCCCGGCCTCATTGCAGACCAGGTCTGGGCTCAGGAGGATGTGGTGGTACTTCTCGTTGTCCAGGACTTCCGGTATGAGCTCCTGCTGGGTTTTGGGGTTTCTGGTTTGGGGTTTAGGGGTTTTGGGTTTGGGGTTTAGGGTTTAGGGTTTGGGGTTTAGGGTTTAGGGTTTAGGGTCTAGGGTTTAGGGTTTAGGGTTTCGGGTTCAGGGTTTAGGGTTTAGGGTTTGGGTTTGGGGTTTAGGCTACGGGATCCACCATACTGCGAGCCAAAGTCGGCGCCCATGTGAGCCCGTGCAGGATTCCCAGCGAAGGCTCTCCTGGGCTTTAGGACACCCGACAGTGGGCCTTCGCGTCCCATTTAAGGGAAGGGGGTTGGTCCTGTTTATAAGGTGCCGTACTCTATAAGGGGCCCCGAAAAGGAACCCGAACTTCGAGAACTGCCCACCATAACTTCAAGGCCCCCCGCACGCCAAGAGGCCCCCCAAAGGAGAGAGTCCTTGACCCATGCTTTGGACAGAAGGTATGGGAGGCGCTGCTTTGGCCTGGCAGGATGGGCTCCCAGAGCCATAGCCAAGATGAGATGTCTTGTAGATCCCCTTGGATTGCGTAAAAAATATCAGTATATATATATACATATGTATATATATATATATATATATATTTGTTTTTTAGTTATTTATTTGTTTATTTTTAACAAAAAAAGAGAGGGAGACTAGAGGTACAAGACAAGGAAGGTTTCCCAAGCAGCCGGCCCCTTCTCCAAGAGCTTGCTGAGGCTGTCGATAAACACTTGCGTTCCTGCAGCCAGCGCGCGTGTGAAGCGGCACGCAGCTGACCAAAGGTTCGGGGTTTAGGGTTTAGGGTTTAGGGTTTAGGGTTGAGGGTTGAGGGTTGAGGGTTGAGGGTTTAGGGTTTAGGGTTTAGGGTTTAGGGTTTAGGGTTTAGGGTTTAGGGTTTAGGGTTTAGGGTTTAGGGTTTAGGGTGTGGGGCGGACGGGGGAACTGGCTCCTTCACCAGCAGGCTTGGCGAAGTTTAGGGACTGGAGTGCGTGGAGCTCTTCCTGGCATGGCAACCGTGAAGCCTCAACCTAAACCTATGTGGGTGGGTGTCAAACTTCTGGTCCCTTTTTGGATCCCTCTTATCATGCGGCACGTAATAAATAGGGTACCCCAAAAGGCATCATAAATTTGGACAGCCACCCCTGTGTTTTCAAGCCATGCCAAGGGCAGCCCGAGAGAAGTAGGAGTCTTGGCACTTCTCCGTGATCCGCTGCATCTTTGGCCTTCAAACGATTCCATCCCTTGGGTGCCCCTTGTTTGGGGGGGTTTTGGGAGTTCCCTAAACCCTAAACTCTAAACCCAAAACCCTAAACCCTAAACCCTAAACCCTAAACCCCAAACCCCAAACCAACCCTTAGCCCTTAACCCTCAACCCTAAACGGTTTTTGCGGAGTTTCCTGGCAGGGGCCTGGAAGCCGTCCTCAGCTGCGGCGCCGGAGCTCTGCCCGGGTCGGGCGGACCTCGGTCTGCTCCCCATGTGGGCATTACCCGCCAAAATAGGGTTTTAGGGTTTTAGGGGTTTAGGGTTTAGGGTTTAGGGCTGAGGGTTTAGGGATTAAGATTTAGGGTTTAGGGTTTAGGGTTTAGGGTTTTAGGGTTTAGGGTTTAGGGTTTAGGGTTTAGGGATTAGGGATTAGGGGTTAGGGTTTAGGGTTTAAGCTAAAGGGTTTAGGGTACCCTCCCTTTTATACCCCAAACAGAATAGAATACCCGAAAAAAAGTGACCCCCAAGCTCTGGAGACCACAATGTGGCACCCCACCCCCCCTGAGAAGGCCGCCTTGTGGTGCAACCGAGCTGGGGCCTGGCATCGGTCGTTGCAAGCTGTGTCCCGAGGTAAAGTGGAGCTTCAGGCTGCGGGAGGCAAGCCCCATGGTGGTTGTCCACTTGGAGCACCGTAAACACAACTTCGATACATCTGGACTGTACGGAGGTTGTCGTTTCAGGGCTTAGGACTGCAGAAGCTGAAGGCTTGTGCTAGGTGCTTTCGGACAGCTTGTTGTTGGGAGACAGCTGTTCAACGTTAAATTTAAAAATCCATTGAACCAACCAAAGGCGCGACATCCTAATAACCTCCGCAGAAAAAAAATCGACATCCTACCCAGAAAGCCACACCGAAAGAATGAACTTAGGAAGCTCTGAGCCTCAAAGGCGTTCTCCCTTCAAAGCAGTGGCGCCACATCAAAAAGCCCTCGACATGTTAAAGTCAAGACTAACAATGGAAGCCCTCAACCCTTGACAAGGCTCAAACAGTACTCCCTGAACTGGGCCAAGCTGGGGCCATCGACCAAGGACAGACGACAAAAGAGGCCAACAGACGCCATGCTGAATGAAAACGATCCAGACATTACCCGAATGCAGTCGGCCTTTCTTTGCAGGGCCTTCAATGTTCTTGGCGATCTCCTGCACTGTACTTGGAGGTTCATGGGTACTTATAACCCCAACTAGCTTATGACCTATTTAGAGGACTTCGGGGGCTTGCAAGTACAGTACAGTTGCAATTGGGGTATAGAAGTACCCTTCACCTCCAAGTGCAACCAGGAACCCGGTAACCCTAAACCCTAAACCCCAAACCCTAAACCCCAAACCCTAAACCCCAAACCCCACACCCTAAACCCTACACCCTAAACCCCAAACCCTAAACCCCACAAACCCCATCATCCCGTGGTGCCTCTATGGGATCGTCTTCGTCATCGTCCACCCTGAAGGTCTCCAGCAGCTCCTCGGTGTCCCTGCACAAAGGGGGGTGTAGGGTTTAGGGGTTTAGGGGTTTCGGGTTTCGGGTTTAGGGTTTAGGGTTTAGGGTTAGGGTTTAGGGTTTAGGGTTTAGGGTTTAGGGCACGTGTTACGTGTTGCTGCAGGCTCTGGGCCAGGGACCGCTTCTTGATGGGCCCACTGTGCGGCGAAGAGACCGTAACTGGCACAATTCGTCCAGAACAAACTGACTCATCTAAACAGCCGGTTCAGTCAGTCCGGGCTTCTGAATTTCTGGGTGGGCGGCCGTCTGGTGATGGCTCGGCGGCTGCACTGACATCTCCCAGAGGCTTGACGGTCTCCTGCACGAAGCCCAAGCAGCATCAAAACACAGAGAGCGCAGAAGCATCCTCTGCCGCCTTCATGTCAGCAAAGCCTTGATGTATTCGGTACCACAACCATTCGTCCTGCTGGCGCTGCAAACAAACTCTACCTAAACCCTAAACCCTAAACCCTAAACCCTAAACCCTAAACCCCAAGCTCTGTCTGCATGAAGTTGGGAGCCAGATGCCGCGTCCTCCGCCTTCCGCAACAGCTTGGAGATGGCCAGGTTGCCACGCGAGACATGCCTGGCGCAGGCTCACCATGCGCTGGCCACCACAAGACTATACTCCCCTTAGAATTTTAATAACTTATATTTGAAACATCCTCATGGGCTTTACATAAACATTTAATAAATTGTATTTGAAATTTCCTCTTGGGTTTTATATAAACAAGAATAAGACATCATTCCCCAAGGGGGATATAGAAAACTCACCACAGCTGCAACGTCGGTAGCCCACCTTGCAGTCCGGCCGTCAACGTTCCGCAGGAACACGTCAGATCCGGCCTGCTCTGATGGCCAGATTCAGATTAGTTAAACACAGCTAAACCTTAAACCCTAAACCCTAAACCCGAAACCCGAAACCCGAAACCCTAAACTGTGAAGGTTGCCAGATTGCAACTCGGGCTCCTCGATGAGAACCTGCACCTGTGTTTGGACTCTCGGAATTCTTCGGATGCTTTCCCTGATTCTCGAGAGCTGCTGCAGTTGCCGCCGAGCACCGCACAACATTGACGTGGCACGCATGGCCAGCCAAATGAAGGGGCGTCCACAGGTGCGAGCCACCCCTGGAGGACCGCAAGGCCGTGCAACGTCAAAACAGTAGCAACGTAGCACGCCAGCAGCACACAGCCGCACACACCCGCCTGAGGTTCAGGTCGAAGGCCCGCGGGCATGTCCTCACTCTGCCTTTCGGTTTCTTGGGCGGCCTGGCATCGGGAGGCGCAGCGAAACTTTGACGACTTTTACCAGCAACCCAGGGACATGAAACCATGTGCAACATGCCGGCGGCACTGGTGCGTGCAAGTGCCCTTGTGGCAGGCGGCTTCGGCCGAGTCCAAGTTACTGTTCAGGCAACAGCTGGACTGCAGGGAATTGTGACGTGCAGGTGCTAGACGAGCTTAGTCTTGAGTCTGAGCTTTTTCGTTGCCTGCGACATGGCAGCTGTTCTCGGTGCTTCAGCTTCGCTGAGGCAGCACAAAGCACAACTTGAGGGTGAACGTGCGATGCATCATCATTCCTTCAACCCCCTTGCCAATCCATGCTCCCACGGAGGGGCCCCGGCACGACAGCTTTATGGACTGAGGACCAAAGCCTGCAGCAGGCGGGTCACCGCTTCATCTTGCAGTAGAAGCCAGAGCGTTCAACACGTCAGAACACGTCCTTCTCTAGGGTACGGCGACAAACAGCGGAGTAACTGGGCACCTGATCCAGTACTCATCAGGACTCCTTGGGGTTCGCACCTCATGGCCGAGCCAGGTTTGGGATCGGGGCTTCTCAGGGTTGCCACAGAGCTTGGGGTAAGTTGTAAAATTGTAAAGGCAAGTCCAGGTCCACGCTCGGAGCTCATGGTCAATCTGCTGCACAGGACTCGGCATCAGCTAGGTCGCTCCCTGAAGCCAAGATATTGTCGAACCAGACATTCCCGATCTTCGCAAAGCAAAGAGGAAGTCTTGGCATTCCGATGAACTCGGCCGACTAGACAACTTCACAGTTGTACCGATTTCGTCCTCGAGGTCTTCATCCGCAGACGCGTCAGCTGATTCCTGTTTACGAGCGGTCGGTCCAGGTGCTGGGGCAGGTAGGGGCAAGGACGTCGAGTTCCGGACGACATACCTGTGAGCAGCTATCGCTCGTTTCAAGTCCAGCTCTTGCTGGCGCAGCGACTCCATTTGCATGCTCAGCTCTTGATGCCCCTGATGCCCCTCCACCCCAGCTGCGTCCGACACGCCTGCTTTCGGCTCCAAGCCCCTACGACTGCTCAAAGCTGCCGACAGCCGGTGCTCTGCCTGCACAAGAGCTTCATTTCTCTCCTGCTCCTGGCTCAGCAGCCCTCGAAGCTCCTCTTGAGCGCGGCTCTGCCGCGCAACTTCGGCCCGCAGGGCTTCAACTTCGCTCTGCCTCGCCCTCTCTTGGCCCCCGAACCGCTGGCACTCCTCCTCAAGCTCCCGGAGCTCCTCAAGCTCCCGGGCGCGGCGCTCGCTGCGCCACCTGAGCTGCTCGAGGCTCGCCTCTTGCTCCGCCTTCCTCTGCTCTTCTTGGACTTGCCAGCTCCGAAGCTCCGAGTGAAGCTCCTTCTGAAGCTCTTGAAGCTCCTCCTGGGCCCGCTGTGTTGAAGCGGCCCTCTCCTCGGCAAGCGACAGCTCCGACACCTCGCAGCTGCGGCTCTCGCGGAGCTCTGCATGGAGCTCGGAAGCCTCGGCCTTGATTTCAGAGACCTCCGCCTGGAGCGACTTCTGATCTGACTTGGCAGCTTCCAGTTCGGCCACTGTTGCCAGTCGCCTCTCTTCCTGCGCTCGCGATTCGGCCACCGTGAGCTCCAGCTTGGCAAGATCACCCTTCCGCTGCTCGTCCTTCAGGACGGCCTCTTGCAGCTGCCGCATCTCCACGGCTGCTACCTCGGCTTCCTCGGACACTTCGGCCTTCAGATCTGCCTGCTTCTGTTCACCTTGGCGAAGGGACTCGCATTCGCGCTTCATGGCCTGCATGGTCTCCTGCTGCGCCTGCATCTCCAGCGTGGCTTGCAGGCCAGCCTCCGTCTGCAAAGCCAGTTGATGCTTCTGCTCAGAAATCTCAAGACTCATGCGATCCTCGGCCTTCTCTATCTCCAGGCTTGCTTGCCGTTGAGCTTCCCGAGATGCCCTCAGCTCAAGGACTTCAGCTTCCAGCTCCTGCCTTTGCCCCGCCCATTCCGCAAATTCTGCCCGCCTGCCATCGCCATTGCCCGTGTCCTCCATGTCGCCACCTAAAGCTGCGAGAGCCTCTGTCTCATCTCTCGCGGACTGGAGCGCCTCTCTGGCTACTGTCATCTCGGCGACCAGGCTTCGTATGTCATCGTGGCCAGCAAGGCTAGCAAGCCCCACTGGCCCCACACTTAAGGGCTGTGACACCGCTGGCTCTTGTGTGTCCTCGCTTGCATTGCTTACGTTGGAGTGCAAGTGGTGCCGCTGTTCCAGGGCAGCCCTGGAGGACTTCAGCGCATCGGCTTGCATCACGCTTAGACGGCCTCTGGTCCGGCTCGTGCGGCCCACACGGGCAGGCAAGGTCAAGGTGGCTTGCGACGCCCGAGGCTTCGGAGCCTCAAGTAGAGCATCACGGTCACCCGCATCTACCACAAGCTCAGGGACGGCATCATCTCTCACGCCAGGGCTGCTCGATCTCGAAGAATCTCCGGGATCGGGCATGGCGTCAGTTTCCGACACCTTTGGATCACATGGGCCACTCAGCTGTGAGGCTCACTGGCCTCCATCTCCGGAAAAGCGTGTCTTTGACAGGCTGCTGGGTGTCACTGAAATCTCGCGGCATCTTCTTTCCAGTCGCTACATGCAGAACTGTGGCATGGTAGCATTCGACAGGGGGACAGCCAAGCTTAGTCGGACTGCAACAACTCAACCTCTTCTACTTGGAGGTGCATGGTACTTATTAACCAGTTATAACTTTACTTATAACCCACTTATAAGACCCTTAAGTGCCCTCAGGTAGGATTCTAAGTACAGTGAACCTCCAAGTACTTTCGCACAGCGTCCTGCCTCAGCACGAATGCGATGCCTCGCAGCTGGCCTCGCACTGTTTGGAGCAGGGTCGAATCAGTCAAGTAGACAGGGGAAGCTGGCAGGGTTTAGGGTTTAGGGATTGGGGTTTAGGATTTAGGGTTTAGGGTTCAGGGTAAGGCACATCAGGCACATCTCGGCTCCCACATTGCCTCTTCGAGCAGCCAGGTGCAACGGCGCCCATTTGTCGCTGTTCATCCTAGGAACATCCACGGCAAAAGTGAGCACACCAATCGCATGCAGGTGCTGGCTACAGCCTGTCACAGTAATCAGAGTGCAGTACAGCCTGGGCGGACAGAGCTCCAGGCATGTTGCAGTCAGCATTGTGCTGCAACAGGATCTTCCCAATCGCTGCGGCTCTCTTGCCACCCTGCGTTCAGTACGAGGATGCAATGACCATGCAGCCATGAGCATGAGAGTCGGCAAAACTGCCTTGTCGAAAACTGACATCAAGACATGCAGAGGCGCATTTCCTGCAAACAGCATTGCCAACGTGAGATGCTGGAGCACGGCGCTTGCTTCCAGCGATATCCAGTGATCCCTCCCTGCCCGTCCATCGGCATCGGTCTGATTGACGTCAGCTTTTCCTCTAATGAGTAGCATCACCTGCCGAGGCATGGGACATTGCCACAAGAGGGGAGCACAAGTCGTCCTGGTTTTGCACACTCTGCATGTCACCGTGCCGAGGAACCATCTGTGGGTCAAAGTTGACGGTGGCCACATGCAGCGGTGAGCCAAAGAGACCACCGCCGCGATTCACGTCAACTCCCACCTGGGCATTAGCTGTCATATGAGATCACTTGGCGTGACATGGCGTTTTGTTGTTTTTACTTAACTTGTTTTGTTAACAGCGGCGTCTGATCTGAGCAGGCAGCACGAACCAGAGCATTGGCTATGTCAGGATGCTCCTGCTTCGAAAGAAGAAGGCGCACAATGACACCCGGGGCCATGCAGGGAGCCACTGAGAAAATCTCGCGCGCCTCACGGACGGCCACAAGCAGCGGCGAGTAGCCCTCACAGTCCAAGGAGTCGCACTTCGACCTCGGAGACACACCCGGCTCTCGCTCTTCAGGCGCTCAGATATTGCAACAGCTTTTGCAGGGGGCTGGAGGCTCCCACCCGTTCTCGGCGAGAGCAAGTGCTACACCCACGTGCCCCTCAAGACACGCCACGTGCAACCTGAGTTTCTGCCCATGTGAAGACCAGTGCGAACGATTGCAGCAGGCATTCTTTCCATTTCTGCTGGCAGGCACAGGCAGCTCCGCAGCAGGGTATTCGGAGTAGGGCTTGCACCGAGTTCTCCTTTTGGAGTCAATAGCATTTGGATCGAAGGCCTTCTGCGAAAACTCCGACAGGACCTGCGGAACATCAATTCTGGAATTCTGGAATGCAACTGCTCAGCACAGACCACTAGGTGACCGTTGCGGTGGGCAGCCTCGATGCAGCTCACACGAGCATCCTGCACTGCGCACGAAAAAAACCCATCAATGCTGCAACATGCCCACAAGACTGATGTGGGAACGAAAGGGTGAGAGCCCCCCCAGCCTTGTCTTTCTTTTCCCGGCAAAGGTCTCTGAGCTTGACGATGATGCGCTGGGCAGTTGGTGGAATGTTGCTGCATTGATTTACATTGCGCATGAAGCGGCCGGCCTGCCACTCTGCTCCCTTGATCACGCGCGGCAGGGGCGGAGTGGTGTACCTGAACCAGCCAATCACTGAACACTCAGAGGTGAAGATCACCCTGGATCTGGCCTGAACCATTCCAGCGCAAGCTCTTGCAAATTCTCCATGGCCCTCGTGGGATCGTGTTATCTCGTTTTGGTTGCAGATGTAGCTCTTCACAGCTCTCTTTCCGTGCTGCCACAGAATGTCATCAAAACTGGAGACTGTCAGCACGATAACCTGAGACATCTGCGACAGGCTGGAGGGTAAGCTTGTGAAGCTGTTGTGGTGCAAGTAGAGGGTTTGCAGCTCTTTGCACCTCAGTTCCAGCGTTTACAGCAGCTGACCACTAGGTTTGCCCAGGAAGTCGCTTCGGGGCGGTGCTGTCCAAGCTCGACCGGAATCTCTTCCAGAAAGTTGTCGCCTGCTCTCGGCATCTCTAGCAGAGCTTGGCAAATCTCTCGTGCCCTTTTGTGCAATTCTTGCGAAGCGCACCCCCACCACCCGAGGCGCCTAGGCTGAGACTCTTCAAGGACTTCATGGAGCCCACGGCCTGGAAAGTCACCAAAGCAAGGGTCCATATGCACCTTGTGCCTAGCAATCTGCCAGGACATGGCTGGCCTTTGGCAACATCTTCAAGAGGTTCTGGCTGAGGGACAGCCCTCTCAGGTGAGGGAGGAGACAGACCTTGGCCATGATCCCTACGAGTATTTCCACTGCACAAACAGACGTCGTGACGTGGTAGCGGGCAGACCTCATCCGGAATCTCTCGCAGGCGGTTCTGATCAAGGAGCAGATCCTGCAATTCTCTACATCCACGCGGCCGCGTTGACGATGATCAATTCTGATGCAAAGTGGCAGCTTACACGCTCCTCCAGCTGATTCATCAGGCGGATGTCTGGAAGCAGCTCCTCGCGGCAAGGCACAGGGCACCGAGTAAGCAAGCCACAGGAAGCTCCAAGCAAGCTCCCAGGTCCTCCAGCGCATTCTTGCGGAGGTCCAACACCTGGCTCCATCTCTCAGCATTTTCACACGAAGAGCCGGCGCTGGTGATGCAGACAAGCAAAGGGCGGCACTTTCACATGCGTAAAAGCACTCAGGACCTGTAGCAGAAGTGTCCACAAGTCTCCAGAAAACTCCACCAAAGGGAACAACAACGTACGACAATGTGTTGCGGTCTTTATGCAGCCCACAGGTTCTGCACACGCCTGCCCCGGAATGGCTGAGATCTTGTGATCCTTGAGATCGAGAACCTCCCATCTTCGCAGGCAGCTCAGAACCGGCGGCGGCACAAGTCCCTCTACAGACTCAAGTGCCGCTCAATGCACGGCAACACTCATGTGTTTCTTTGCTCCTCAGAGTGGAGAGGGATGCCTGCAAATTATGCTGCGAGGCTGCAGTTTCCAGCGCCGCGAGATTCAAGGTACCCAGCCTTTGCTGGCAAAGCAGCAGTCTGTCTTTGATTTCCCATGTACTCATGAACCTTGCCTGCAAACATCCAGCATCTACACGCATACGCCTAGTGCATTTAGTGCAACACTCCGAGGAAGTGGCTTGGCTGTGGGGAGGGACGCGAAGATGCCCTGAGAATAGCATCGACACACTGTGCCTGCCTTGCAATGCACCCTGGACTAAACTGGACTCCCGGACCTTCGCCTCCTGGTTCGCCATAGGTCTTCTGCCTCAAAGGGCTTGGCACGTTTTTTCACGTCTGTGAAATCACTGCTGACCCACGCAGCCCAGATGCTAGGCGATCGATGCCATCGGAACACGGTGCCGCAGCAAAGCAAGTGCCATTGCGACTTCTTCTTCTTGAATTCTTCTAAAGGCTTGGTGGTTAGTCTGATCCACATGAAGCTGCTTGGATTGTACTTCCTTCGGCAACCCAAAGGCATTCAACTGGGTTGCCCGGTTAGTTCTGCAATGGCTGCTCTGGGCTGCGAGATGCTCACCTAAAGCTGTGAGCTCAACTTGCCACGGTGCAGCAAATCGCCCTCCTGGGGTGCGACCTCAACCAGCTGCCACTTAGAGCATGCACGTCTCACCCAGGAGTGATTACGTCTCACCCAGGAGGAGCCATTCTTTTTGAGGTCGGAAGGGCTCCCCGTGCTTCCGAAAAGCAAAGCAGGCGCTGTCGAACCTGGGCCGCGGGCTACGAACGGCCAACTGCAGATCCCTGACATGCCTTTCTGCTACATGCTGCCGCGCGCAGTCCGCGCAAGGAGACACCCAGGGAAGGCACTGCCAAGAGACTGGGCACCCGTGTCAGCACGTCCTTGCAAGGAAGAGGCTTGAAAGAGGCTGGTTCCGGCATGCTCACAGCAGGCCCTGCCGCTCCTGCCCGATCAAGGCACAGGGCTTGACAACCCGCCCAAAAATCCTTGGCCGAGCTTTTGAGCTCTGATTCTTGTCATTTTTGTCGTCATGTTTTTGCCGTTTCTTCTGTTGCAGCGTCCCGGGATGTCCCTGGGAAGCTGGCTGCTCGAAGCTAGCCACGTCGCCGATGGCGACCTTGCAGTGGCTGAACCCCCACATTTCCCTCACAAAGCATAAACCGACTCTTGCCCGCCTCCGTAGGGCCAGCGTCCCACGTGTTGCGAGGGTCCCGCCCAGCACCGCGCAGCTGCCACAAGAGAACAGAGGGCCGGGGAGAGATGCTCACGAGACCTCACCACCTTTCTCGCGCCTGCAGGTTCATCTCCAGGGTGGGCATGAGAAGTTCTTGACCCCGTGCATCAATAGAGTTGACGCCTGCAAAACGCATCTGCAAGATGCAAACAAAAGCGAAGGGAGGAGCCCACAAGCCTGAACAGAGTTGAAGACTGCCTTTCAACTGAGAACTCCGAAGCGCCCGAAGCCCTCAACCCTACCCCCTAAACCCTGTTTCGAAGGCCAGGTTCGGTCATTGAGAGACACCTCTTTGAGGCCAGGTCTCTCACTTCCCAACAAAGGCCTCCCTAGGGTGAGAGAAGCTCCGGCCGGGAGTCCGACTCTTTGATTTGAATCACGGGAGTGGAGCCCACCTTCGGAGAGCTGCGCTTGGGACATCGGCACGCCTCGGAGCACGCACGCGCTGCCCGCCGCGAGAAATGGCAGAGGCATCCCAGGGAATACCTGCACCAAAACCTGAAGGAGTATTCCGGCATGGCATCGTCCTTCCAGGCCACGTTTTGCGCGCTGACGGCCTTGACTGCCCGCAGATGCGCATGCAGACGCTGGACCTCGGACTTGGCCGTCCGAAGCTGGGCCTCAGTCCGCCGAAGCAGCATGGTCTGGTCCCCTGCGTCACGCGCATCACGCCGGCCGTCCCTGGCAGGCGGAGGGGGTATGCGTCGGCAGGCCTCCACGATGTCCCCCTCGGTAATTTCGAGCGATGGGTTGGTGGCGGAAACCACGGCCTCGCGCGCGTCCAAAGACTGCTTGGCAAAGTCGAAGAGGCGCTCGCAGAGCCCGCCGTTCATCATCTCACGGGCTTGCTCCAGGGTGTGCGCCTCGATCACATTTCCCAGGCGTTGGAAATGGTTGGCGGAGAGCTGCGGTGCAAGCTTGAAGCCAGCCCCGCGGACGATCGAGTTCAGGATTTCCGCCAGCTCACCGGGCGTGTAGTCGCTGAAGTCGAAGGTATACCCAATGCGCCGGTAGAGGCCCGAGTTGGCCTGCATGAAGAGGTCCATGTCGTCAGCATAGCCTAGGGGGCCCCCTACACTCCTTCTCCACTCCACACAAACAAGCCTTTGGTCCACAGGTATCTACACCTCAGTCTTGGGATGTTCCTCCTTATACTAACAGTCCTTAATAGGGATTATACTAGGGGGTAGTATAATCCCGATTAAGGCCTCTTAGCATAAGGGGGAACATCCCAACCTCAATCTTTCCAGCGAACGTCTCAGAGTCCCTAACCTCAAACACCCAGAGACGCGCAAAAGCGCAGCCAAGGTTCCTGCAAAGACCATGATCGGTGCCTGCCCATCATCAGAGCTTTCTTGAAAGCAAACCCTACACCGCAGACCCAACACCCAAAACCCTAAACCCTAACCCTAAACCCTAAACCCTACACCCTAAACCCTAAACCCTAGACCCTAGACCCTAAACCCTGAACCCTAGACCGTCCATGCACATGCTGTGAAAAACAATTCGCTAAACGCCTTCCCGGGGGGATCGTTCATCGCACCCATGAGCTGCTCAATCGCCTCTCGGCCGAAGTCGCTCTTGCCCGTGTCCTGGCTCAGGCGGTAGGCCTCATCGATGAAGAGAACACCCTGCTTCGCCTGCTCGATGACTTTCTGCGTCTTGGGCCCTGTCTGCCCTACCTGAGTCTGCACATGTCTGCATCATGCTGCATCCGCCACGCTACATATAGCACCTGACTAGACATGTGCGGAGCAGCGGCTTCTCGGTGCCTGTCAAGGGACATATTCAGCCACCAGCTTGTCTCGCTGGACCTCCACCAGAAGGTCTGTCTGGATGATACCAATTCGGTGCAGAAGCTGCGCGATCACTCTTGCAAGGGAGGTCTTGCCAGTCCCAGGGTTACCCTGAAAGATCATGTGGTACTTGCCACCAGTCTTCACCTTGTTTCCGGCATCCTCGCGCTTCTTGTCCAGGACGACGGAATGGTGAAACTGTCGGATCTGCTGCTTCAGCAGCTCCAGGCCAACGACCTGAGATACTCAGATACTCTCCTCTAGGACCACCCTTTCTTTCAATCTTCGTGACAAAGAGGCCTCGGGCCTCCGGTATGCTATCGTATCTCGCAGCTCCCTCACATCAGTGTGGCCTGATGACCGCCACAGACTTAATATCCGTTGGCACTACTATGGAACCCGTCAGACCGTTCTTCATTGCTGCGACTTAGCTCATGACTCGATCCAGCTGGTATTCCAGCCACTCGCCAGTACCTCCAGCATAAACCTCCAGTTCCGCCCAGCTTACAGTGGAGGACATGCTGAGATCGATTTCGGAGAACTTTTCCAGTAGTGGTGGAAAGACTGCCTGTCAGGGAGCCCCCAGGCCCTGCACACCAACAGCCAATCGAAAAATCCCGCGTCGCACTGCTGACCCTCTGACACTTTCGGACTTTCCAGAACTTTTCTGCCTGAATTCGCGCACGATGCTTTATGAGATCCGCCACTCGGATCTGTCCGGCAGGACCTCATTGGTTCATCGGCTCATAAAGTCCATGCAGACAGAGAAGAAAACAAGGACAGTAGAACACATGTAGGGTTTCTAGGGGGGTTTATAGGATGTTTTTAGTGCTTTTATAGGGCTTATTGGGTTTACAGGGTTTCTAGAATTTGTAAGGGTTTGGATTGCAGAGGGAGGTCGCCTGCCACTTCATCGAACATGCTCCGCAGCTGCACCATGTCAACTTTTCGTGCTCGATCCTCGGCGGGAGCTGATCTACCAACGCAGTAGTCCAGGAAAGCCACCCGGGTTACACGCCCATCTCTGGCAACAGACTCGTACTCCCGGATGAAATCTGGAAACTCAGTCTCCAGGAACTTCGCCTGTTTCAGCACATCGTGAACCGTCACGTAACCTCGCTTGCTGGTGTCCAGCTTGTCCCAGACGCGGATTGCTTCAGCCTTGGACTTTCTTCCAGATGACGGCCGTGCCGGGCTGTACTTTCGCGGCCCTCTCTTCATGAGAGGTCAAGTGCATCAAGCCAGCACAGGGCATGGGAGCCAATGCCAAAACTGGATCGGAAGTCCTACCAGTGGCTTGTTTTTCTGACCAGTTGACTAGTGACTAGATGCTTGTTCATGGAGTGGGAGTTGTGGTGGGCGTGTCGTGGCGGCAGCTTCAATGAGCCAAGGCAACGTGCTGCAAAAGACGAACCTCGCGCATCCTCATCTTGTAAACCTCTGCTTCAGCCGACTACAAGGGTGCATGTCGCTGCCTGACACTACTTTACTTATTCGCCAACGTACTGCCCATTGCACGAGTCCATATCAAGACCTCCAAATGTGTTGAACCCTCATTCTGAAAGTTAAGTTCGGGCGTATTTCAGTCAATGTCAGTACCGAATACGGCTATAAACCTCTCTTTGTTGTTTCCCGACGGAGAACACGCCGACGGCACAGCTTGCTTAAGCCCAGCGGAAAGAGCAGCAAAATTCGACAACGACAAATCGACAACAACGACATCAGCAGCAGCAGCAGCAGCAGCAGACCTGCCGCAGGCCGCAGCCTCAGCACAGCAGCAGCAATAGCAACACTTGAAGATCCCAAGCCCACGAAAGAAGCATTCAGTGCGGCTCTCATCAATGCAAGGGGTCTGGGGGCTGCACTCTGCTGCAGTCTACAGGCGCTGGCAAAAATTAGAAGGACCTAGATGACTGGAAACGACTGACCTGTCGAGCACAATCTCTTTCTTAGAAAGGAGAACCCCAGAAACGGTACCACAACACTATACACGGCCGAGGCCTCCGAAATGCAAGCATGTCGCATCCCATAAACATAGTCAGACATTGAAACAAGCTGCTTCGCTTCGAAAGTCTCTAAACCCTAAACCCTAAACCCCAAACCCCTTGGTGTGGAAGAAACAAGCCCTGCACAGCTTCATCGGCCTCCTCTTGCCCGCAGGATGTCCTGCGCATCTTCCTGGCAGGAATTCTTCCCAAACTCTGCCGCCAAACTGGTTTAGGGTTTGGGGTTTATGGTTTCGGGTTTCGGGTTTAGGGTTTAGGGTTTAGGGTTTAGGGTTTAGGGTCAGGAGATGCAGGAGGCGAACAGCCTCGGCAAGATTCAGCAGCACCCTGGCGGCAGCCCAATTCAAGACCTGGGCGCGCTGCAAGTGGGCAACACAAGCGTGCAAGCCGTCTAAATCGAGAGCTGCTTGACGCCAGCTTCTTGCACTCTCGACCGTGGCTAGAGGCAAGAAAGGAAAATGCTCACGGTTCATTGGTGGCCGCATGACGCCTCTCCACTTGGACAGCCGACAACATCCGACCAAGAAGTGCATACATTGGCCGCTGAGCCCGCATCCGTGAAGGAAGCTCCAGTGTCAATGACCCCACACACGCCTGCAAGCAAATGCGCCCAGTCGAAAAGACCTCCCCCACAACTTCCAAGAAAAAATCACAAAGTCGCGGAGCATGCTGGGAGAGCCGGCATTGATCTGATCCAGGTGTGCCCAGATGAACTCCAAGAAGACGAGCCGGCAGGGGAGCTGGCAGATCAAGATACGGGCTACTGAGCAGATGCCCGGCAACGATGCTCATCCCAAATCGTAACGCTCCGACCTGTCGTAAGGCTGACCATGTTGCCTGCGGCCGCCAGCTTCTCCCCGATGTCTGCCTCCGGGGAACTCTCCCCTGAAAAATCTCAATTCCCACATACAAGCCACTCCTCAAGGGCTGTCCCTGCGCCTGGTACAACCGGAGGGCCGATGCATCCACTTGCACCTAGGCTAGCAAAGCAACTTAAGAACCAAGGCTGAAGGCAGGCCCCTCAGCAGCCACTCCGACGGGCTAGGGCCGGTTCCACGAATCGCTCGTAGAACTCCATGCCTTCAGCAATTGCTTAGTTCATCGGTTCGTGGTGGTCATGGGACATTGTTTTACCAAACCCATTCATTGGAGGGTGCTGCGGTGGGCGATTCCGGAAGTGTGTTCTCCAGCTGCAATTTGCTGCATGCTGAGTTGAGGGGGGTCCTGCACATTTGTCAATGGCGCTCCTCCAGAGGCCCGGGCCGAGCATTCCATCAATTTGGATGTTGATCGACTCTCCTATCCTGGCAAGGCGCAGTGCACAGCTACTTGCGACACCATGTCTTCACATGCGCGGCAGCGTCATGAAAGATGTGGTGCAACGGGCCTTAAGTCCTCAAGAGTTTAGGGGGATGTCTAACGGGTTTAGAGGAGGGACACCCCACCAACACGAACAGCTGCAGACATTTTTGTCAACTCACCAGTTTCTGGGCCCGCCTCCCAGCGACATTCCGCACACGGCAAAAGCAAAAGCAAGGTGCACGCCTCCTCTGCGGGAAGTCCATGACGAAAGGCCTCTGCATTTCAAGAGTTCCGGAGATGTTCCGGATGTGTTCAATCTCTCACACCGAGAATTGTCAAAGATTTTGGTCTCACAAAAAGGTACAAGGACTGCGAGCCTCAACGGACCAACTGGAAGGCCGCCTAAGCGCACATCCTCCAGGACCACCTCTCCACACTCTGAAACTCCCATATTTGGTACTTGGGGTTTAGGCTTTAGGGTTGGCGTTTAGGGTTTTGGGGGATTCCATGGTGGATCGAAAACATGGCCGGGATGGCTGTAGGAGCTTCTCCACGTGCTTCCAGGGGCCTGCGAGCTCCACCATACTTCGAAACGCAACGAGATTTGCAGCCACAAGCGATGGCGCCTGGCACCCAACTCGTCAGCTTTCCCTGGGAACAGGATAGACCTGATTCGCAGAAGACTCGAGCATACAAAAAATGGTCGGAAAGGGGGAAAACGGGGTGTCAAGTTGAGATGAACACGTCGTCAAACCACTGTCCAACATAAAGTTGAGCTCCACCTGCACACTCTGAAAACCTACATGCCATGCAGGACAGCATAGGACAGCGCCCACCCCTAAACCCTAAACCCTAAACCCCACTCGGATGGCTGCAGCAGTCAACATGGCAGTTGCATGTCATTCTGACGGCCTCACCGGGCCCCACCAACTTGAGCATGTCATAGCCCTTGCCGAAACAGTCCTCATGCTGCAATTAGATTCATACTTTAGTATATGATTATTTTTGCATTATTACCGTTTTGTTATTTTGTTTTTTTAATGTTAGCATGTTTCTATTAGTATGTTGTTATCTTACCATACTATGAGGGGGGATTCCCTGAGTCTCAATCGGGACAAGTGAGCATGGCTTATGCTTTTCACCTGACGAGCCGGATTTGAGCGAACACAGGCTTTGCCAATGTCATAGACGTCGCATCAACTCTGGCTGGGTACAGAGCGTGACCACGCAAAGTTAAATAAAGCTGCTTCAGTCAAATTTGCAGAATATTGGTATGTACATGTGAACCTTTTCACTCAAGCTTTTTGCACCACATATCACAAAACAGTTTAGCCATTTTTGCCATGAAGCAACAAGGCACTGAAGCATCGAGGCTCTGAGGTTCACGTTGGCCACTGGCGGCTCCCTTGAAATCTCTTGGTGCACGCCGTCCAAAGGCTATGAAGACTCAGGAAGACTCCTCTTCTCAGCCTCGCCACGTGGTTCTGAGCTTCGGGGCATCTTCGGGGCAACTTGAAGAGAGTGCTCCCCGATATCTACCGCCCAAGTCCATCCCATGACCTTGTTCCGAAGACGCGAATCCGCCGCCATGCTTTAAAGGAAACTGGGATTGGGACCTGCCCCAGGAAACCCTAAGAGTCTTAGAAGTGCCACTCTTGCAATCTCTTGAAATCTTTGCAACACACGAAGCCCTTACAACACTCCTCACCACCCCCACTAGGAAGTCCTCTGGCCTCTGCTGGCAAAACAGCCTGCTTCTGAAGGAGAAGTCGCCTCATGTCACAAAAAGGCTCTGTGGGCGCCGCGTTGCAAAAAAGCGGCGCGCGTGCCTCCCCTTCGCATCCAGCGCGAGCATGACTTGCTTCAACGAGTCCTGCAGATGCCGCAAATGTCGAGGTGGCAAGCGGCTGCGTGACTGCGCGTGGCCGCGTGGCAAAGACTGCTGCTGCCTCCACACCGCCCATCACACCTGAGGGATCTTTGGACCGAAGCCTCACACCGTCCAGCTTCGAAAGGATGGGCAAGCACGAGGGAGCAAAGCAGGTCAACTGAATCGACTCAACTAACCAACGACCTTGTTGAAACTATGTCTGTGTTGAGATTGCCTGACCCTCTGATTAAGATCCGAACTTGAACAGCCTGGCACGAAGCTCCTCATTCAGTGTTGTATCGTGGCATGCCTTCAAGGAAGCACAAGCTAAGAGCCAGCCGCTCCTCTGCCTGCCTCTCGCAAGCGGACAGGCTTATCCGTTCTTGTGCTTGGGCTGTCCTCAGGCACACGGGACTCCGCCGTCGGTGTCGAGCAGTTATAGTATCGTCACTTCCGAACACGTGCCTCCGTCATCCACGGTTCGTCAGGTCTACCATAACCGCAACTGCGGAAAGGCTTGCCATTTCGTATCTGGATTGAACACACATTGTGGTTTCCGAAATTGGGGGTACCTGATAGGGGTCCCTATGATAAGAGAATCACACTACTTGGGGTCTATCTTACGGGTTCCCTATTCTCGTATAGCCCCCACATGTGCTTGTAGGCTCTCCTCAACTGATTTGCCTGCACGGTGTTCCGAACATGCTCCAGCTCCTGCCATTGGAAAGCGTCGACCAAGGTATCAAAAGCGAAACTCTCACAAACTTTTTTTCAATCCAACAACTGCACACTTGCAGGACATCCTCTTCCAAGTGCTTCACCTGAACCTGGCAGATGAAGCTCGCTACCGTTCTGCATGTTCCCAACGCACAAACCCGAAGCATTGCGCACGATCCAGCCATGCCTCGACTTTGCTTGCGTCAAGGGAGCATGATGAAACCTCAGCCTGAAGAATGGGCCAAGCTCTGGCAGTTCTGGCGGTCAAGAAACTCAGAATCAGACGAGACTAGCCGAGAACATCTGACCGTCCTGGAGCTGATGTTCCTCTGACAAGAGCCCATCCAAGACCTGGAAGTTCATGTCTGCACACGCCAGCTTTGGAAACGCTGCCCGGTTCAATGGCATGGGCCTCACTGCTGGCAACGGGCGAGACTGTTGAAGCCGCCTCGCTAACAAGAGCACCTGCAGCAGCACCAAGGACTCCATGTCCCGTGCTCATGTTCCTAAACCCTAAACCCTAAACCTTAAACCCTCACTTTGGCAACAAGAGGGCCTGACTTCCGCAGTTCAGCCGCAAGACCCTCAGCGATGTGGTACAGCCTCTGCACCTGGTTGATCTGGTCATCGGCTTTGTCCAACTTCCGGCTCTCTTCCAACAGCTCTTCCTGGGCTTCGGTGTCTTCGTCCTTCTGGCAGGCTTGAGCTTCGATGGTCGAATCCTGGAGCATCTCCTCAATGTGTGCTTCGGTCTTCAAACAAAGGGACTGCATGGACTGGAACGATTCTTCAAGGCTGGCCACAGTTTCCTGGCTTTCAAAGAGTTGGTCTTTCAAGTCAGCCGCAACCTGCTCTTGAAGCGTCATGCTGTCTGTGTCTTTCGTCCCTGCTTCCTTCTGCGCATGCTCCTCTTTGACACGCAACAACTGAGTCAGTTGCAACTCATCTGCCGTCCTGCTGTCGATGGCAACCTGTATCTCCGAACGCAAGCTTGCTATCTGGCAATCTTTCTTGACCTTCTCAAAGCGCGCTTGCACTTCCTGCCGGGCTTCCTTTCTATGGAGGCACGCGCTCTCGTACTCCTCCGCTTCTTTCAGCTCTTCCTCGGCCACGTTCATCTCCTTTGCTTGCAATTGCGCGCTGCGGCCGAGGTCCTGAAGATGCTTCCGGAGCTCGTTTTCTTTGGACTTGGACTCGTTCAGCTCTGAAGCGTACCGGAGCTGGAGAAGCTTGGCTTCTTCTCGCGCTGCCTCGGAGCACCTTTCAGTCAACTGAACATCCTTCTCCGCCAAACTTGTTCTCAACTCCACAGCAGCAAGCTCCAAGCGTCTGCGCTCTTGTTCAAAAACGTCGACAGCCAGTTGGGCTGCCATGCTTGCAGTGCGATGCTCCTGGTTAATCACTGCCTTGAGCAAAATGCACTGGTCAAGAACGTGGTGGATACAAGCCAAATCACGGCTCCCAAACAAACCATGCCGCTGTGCAAGACCACGTCCTGTGGAAGGTGCATGAGGCATCGTCTTTCCTGCAATAAAAGAAAGGATTGGCAAATCTCCTCAAGAATCTGCACGACACTGTGTTGAGGTGCTGTCTCCTCGGCCAGTGGCACAAGGTGCCGCTCAGGCAGCGCCAAAGCCTCAAAACCGCTTCGGCTACATCATGGTAGGTGAACTCGGGCGCGTTGGGGGGGGGGGCTCTTCACATCTACTGCTCATAATTCAAGGTGCCAAAATGGGCATCAGCCCCCTTTAGTCCACATGGCATGTGCCACACATAACAGAAGGCTAAGGCGGCTAAGGGCAACACCAACGACACAACACTCTGCAAACAAAGCCGCCAACCTTCAAAGTTGGCATGTGCACTCCATGCACTTTCGTGTTGGAGACATGACCCTACCGTAAGCATTGCCTGCGCAGACTGCTCCGAACAACGCGATGGCGTGGTCCATGCGCGCACGCCTACCTCAGAAACAAACACATCACAGCTCACAACACCATTGCTACATGGGGTTTACTTTATATGGGGTACCTTACTGGGGTCCCTATTGGAAGGGAATCCTACTATTAGGGGGGTCTAGATTACGTGTCCCCTGACTTCGTAAACCCCCTAGCTCTTGCAGAGCCATGCCTGCCACGTGTCGACGCAACATCTGCCGAAGAGAACGCTTCGACACGTCGGGTGCTGCAAGCTGAAGTGTACAAAACTCACGATGTGTGGTTTAGAGTTTAGGGTTTAGGGTTTACGGTTACCACAAACCACACGATAAACCGCCCCTTGATTCCACATGGGCCATGTGGAGGCTTCGTGCTTGAAGATCTGCTGCTGTGTGGTCTATTGTCGTGAGAACCAACCTCTTCCTCACCCGAAGCTGTGCTGGTTGAAATGGCTGCAAAAGGAATACAGGGTTTAGGGTTTAGGGTTTTGGGTTTAGGGTTTAGGGTTTTGGGTTTTGGGTTTTCGCACGTCGAGTGGCGCAAAGCTGTCGATCTGGCTACGACGGCCGCATTGGCCGGGCAAGATGATGGCTTGACGTGGGCGAATGCGTTTGGCAAAGAGCAATTGTGGCAATTATGGGCTTGTGGCGGAAGTTTTGGGGCCGACAACCCTCAACCGACACTACGTAGCAGTCACTAGCAGTGAGGAAAACAAGGCAGAGCTTCCCTTGCTCCAGATCCTTGCGAACAGAAGGACAGAAGGTTCTATTTTCTTCATTTGAAAGATGAGACAAGGCTGACTGAAAAGGTACTTCACGCCCGTTGCGGCGACCGAGGAGATGACTGTACACGAAAAAGCAACCACGTTCGAGAACATAGTAAAGGCAAATAAAGGCAACCACAAGGTACGCAAGTCATACATCAGTACGGCAAATGCGCAAGGCGTGCGAGGCCGGCTTGCCCTGGACTATCTTGCAGATGTTCTGCCTTGTCCCCCGCCATTCGAAGAGCGACACCGACGCCGCTGACTCGGCCTGCGCTGAAAGCTTCAGCACGGTCCGACGGTCTGGGGAAGTGGGGCACAGAAGGCGAGGCCTGCAGGACACAAGGGCTTTCTGTAAACTGCCGCGGACTTTCTACTCAAGACTTTAAGAGTCTGAAACCCACACTGCGCCCCCGCCTTGGTCACTGGTCGCATGTGGAAAGTTCAGGCGTCGCAACGACGGCCTGGATGGCACTGAGGCGCGCACTGCAGGGGCCTGTGGGATTCTTCAAATTGGTTGAAACATTGGTTTCGGGGTTGACTGCCAGACTTTGTTTTCAACAACTCACAGAAAACCCTATTCGTTGGTGGATTTGCATGCGGGTTTCGGGCGTTCGGATGGGGGAGGCTACTTCCTTAGCCTTAACCCCGACCCATCTGCAACCCAGAACCCACATAAAATCCAGGGCCCACCTACCACTGTCCGCCCCACCGCCCCGCCCCAAACTCTCTTCTCCATTCCTCTCTCCTCGCCCCCTCCCTCCCTCGTCCTTGTCCTGTCGTCCACGCCGTCCGCGGCCTCGCCCGCGCCGTCCGCGGCCGCCGCCCCGTCCGCGCCGTCCGTGGCCTCGTCCGCGTCGCTCTTGCTCTTGCACGTCGTCCTGTCCGATCTGGTCGTCTGTGGCGGAAAAATTCCTTGGTTCCCATGAAGATGGCAAGGCACGCAAACGTACGGCAAACATTCAGCTCAGAGTCTGCTCAGACTCTATCTCCTGGGCGATGCGCTCAGCCTCGGGCAGAAACTCACACCCCAAGGTCCCTGACACGCATTCTATCTGCAAAAACAACCACACTAGAAGAGCCCGCAATCTCCAAGCTCACATGGGCAACTCCCCCAGCCCAAAACCTGAGCTTGCAACTGTCGGCTCATGGCCAACGAAACCCCGGACTAATACAAGGCACATTCGAAGATCAATCAGCGCCTACCCCGAAACCGAAACCCTCACTGCCCACTGTCACTGACATGTCGAAAGATCACGCGCCGTAGACCCATAAAGCTGCATGGCTGTCTTCTTAGGGGATTAGGCATCAGCTCTTGCAATGTTCTGTTTTCCTCGAGAGCCGAGAGCCGATGGAGAGGTTTTCCTCTTCCTCGAGTTTCTACGGGCTGTAGTGGCCTGATCCAATGATGGCTTTTTTCAAATGCCTGAGGGTTGTGCAGCGTGAAGGTGAGTGGGGAACCCTACAATGACAAACCAGACTGGTAGCCTCAGTCGGGGCTGATAAGTGGAAGAGTTTGCTCAAGACGGAACCCCCAACCCTGAACAGCGACGCGAAACTGAGAAGCTCGCTTGTTGCCGCATCTCTTCTGAGATATTGGTGAGAGTGGTTGTGTAGTGGTCCTGCCTCATCAGGCAATCCCATCGACACTCGATGGCAACTCGAGTCCTCACGTCACGGTATGAGCTTGCAGGGGCGCTATCAAACTGGCACCAGGCCTCTGAGCGGGGAGCACACCGCTTGCTGACAGACAAGACACGTCTGGGAACTCCCTTCTTTGCAAACAGACTCTGAAGGGCGGGCACCGGTTTGGGCATTTCTGGGCAGCACACAGTCGCGATCCTGCGCCAGCCATGTCAAGATGCATATTGTTGGTACCAGAAAAAGCTGAAGAGCTGAGAGAAAGCTGAGGAAAAAATGAAAAAAATCTGAGAAAGAGCTGTTCTCTCTATAGGCTCCTTGCCCGCGGGGTCCCCACGCTAGGCCCTCGGAGGGGCCACTGAGCCTTTTGAGCACTGCAGAACTCCCCGCCATGCCCGGCATGCCCGGCATATTGGGCACCGAAAGTTCCGAAAGGTTTTGTAGGTGCAGTTGAGGTTGGGGCCCTTCACACCCCTCTGGAATACCCGGCATGCCCGGCATGCCCCGCATAAACCCGGCATGCACAGCATATTGGGCAGCGAAAGGTTCTCAAAGGTTGGAGCCCTTCACACCTCCTGGAATACCCGACATGCCCGGACATGCCCGGCATGTTGTTCGTTCTCGTTTGACATCGGCGAAAGCGTGTACATCCAGAGCGGAGCCAGGCTGGCCATCGACGCCCGGCACCCTCATTTCGCCTAGCTCCCCATCGGCGCGTGCACGGGGCCTAGGCTGGCGGCGTGGATCTCCTCCAACTTCGACGCGGCCACCTACACCGCGGAAACAACGAGCTGGATATCTCCTGGGACGGCGTGCGCATCATCCTGAGCTGCGGCAGCGCTTCACAGACACGGGCTCCTATCCGCCAGGCAGCATGAGTCCATTCAAGTTCGTCTTGCTCCGAAGGGGCCTCCATGGGGAGAAGAGGGGCAGTTGAATTGGAGCCTTGAGATGAGCCTTCCTGCCCGTACCTGGTCTGTAGAAAAAAGCTGCCAAAGGCATGTGCGATCAAGATGCCCGAAGAAGGGCGACAGTTGGACTGTTGGAAGTCCCGGGCTAGCCGGCATGCCATAATCGAAATGGAGCTCTAAAACCATGGATTCCTACAGTAAAGGATGCCGCTGGCTCACGCCGCCCGGTCGCAAAACAGGGGACCGGGGAGTGAGGCCCATGCGCCTGGCTTCGGCATGTCAGCTTTGAGCCTGGAAACACTTCCAACAGTACCATAATAGTACTTTCCTAGTAATATAAGAGTACAAAAAAGTACTAGTATAGTACTATTATAGTACTATTTCACTCCCAAAAGTATCTAGAGATATCTTAAGTTCGCAAGCTATCCACTAAATGCAAAGACAAGCCCAAAAGAAAGGATACACCCCGTCTCAAAGACTTGTTGAGTCTGATAGGTTGAGCATGTTAACACAATCACACGGTTGCTGTTCATGTGACACAGTACGAGGGCGGAGACTCTTTTGCATCCACGGGGAAAGCTGCGCTTTGCGGTGGAACTCAGAAGGTGCTCGCCATTCAGGGAGCACATGCATGCAGCTTGCAAAGAACCCCCTTCCCCCGAAAAGACGAGACTGCACATTAAGACTGTACATTAATTAGGCTACAGTATACTGCAGTATCTGGCAGTCGACCAGAGGCTAAATTCGTAACTGCGGCATACTGCCGAATCTGAGTGTAGGCAATGGCCTGATCCTACACCAACTGCAGTACACTGAAGTCTCAGGCTGACAATGGCGAGTGGAAGTGTCGGGCACGAACGAACTAGCTCCAGGTACGAGCTCGGCTCCAGGGATCTGTTATGTAACAGAGATTGGGTTCAATTCTGCAGGCCTCTACAGACGCAGACTTACACAAGGATTGGGTATAAATCGGCTTGTCTATGAGTCAGTATGTATAAAAAAAGTGGTATGGTATGAAAAGATCTACGCATGTATGTACACAATCCATATATACATAAGCACATATACATATATATATATATATATATATATGGTACCCCCCCCCCCCATATGCCCACACTTTTTCCTCTCAGGTGCCATGGTAGGGTTTAGAGGTTTAGGATTTCGAAGCCTCCTAGGGCAGCGAGCACGAAAGCGCTCTACTGTACCAATGTTTTCGGCCCACCAAAAGAGCCAAAACACTGTAGTCCCAAAAAAACCCATATTTTTAAGCCAAAACAAGCAAAAATGCTGTACAGTCCCCAAAAACCAAGAAAAAAAGTTTAGAGACCTTGGACGCCGAATGGCCTGGAGGTCTACAAACTTTGTTTTTTTTTGTTTTTTTTGGGACAGTACAGCATTTTAAACATTTGTTTCTTTTTGGAACAGTACAGCACTTTGGAGGCCTGGGACTACAAAAACGCTGTACTGTCCCCAAACAACCAATCTTTTTCAGCCAAAACAAGCAAAAATGCTGTACTGTCCCAAAAATACCGAAAAAAAAAAAACCAAAGCTTAGAGACCTTGGACGCCAAGTGGCCTGGAGGTCTACAAACTTTGGTTTTTTGGTTTGTTTGGGACAGTACAGCATTTTTGCATTGCTTGCTTTAAAAACATTGTTTTTTTGGGACAGTACAGCACTTTGGAGGCCTGGGGCTTCCTATTCGCTTTTATCCGAAAACAGTTTGATAGGACTCCTATGAATTCAATGAAAGATTCCTACTTATTTTCATAGGATGCCAATAAAGTTTCATAGGGTTCCTAATTATTGTAATAAGGCTCCCACTAATGCAATAAGATTCCTACCAGTTTCAGGGCTCTTACTCATGTTAATGGGATTCGTATTCATGTTTAATAGGGCTCTCATTCGTTTGAAAGGGATTCCTATTGGTTTAGGCTCATATTAATTTTTAGTAGGATTCCTATTATTTGGGGGTTCACACTCTTTTTTATACCCATTCATTCCTTCTAATTCCAGTAGGGGCCCTCTTCAGTTTATTGGGATTCCTGTCAAGTAAAATTGGGTTCTCATTAACTTTAACCGGGTTCCTATTCATGTTAATAGGATTCCTATGGATTTAATTAGAGGATTCCTATTTTTCTGTCTATTGGATTCCAAAAAGATTTCATAGTTTGCCTAGTTAGAAAAGAGGGTTCCTACAAATGTAATATGATTCCTATCAATTGTTAATAGGATTCTGTCATTTGAATAGGGTTCCCATAGGATTTCTATTTAAATTCTTAGCATGCAACCCACAATCTCGAGCAAATTTATGTCACTTTTGCTGGAGTTTTTATGGGAGTCCCTCCCTCCTATTAAAGCCACCGCGCATGGCGCGGAACGTAGTATTTTTATCTCGAATCCATGCTGAAGCGTGGGCGCATCGGGGGGGGGGGGGGTAGCATATATATGTATGCATGTATGCATGTATGCATGTGCTTTTGGCCGACATCGTTTGTTGTTTCTTGGATGTTCGGGATTCGGAGCTGAAGGCTTAGGCCCGAGCCTGCTCGGTACCTGAACCTGCCCTTCGGCCCGGCTGGAAGAACTCGCCCTAGGCAGGTCAGCCGTCTAAAGGCCTACAGCAGATTGTCGAAACTACATACCGGAACACGCCATTTAGACCTAGACCACTTGTCTGCAATTGAGCTGACATCAAGCTTAAATGCTCGGATGTGCCTGTGACATCCCTGGCTCTGGCTGGAAGCAACTTGCTAATTCCAGGCCCTCAAAGGTCCGGCTGCGGCTAGCAGCTTGCCCTTCTCCGTGAGCCCCCAGCCCAGCTCATGTGAGCGGTTTGGCGTCTCGAAGAAGGCGGGGTCGATGCTCGAAGCCTCCGTGAGGTGCTGCTCTGCTTCTGCCAGCTCGCCCATCTCCTTGCACACCAGGCCCAGCTCATGCAGAGTCACGGCCATCTCATGGTTTGGAGACTCTCCGCAGAGGGCGCGCTCCATGCCCAAAGCCTCCGTGAGGTGCTGCTTTGCGGCTGCCAGGTCGCCCCTCTCCTTGAACACCAAGCCCAGGTCATGCAGAGTCACGGCCACCTCAAGGTTTGGAGACTCTTCGAAGACGGCGCGCTTCATGACCAAAGCCTCCCTGAGGCGCCGCTCTGCTTCTGGCAGCTTGCCCTTCCTCTTGAGAACTAGGCCCAGCCTATGCAGAGTCAGTGCCACCTCCCGGTTTGGAGCCCCTTCGAAGATGGCCCTCTCCATGTCCAAAGCCTCCGTGAGGAGTCGCTCTGCTTCTGGCAGCTCGCCCTTCTCCTTGAACACCAGGCCCAGCTCATGCAGAGTCACAGCCACTGACCGGTTTGGAGCCTCTCCGAAGACGGCGCGCTTCATGTCCAAAGCCTCCGTGAGGAGTCGCTGTGCTTCTGGCAGCTCGCCCATCTCCTTGCACACTAGGCCCAGCTCATGCAGAGTCACGGCCACCTCAAGGTTTGGAGACTCTCCGCAGAGGGCGCGCTCCATGTCCAAAGCCTCCGTGAGGTGCTGCTTTGCGGCTGCCGGCTCGCCCTTCTCCTTGAGCACCGTGCCCAGCTCACGCAGAGCGATTGCCAGCTCAGGGCTCTCGGCATGTTGCTCCCTCAACTGCTTCACCGCATCCTCAAGCGCATCCTCGGCATCTGCGGGCTTCCCGATGGAGCGGCAGTGGAGACTGAAGCCCAACACGCGTGCAAGTTTACTTTCGGCCCCGCCTTTCCTCGCCCACTTGATGCAGGCCTTGCAGATGTCGAGATTGCAGCGTCGACATGAACGTCCTCGCCATCGCCGAATACCTTTACGGCATCCATCGCAGATCCAAGCCGGCTTGCAGATTTTTTCCAGCTTTGCGTGGATGGGGCAGGAACTCTTGGAAATCATATCTTGCAAGAGCTGCCGCCGCTGCACGGAGAAACCTTCCAGCTCCTCAGCCACCGGCTCCAGCAACTCACTTGCAGTGCCTTGGTCGGGCACTCCGGAGGAGCTCGTGGGCTGGGTGAAGATGTCGGCCTCGGCCGGGGCGCTGCCTATGTTGCTGCCAGCTCCCTGCTCCTGTCGATCTCCTTTGTGGCCGGCGTCATTCGTGTCAGCCTCCGGCTCCTGCGCAGATGGTACCAGGTCAAGCGTCTACATATACACATAGTTATGCCGGTCAATCTCAAATTTCGGTCTACTACCCCGACATATCAGACAAGTACAACAGCCAACGCTATCATGAGGACTCGCTCAAGAGCGCACGCAGGTTGAAAGTGTCTGAATTGTACTCCACGCATGCCACCGACTGCCACTGACATTTTCCCGAGTCCGCATCAAGGTTCGTTGATGGAGCGTTCTTCACCTGAGTTTTGCAAAGCTGTCAACGTGTTGGGCTGAATGGGACAGGAGGCATGCACGGGCTCCCTCTGAACAGAAGTGACAGAATCATTGACTCTCGCCGATGTCCTCCAAGCTGAGGTTTGCGGAGTCGAAGGGAGACAACTCCGAAGGCGACAAGGCGTTGTTCGGGAGCGTTGTTTTGCGAACGCATGTGGGGGTGAAAATGCATCGGTGCCTGGATCCTTTTGGAGCGTTTACGATGCTCCGGCTCCTTTGTTGCTACACACGAGAAGGTTCTTATCCTGGTACAGTTTCAAAGCCAAGCGAAAAGTTGGTTGCTAGCTCGCTGGTGGTCGCTGCTGCTCTGCTGGTCTCTTGTGTCGCTTATATTGACTGCAGGCAGTCCCCAAACCCGACACGGAGGCCTCGATTTACAGTGAGCAACAGACGGCCATGGCAAGCAAGGAGCCCAAGGGAAACGAGGACCACTCGCATACAACAGCCACCACAGCAGGTGGGCCACTATTTTAGGCCTCCGCTGAACCTGCGTCACCCCTCAGAAGTCTTGTCGGTACCGTTGATTACGTCTGCAGGAACAATCGTGACCACAAGTCTTCCGGCGGCTGTTATCCTGCCATTCTCTGGCCCGGGTCTTCTACAGCTACCAAACCGTCACCGGAATTCGGCCTGCAGCTTGCACTCCAAACCTCAACGATCTCTGAATTGTTGCACTGCCCAGCAGCTGGGATGCGCTTCGGTCGCCATAGAATGTGGGGATTTTGGTCCTACCAACAGCAGCAGGAACGGCTGTACTTGGCAAAAGTCAGCTTGTCCATGTGTACATCGCAGCTACCAGCACTAACACTGCATCTCGCCGAGGGACTTCGGGCCGGGTACGGTTTCTCGCTTGCACACATGTTTCTCGCGTGCATGCACAAGGAGACCAATGATTCAACCCATAGGTCGGAGTGGCTCAAGAAGGCAACTTCAGTTCACACCGGCAGGCCTGGTGGTAGTGGTACCTCTTTAGGCTCTGCACCAACCTCCTGAGAAGCAGCAATATCATCAATCAGGGTGGTCTTGTGGGAAGCGTAGAATTAGAAGGAAGGCCGAGGCACAGGACGCAGAAGGCCGCCCTCCGACATGCTGCAACGCCAGGCCGATGAAGTTGTAGCACTTGCAAGACCTCCACGAGAACTGCCTGGGTCGTTCGCACATGTCCTCATGTGAAACCCAGGAGCAGAGATCAAGGGGCATAAGAGTTCCCAGGATGCCCACTCTTAGTCCAGGGAGGGTACTCCCCAAAGAGCATTCGCAATGCTCTCAGACTCTCGGGAGTTTGTCAGGATTTCTGTGGTAGACACTGGCCTTTGGGTCATCCACGCGGGCAGAGTCCGGGTCTTGCTCAGGGTATCCAAGCAGATCCAGCACCTCTGCAGCTCTCGAAACCACCCTAAATCTTTAGATGAACAATGCCGCGCGAGAGCTCTTCCACACTCCCCTCCCCAGTTCCACCAGGCCTCTCTCGCCAGCGGCTTGATCTTCTGAGCAGCTCGGAGGTGCTGCACTGCCACGGAGAGGCTGGCGTCCAGGGCCCGAGCAGCCAACGATTTCATCTCCGCAAAAATCATCAGAATCTGCGGGGGCGCGGAGCAGTCGCGCCACACAACGGTGACGGTCCCGTTGCGCAGGTCACGATCTCGAGCTTCCATAGTCTCCTGCGGACATGCCATGACGATACTGGAACTTCGGCAAGCAGTGCACCAATTGCACAATTGCCCCCATGTATCGCCGACGGCATGTTCGTCCACCCAGGCCCATCATACATGCTCTACGGCTCTACATGCCTTGCAGTCCTGAAGTCGGCGGGCGCCTAGTAAGAAACTCAAGGTGGGCCTTGGTGCGGATCCAGAGGGAAGACTCGGGCTTGAGGACTAGAGCTTTGTTTCTTTTTCTAGGTTTCAGATAGGTGAGGCCACAAGGCGATGAGTGCTAATATGGAAACCTTTCATATAAAGTGTCCATCTCCCAGCCTGTGTCAGTCTGTAGGAAGGGCCTGCTGCACTCGAATGTCAATGTAGTGTATTGCAGTATCTGTCTGAGTGGCAGCTGAGCTACACCAGCCCCTTTCTTTGAGCATGTTATATCACCCTGATTTTCAATCTCAGCCGACAAGCCGAAAGAGACCCAGAGTCCTGACAGCAACTCAAAGGTTGAAGTTTGCGAGGCACACGGCTTAGCCCCACGATCACAAACCCGACGTCGCCTTCGACGTGTAGATCCGAAACACCCCCCAGCCCGAAACGCCAAGCTCCCGAAAGCTCTCACCGGAACTCGAAACTTCCCGGGGCTTCGGCCCTCAACGTGTCAAGGCCAGGCCACAAGGCCAGGGCCGGGCTCTCCACTGGGAGGCCCAGGTTCTTTGCGATGGTCGGCGACAACGAGCCTTGGAGATCTCTGGCTTTCAATCTGCTTGGAGCTCGGGGGTTTGGTCTTGGCTTCGGCAAAAGAAGGGTTTGGCCGGTCACTTTCGGGGCTTCAGGGTCGTTTGTTTTGTGAGGTTCTGTGTGGGATCAAAAAAACTTACCTGGGCTTGGAATACTGAGGAGGTCCAGGAGGTAAGATTCCGGTTTGGGGCTTGGCCTTTGGGGCTTGTAGGCCTTAGGATAGCTATCTGGCGGCTGGACCCAGAAACCAAAGAACAAGTCAGCACCTGGGGCACTTTCGTCTTTGAAGTGTGAAGGTTGCTTGTTTTCACGTTTCCGGAAGCGTGGCCTGCTAGCTCCCCAGCCATCTGCTAGCCGTCCATACACCCCACCATCAGAAGGCATCCTGGAACCAAGCCCTGGAACCATCCTAAACCCCCAATCCCTGAGATGATCCAAGGATCCGAGGGTGTCGTGGGGCGAGGCGCTGATGTCGGCCCGTTTGCCACTCATCAGTGCCACCTGCACAAGGGGGTTTGGTTGTTGGGGTCAGGGCTTACAAAGTTGGGCTACGAGAAAAGACCGTGAAGCATGTAGGGTTTGGGGATTCAGAGGTTCAGCGAGCCATGCTCAACATGTAGCATTTACATTATTATACACTACAGCATCGTAAGCTGCTACTTGAATATGCGCAACCTGGAATAATGAATAACGCTCATACACTATTACATAAACAACGAGCCCTCTCTGGCCTCGAGGGTAATGCGTTCTGCCATCGCAACAAGAAGCTGAATCCGCAGGCAGAGCAGCAAGTATTTGTTGCAGGCGTCCAGAACTATGCAGAATGTTTCGGCATCCAGATGATAGCTCAAAGTTCCTTTAGCCTTGAGACGCCAAATTCCTAGTAGCATTTCCCACAAGTTTCCGGGGACAATTGCAGGTCTCATCAGATCCATGGGATGCCCCTCCTGTCAGCAGGTTGTGTACTCGGCTACTTACTGGTCATGTGTCTTGTGGCATGAGTCCAACAGCGCACACATCTGTAGCCGACCTGCTGACTAATGCTGCAGAAGAAGGGTCTGGACTTGATGCCCAGCAAACCAACCGTATCACCTCATCTTCGGTGGAACCTATGAGAAAATTCTTCTTGGAAACCAGATACTGTATACTGTCTGGTATGTTATAGTAAGAAGCTTGGTGTGGCACTATGCTCTATACAGGTACGGTATGCTAGACTGCAAAGTTATGCCTTGTATTGTACAGCATATAATTTGCTATAGTATGCGGTTGCTGGATGTGGGGTGAGTGTTTCATGCCAATTCATGTTAGTGCGGGGTGTTGTCTCATGCCATTCATGTCAGCTGGGCTAAAGATTCGCCACCCGCCCCGCTCCCTGCACCCCCTGCCTGCTCTTATGATGTTTTGATCAAGTTCCGCATTGTTCGCACGAGCATCACGAGCGGCAGCCAGTCATGCATTTCGAGTTCAAGATGCACCAAATTCCCGAAACCGCTGCAATCAAGCCTTTGAATTTCCCTCAAAATCCTGTACACGAAGCCGCGTCTGACTTGCCGGCATAAAGACTCATCAAGGTCCTTTGGAAATCGGATGTGAAGACGAGCTGAATCGAGAGAGCATAAATCCCAAGCCAGCTTTTTCAGCTGGAGGTCACACTGGCGTCGGTTTGAGTGCTAAAGTTCAATCTAATGCATGCTGGAGGGGGCTCAGGGATCAGCACCAGGAGGTTCTATTTGTGTCAGAATCTGCATGTTCGGGACATGTCGATTGTGGATTTGCGCCCACCACTGCAGCATTAGAGGGGCTCCAAAAAGCTTGCAAATCAGGATTCTGCCGTCTTTGGCTGCCGCACTCGATTCCCTCCGCGCACTCGGCGCTGTCTCTCGAGGAGTATCACTTACAAAGCTGCAAGCATGTTGACATGAAGGTAGTGGAGGGTGGCCAGGAACATTTTTTTTTCGGGCGCCTCTTTGCTACATCAGCAGCACAGTGGGTCGGTCTTGTGAGACCCTCCACAAAGGGTGAAACACCTACGCAGGCCGATCAGCGGCAAAAAACCAAAACAACGAGCAAGCACAACCGAAAAAAAGAAGAAAAAGACCGAGCACGTACTAGCAGTGAAAACCCCTCTCTGCGGTCGTTTGGCTTGCCGTTTGCCGTCACTTGGCCACTGGCGTGCGCTGGCTTGTAGGCCACTCGCAGCCTACAGCACTCGCAGCGGTTGGCCACTTGCAGCATCTGGACAATTGGCGGCAGGCTTGCCGTCACTTGGTCACTCGCGGCAGCGTCTGGCGGTCAATTGTCAATGGGTGCACTTGCACGCTCGCTCGCCTTGTCAATTGGCCAGCAGCGATAATAGAGAAAGTAGGTTTATGGGGGGGTTTTTTTTTGAGCAAAAAAACGTTCCAAAATGGCTCTTTGAGTGAGAGGGGTGTGAGGAGAGGTGTTCATTGCTGGAAAAACGCTCAACTTGGCTCCAAAACAGCACCTTCAACCTGAGTAGGCTTATGGGTTTTTTTTTATTTTAAGCCAAAAAACGCTCCAAAATGGCTCTTTGAGTGAGAGGGGTGTGAGGAGGAGGTGTTCATTGCTGGAAAAAACGCTCAACTTGGCTCCAAAACAGCACCTTCAACCTGAGTAGGCTTATGGGTTTTTTTTTAAGCCAAAAAACGCTCCAAAATGGCTCTTTGAGTGAGAGGGTGTGAGGAGGAGGTGTTCATTGCTGGAAAAAACGCTCAACTTGGCTCCAAAACAGCACCTTCAACCTGAGTAGGCTTATGGGTTTTTTTAAGCCAAAAAAACGCTTCAAAAAACACTTCCTTCGACAGAGCAGAATCGCAGGGCATGAATTTTGGTGGAAAAAACGCTCAACTTCGCTCCAAAATAGCACCTTTCAACCTGAGTAAGCCTGCAGGGATAATTGTCTTAAAGCGGAAAAAAGCTCAACTTCGCTGCAAAACAGCCCCTTCTTGTTTCAAAAACGGCCCATTAATGACTCAATAATGATTCAAGATGATTCAACAATGACTCAAGATGACTCAAACATGACGCAAAATGATTCAATAATGACACAACAATGCAGGGTGGCAGGGCAGCAGTGGCAGGGCAGCAGTGGCGGAGTGGCAGGGCAGCAGTGCAAGTGCGGAGTGGGCAGGGCGGCGAGGGCAGCAGAGCGGAATGGCGGAGCAGCAGTGGCAGCAGTGGCAAAGGGCGGAGTGGCAGAGCAGCAGGGCGGAGTGGCAGGGCAGCAGGGCGGAGTGACAGGGCAGCAGGGCGGAGTGGCAGGGCAGCAGGGCGGAGTGACAGGGCAGTGGCGGAGTGGCAGGGCAGCAGTGGCGGAGTGGCAGGGCAGCAGTGCGGAGTGGGCAGCGTGGCAGGGCAGCAGTGGCAGGGCAGCAGGGCGGAGTGGCAGGGCAGCAGGCAGGGCAGCAGTGGCAGGGCAGCAGTGTGGCGGAGTGGCAGGGCAGCAGTGCGAGTGGCAGGGCAGCAGCAAGAGCGGAACAGAACAGCAGGGCATGGCAGGGCAGCAGTTGCAGAGCAGCAGAAGTAACAGAACAGGCGAGCAGGAACAGCAGGGCGGAGTGGCAGCAGTGGCAGCAGGGCGGAGTGGCAGGGTAGCAGTGGCGGCAGGGCAGCAGGGCGGAGTGGCAGGGGCAGTGGCAGGGCAGCAGTGCGGAGGGCAGGGCAGCAGTGCAGAGTGGGCAGGGTGGCAGGGCAGCAGTGGCAGGGCAGCAGCAGTGACAGGGCAGCAGGGCGGAGTGGCAGAGCAGCAGTGGCAGCAGCAGCAGTGGCAGCCACCGATGGGAAAAAACTCGTCAATCTGTGTCGACGCGTTCTGGTACGGGGAAATTCAAACATGCCAATTCTTCGCGGTTTTCATCGGAGCATCGTCTAAAAGCCGTGGGAGTGTACGCCGCAATCGCCCACATATGCCCTTCATGAGGTTCGACTTTATGGAATCGACGGGCGTTGAACGACACTGAGCAGTCGTGCATGTCGATCCAGGAGCCTCGAAGCCGATGAATTTTCTTTTTCATCACCACCTCATCAGGCGAAGTGCCTTCGTCATCTTCGACCCATACTCTGCCTCCCGTGTATCGTCCGAGCGCGATTGCGTAGTTCGGAATGCCGATCATATTTCCCATGTCTCGGTGAAGCCCGATGCTTGGGTTCAGAATCACCGCGAGGGAGGTCCATTTTCCATCCGGAATGCGATCGCGCAAGAAGTGATTAAGCGCAATGCATGCTTCTTTCGCGTCGGAAGCTTTTGACATGCTGGGAGCATTGCCTCCAAAAGCATAAAGCCCCAGGGTGCAGTAAATCTCATATGATCCCGGCCAATGCCTCGTTGACGCCCACGATGCTTCCATTCCGGGGACAAACAATCCAGCAGCCGAACTAGATTTTGATTAGAAGGATTTTGCATGACAGATTCGCAAGCAGGGAGTTGATTGACTGGCAGAATTGAAGAGTTGCCAGACTCACCTTCGACCCACCCCCTCCGACGTGGCGAAGGTGCAGAGGCTCTGGTTCGTCTGTGACACGCACGGAGACGGTGCCCGCCTTGAGGTTCAGGAACTGATTGGTCGGAAGCAGGGGCTCCACGGCTCCACCGTGTCCGCCTGGATGCCGTGGCGACGCCCAGGCTGCTGTCTGCGAAGATGCGCCCCATGGTCAGCATGTTGACCCCCGTCTTGACGTCTTGAGACTGAACTGGCTCGAGGACAGGTCGGCCACGGCGGCCCCGTTGGAAGCCTCGAACTCGATGCCCAGGCTGCCGCCCCGCAGCGTGAGGAAGTCGCCCCCGTTGGCCCGCACGTCATTGACGAGCAGGGGATCCGAGGGGGGCGCCCCCGCCAGGGCGTAGCGTGAATCCGATTCACTCTTGCTGTAAGTAACAGTCGCAGGTCAGCTGCAGCGTGGCGGAGTTGCCGAGGATGAGGTTCGCTCCCAGACACGCCTGGGGCAACAACGCTCGGATCATTCTCGGAGTGAAGTTGTCGAGCACCATAGGAATGATGCCTCCCCCACCGGCGTTGCCGTTGACCACGTGGTAGCGGGAGTCGAGGGGCGTAGTCGGTGTTGGAGAAGTACCTGCCGTCGCTCTCGCTCTTCGAGTAGCAGCCGCAGGTCAGTTGCACCGTGGCGGAGTTGCCGAGGATGAGGTTCGCCCCCAGGGGCGCCTGGGGCAGTAACGCTCCGCCTCCGGCGTTGCCGTTGACGGGATGATACCGGGCATCGCCCCTGCGCTTCGGTGAGGAGCCCAGGAGCTGATCTGGCTCGCGATCTCTGCCGAGGTCTCGCCCACCAGTAGTTAGTGAGCTCGGGGCGACGGAGCTGTCGATGTCGGCCTGTGTGGCGTACTGCGAAACGTTCAGGGAGTTTACCTCGGCCTGTGTGTACGTCTGCGCGGTGGAGTAGGACTGGCACTCCAGCTGCAGCGTGTTGCCCGAGTTCTGGAGCGTGGCTACGAGGAGCCCGGTGAAGTTCCGGGGAGGGCCTGCCCTGTCAGGAGCTCCCAGGTGGTGTTCCCGCTCCAGGCGGGCGCATTGTCGAAGTGTCTCCGACCTCACGACCACGGACGGCCGAATCTTCGGCAAGTTCTTCACACAGTCGGAGGTCCTAGAGCGATTGCAGTCGTGCATTCAGGGGGCAGTTCTTTTCTGAAGGTGAAGATGGATTGGCAGCGCGTGCGCATCTGGGGCGCGCTAGGCGAGGTTGTGAAGGATCCAGGGAACCTCGCGGGCAGGGAGTGTAAGGTAAAGCGCGAACAGCGACAGCTGTGGCTGATGACGAACACGTGCGGCGTCTTGGTTGAAGTCACGGACATTACAAGTGAGCACGCATCGGTGTGTTCGACCTCTGAGGCCCCTTCCACCCCCCACTTACTTCGGCTACGACATCATCGTGGCCTCAGCTCCTCGGCGAAAGCGGTTCCGTAGCGCAGGTAGCCTGGAAAAACGCGCGAGTTGGTGGTAAGCGTTGCTTGCTGTCCTAGGGTTCACGGGCTTCCCCCTCCTGTCACTGCGTCTCGCGTTTGTGCTCAGAGGGTTTTTTTCTCGGTCAAGGGGTTTCCTAGGTGACTCTGTATGAAAGGTTTGCGAGGTGTGCAAGCCGGTTTTAGACAACTGTAAGTCCTGTAAAAGAAAACCCCTTCGTCTCAGCTCCCAGACACCTCGGACCCTTCGTTTCGCCTAGCAGGCGCTGCTTGGTGGCTGCTGGGTGAACGCGCGGAGCCCTGATCGCGGGTTTTTTCTGTTCAATTATGGTAGGAGGGTGTGTTGGTTCGTCGGAGGGGCATACTGCAAGTGAGGGTGCTCGTGGGGTTTCTTTGCGACTCTGCGCGAAAGGTTTGTGAGGAGTGCTAGTACGCGAGCAGGAGTGATCACATCTGCTGAAGGACATGTTTTAGACTACGAAACTGTAAGTCCTGTAAAAAAAAACTTTCGTTTCAGCTCCCAGAAACCCCGAACGCTTCGTCTCGCCCATCAGGTGCTGCTTGGGGGGCTGCTGGGTGACCGCTCGGAGCTTTGATCGCAGGGTTTTTTCTGTTCAATTATGGTAGGAGCGTTCGAGTGAGGGTGTGGTTAGGACGTGGGTAGGGTGTGAGCCTCATGGGGGTTTCCTTTGTGACTCTGTGTGAAAGGTTTGCGAGGTGTGCTCCTGCGCGAGCAGACTTTTTTAGACTACGAAACTGTAAGTCCTGTAAAAAAAAAAAAACCCTTTCGTCTCAGCTCCCAGAAACCCCGGACGCTTCGTCTCGCCTATCAGGTGCTGCTTGGCGGTTGCTGGCTGACAGCTCGGAGCTCTGATTGCAGGTTTTTTTGGTTGGAGCATTCGTCGGCTTGTCGCAGGAACATAGTGCACGCGAGGGCGGCGTTAGGACGTTTGCTGGGTGTGAACCTCGTGGCGAGCCTTCCCAGGCGAGGCGACATCGTCATCATCAATCATTCGGGCATCCTAATCGCGCGCACATTTGCGTGTTTTTTGAAGGGATTTGAGACTGGAGTGCGCTGAAGGTTCTGCGAGCGTCGAACGATTCACAGGCGTTACGAAGTGAGAGTCCTTCACGCATGTTTCAGTTTGTTGTTGTCCCTCGTCAGCCATTTTCATTCTCATCCCACCGCCTCTTGTCATTTCATCGCTTGTGCGTCGAGCAATGCCTGATCAACACTCCAAGGAGAATCGCGAGAAGGCACAGCTGCGGAAAGAAGTCAATGACGAGGTCACTCGCAAGGGGCGACCTTTGAGTGAAGAGGAAATTCAGTCCAAGCTGGCCCGCATTGCCGAATTGAGCGAGATTCAGAAATCGAACCAGAAAGCCAAGGAAGAGACGGTGCAGGAGGTCAACACACACACGAGCACCGTTGTCGAGAAGGTCGGCTCGCAGTTGAGCGATAAGATGGACACGAACAGCATCGAGATCAAGGCAAAAATGGACGCAAACAGCGCAGCGATGAAGGCGAGCACCGACGAGATCAAGGCGGATACCGTTGCTATCCACGCGAAGCTGGACCGCATCGAGGAGGCTTTGACCAAGAACGTGCGGCCCAAGGGGGGCGAACGCAAGAAAAGTCGGACGAGAAGAAGAAGGAACGCGATGAGAAGAAGAAAGAAGCGGCCGAACAAAAGAAGCGAGAAGACGAGGCTCGCATGGTGGAGAAGGAGGAACGCAAGCGCAAACTCGACGAGGCAAACGCCAAGATTGCGGAGGCCAAGAGAGTAAAGAAGGAGCTCCTAGTAAATTTCACTAAATCACCCGGGGCCATGGTCCAGTTGCTGTTTCTCACAACAAGGCAACAGCTCTGATTTTGAGCCGGGGTTGACAATTAAATCTGGATGGGGTTCCAAAGCTCTGACTTTGCGCCGGGTTGCAAATGAAGACTCGATGAGTCTGAAAAATCTGTTTGGAAATGGTTTTGAAAAATCCAGGCTGATGAACCCAGTTGATTTTGAGTACAAGCTCTGATTTTGAGCCGGGGTTGAAAATTACATCTGGATGGGTCTCCAAAGCTCTGATTTTGAGCCGGGGTTGCAAATGAAGACTCCATGGGTCTGAAAAATCTGTTTGGAAACGGTTTTGAAAAATCCAAGCTGAAGAACCCATTTTTGGTTTGAGTGAGCCTTGAAAAGAAAAAAATATCAGCCGGACAAGGCCACAGTGCGGCACAAGGGCCGTGATGAGGCCACAATCTCTGTTTTGAGACGGGCTTTGAATCACCTTCGAGCCGGAAGAGTCCAAAGAGGATATTCAGGGTTCCACAAACTCTGTAGTAGAGTTTTCTGGGGCAAGGCCTAGAACTAACCCTAAACCCTAAACCCTAAACCCTAGAACCCGTGCAACCTCAGAACCCTAAAGCCGTGCTAGTGTGTAGACTCACGACCGAAACTCAACCTGTACCAGCAGCCCCCCCCCCACCCCCCCTGCATTCTCATGTCTATCGAGGTTTCCAATAATATGCAACATAGGAAGAAAAAAAGAACCATGCGCACTACACAGACAAGCCTTCAGACAAGCACGAGTGAACTCAGTGAACCAGCGTTTCTTTTTTCGGGCAGCTGAGCGAAATCACTTCACAGCTTGCGCAAAAAGCTTTCTGGGTTCTCTCCCCCTCTCCCTGTCCTACTGTTTCACACGATGGACCCACATGCCACTGCTGCACAGTAAGCACTGCCATCGTGATCCAACCCGCGGTGCTTCAAGCATCACGCCCGGAAGAACTGGGTCGACTATGTCGACGGTGCAGCCTTGAGGATCTCCAGGATCTGCTGCATGCGTTCTACATTGTGCTTCATGTTAGAGGCAACCTGGATGGCCTCCTCGTACTTTGCAATGTGGCTTTTTTCAAATGTGAAGAAACCTTTGCGAAACCCGTAAATGAGCGGGTTGTTTGCGGAAATCTCAACCACCAGCCAACCTGTGGGAACAAACAACGCCGTTTGTGGCTTGAGGGTGCACTGCATCCATTTCACTTTGCCTGCCAAACCCTCAACTCCAGCTCTATCGAGCCCATGGAACCTGTCAAGGATGCTTTGCACTGACAGCTCCTCAGTGGCTTTGTCCGCCCTGAGGTCCAGGGCCTTTGACAAGCTGTCCCACTCAATCATGATGTGGCGCATCTCACCAACAACCAAAACCCTGATGCAGGGTGCATGGTTGGGCAAAAAGGCAACGGTCCTGTGGTCAGGGCTGGCACCGAAAAGCCACGCGCAATCCATAAACTGCTTGCCTCCAGAGACAGCTGAGATGTCCGGCTCGTTTCCTGCAGGCCTGAGCTTCTGCATGAACTGGTTCACCAAGCCACGACCGCTCTTTTCCTCCATAGGGAAGGTTGCTTGCGTTTTTTTGGGCTTGGTGGAAGCCATTGTTTTCTTGTACTGAGACCCCCAAGAAGCCAGGGCCTTCTGCATCGCGGTATCGCCAAGCACTGGCACCAATTCGGCAGCACACTTCATGACCCACGGAGAATCCCAGGCCAGGCCCTCTGTACTTAGACCTGTCCGCTCTGGGACAGCATCGCACAGATTGAGCGGCAAGTCACAGGTGAAAATGGCGGAAACGACTGCTTGTTGCTCCAACTTCCTCTTCTTGATCTGATCAGCTGCTTCCTTGGCCTCGTTCCTCACACGCTGCAACTCATCGCGGGCTTTCTGATCCTCCGCCCGCCTCTTTTCACGGGCGCTTTCTGTCACTTTCAACTTCATGTGCTTGGAAAGATCATCCGCCGCTTGCTTGATGCCCTTGTGTACCTGCTGGAGGGACTTTTCTGTAGCCAGCCAGTCTTGCTTGTACTGGAGGAACACAGCTGCATCTTTGCACTCTAGCAACTCCTCCATGGAATCTTGCACGGACTCAAGGGCCCTCAAAGCACTCAGCTCACCCTCCCAGAACTTGCCCTTAGCGGTTCGGGCCTCCTTCAAGAAATTTTCCCAGGACAAACTCGCACGCTCCTGCACAAACTCTGAACTCACCGCATCAGCACCGTTCAGGACACTCACAGCCCCAGCAGAAGAATTGCCTGGGTTGCTTGGGGTGGCTGGCTGGCTTGGGCCCTGGCCAGGCACGGTAGGAACAGGCCCGGATTGACCCACAGAGCTCCCTGCGCTGGAGTCTGGGACAATCCAGCGCAAGTCCTCCGGCCTGCCAAGACAGCGGACGCCAGTCTCATGCCGAAACTGGAGAGTGCGACAGAAGGCCAGCAAAGCACGGTCAGAGGATCGAAGTTCAGCAGGGTGCTTCTTGTAATCATCCATAGCCTTGATAGCCAGGGGCATGGCTTTCTTGAACTCTGAATTAATCTTCTTCAGCGAGGATTCCATGGCACGGTGCAGCTGAGCGGGCTCCCGTGACAGGTTGACGGCGGCCACCTTCTCAGGAGTCAGTGCGTCATCTCCGGCCTTCTCAGCAGCATCCTTCTTCTTGGGGGTCAGCATCACCCCCTGTTGCAAGTCTGCAGCTTGCTCAGCCGTGATGCCAAACCGCACGTCATCGAAGGACAACTTTTGTCTGGTCAGGTGATCCTGGCAAGAGTCAGCACTAAGCAACAAACAGCATGACTGGACGTGACAGAAGAGGTTCAATCAAAGTGCGGTGAAACAGAGCATGACATGACACTTGACACTACTCACCACGTTGCTAGGCCCGGCCTGCAGCATCTTGCGCTCCTCCACACTGGGGGCTTTGAAGTCCCCGCTGCCCTCGATTACCTGGGAGTCCACATAGTGTTCCCGGTCATCGTAGTCGAGCTCATGGCAAGGAACCCAGATTCTTTCAGCTCCCTTGTAACCCAAGTTGTCCCTTTTCAGGCTCTTGTTGCTGACAAAGCCCTTCCATTCTTCTGCCGCCTCCTCCTCGGTCAAACCGAGTTCGTTCTCGGCATGTTTGAAATAAGCCCTTTCAGTGAAAGGCCTCTTGCCCTTCTGCAAGTGCGTGCCTACACGCTGGCCATGCACTCGCTGGAACTTTGCAAAGTCCACCAAGCCTTTCTTTTTAAGTTCCGGCGGATTGTCGAGGGCAAACTCCTCCACCTCCCTGCCAGCATCTGCCTCGTTCGCCATCAGCTTGTCGAAGGCCTCCTTGTCTGCCTGAGAAAGAGCTCGGGTACGTCGCTGGTACATCATGTTGTCGAAGGCCTTCTTGTGATGAAACAAAGAGCAAAACTTCGAGCCTGGGTACTTTGGTGCTGTACAGTTGGGACATACGCAAGTGCTTGCTGGTGCTTTCTTTCCTCTGCCCCGGCCCTTGCCGCGACCGCGTCTGCCTGTCGTGGGCTCTTCCTGCTCTTCCTCTTGTTCCGGATCTGCGGTTTGGTCTGACTCACGGGGCAAGCCAAAGCCAAAACCTTCCTCTTCCATGGCCACTGAAGAGCAGTTGCTCTGTGACACAGGCACACAGATTCCTTGATCCTACAGGCCTACACACGCGAACCGCAAGGTGAACGGACGAACGCCCGTCACGGGCCGAAGCATGAGAAAGGCACGCAGCTGGGAAGGGCAGAGGCAGACTGACTGAAGAATGTTTCTTCGCCCAAACTGACACAGATCTCGCAACTTAACAGCAGCTGTCATGCTCAGGACTCACAATGTGGGCTGGAAATGCGGCTGCAGCCTACACTTGCTTACGAACTGTTCCACGCGACAAACCCAAACACAAAACAACGCCTAGGCCAATCACAACACTGCACTCACTGTGAATCCTCAGGAGCAGCGGAGCTGTGCTCCAGAAACGGCATGCCTGACTCAAGGCTCATTGTCGCGTCGAGGGCAAACTCCTCCACTTTTCTGCCGGCATCTGCCTGGTTCGCCATCACCTTGTCGAAGGCCTCCTTGGCTTCCTGAGAAAGAGCTCGGGTACGTCGCTGGTACATCATGTTGTCGAAGGCCTTCTTGTGATGAAACAAAGAGCAAAACTTCGAGCCTGGGTACTTTGGTGCTGTACAGTTGGGACATATGCAAGTGCTTGCTGGTGCTTTCTTTCCTCTGCCCCGGCCCTTGCTGCCACCAGCAGCACTGGAAGGACGACCTCTGCCGCGGCCGCGGCCTCGGCCGGGACCGCGTCTGCCTGTCGTGGGCTCTTCCTGCTCTCCCTCTTGTTCCGGATCTGCGGTTTGGTCTGACTCACGGGGCAAGCCAATGAAGCCAAAACCTTCCTCTTCCATGGCCACTGAAGAGCAGTTGCTCTGCGACACAGGCAAACAGATTCCTTGATCCTGCAGGCCTACACATGCGAACGCAAGGTGAACGGACGAACGGACTAGCGCTCACGGCCGTCACGGGCCTAAACATGAGAAAGGCACGCAGCTGGGAAGGGCAGAGGCAGACTGACTGAAGAATGTTTCTTCGCCCAAACTGACACACATTGCTTCCTTGCCCCGCTATGATGGACTCAGATCTTGAAAGCAGATCTCGCAACCTAACAGCAGCTGTCAGCTGTCATACTCAGGACTCACAATGCGGGCTGGAAATGCAGCGGCAGCTTGCAGCCTACACTTGCACACGACAAACCCCAAACAACATGTGGGGCAATCACAAAAATGCATTTACCAGCGGCCACAGTGAATCCTCATGAGCAGCGGACAGACTTGCACTGTGCCCCAGAAACAGCATCTCAGACTCAAGGCTCAATGTCGTCTACCTTGCTAGGAGGCCCAGGCAATGCGCGGCGTTCACGAGGGCTGAACTCGGCAAGACATCTCTTTAGCTCTGCCTCGTCGACGTCGTAGTCTGCGGCATCGTCTGCCTTGTCGAAGTCTGTCTGCAAGTCCTTTACCGGACTGTGCTTGCCCCATTCCAAGGTGGCCTCGCTGTCGGTGTCGCTGACGTCACTGCTCTCCTGCAAGCCCGCGTCAGAAGGATGACGCACGGTTTTTGCAGGCGGGTGACCTTCCCAATGGTTGGCCAGCTCCATCGCCAAGTGCCACGTGTTTTTTTTCTCCGAGGAAGCTGAAGCGACGTTGCTTGCCCAGTTGCCCGTGTCGTGGGATGGCACAGACTTTCTTGGATTCGTCTTGCACCGGCTGGCCCTCCTTCTGCTCCAGCTTGCGCTTGTTGTTTGTCACTGCGGCGCTGGAGGAGACGTGGTGGGCCCGAGCGTCAGCGCTGGAGTCTTGAACTTGCTGGTCCTCCTGAAGTGACTGTGACTGACCCAGGAATTTATTAAACTGTTGGATTACGAATCACGAAGCCCCAACAGTTTTGGCCACACGCAAGAGTCCTCGTGGGAGCAGCGCACTACGGCACCGAGTTGGCTGGCCGACATTGCGAGTCCTAGTAGACAGAATGAGCTAAATGGAAACCAAAAACCTCTCTGCAATGATGAGCTCACGATGATGCACTTGCAGTTGGCGCCTGTTCTTCAACAGCCTGAAATGGCCTGAAAGAGCAACCCGTGCGAATCGCTTTTCAAGCCCACGACGCGAAGAAACTCTTCATGCGGGACAGCAGCTGGGGAACAAGAATTCCAGACTTCCGTATCACGAATCACGACTGCTACACTGCTAATGGCTAACCCATGTCCCATGCGCAATGCACTACATTCTTGGTTCAACCTGGTTCCTTGCCCCCCAATGCTCCGGACTTCGCTTTCTGAAGGCCTAAGACTCTGCAAAAACACTAGCGAATCTACTGAAGAAACACCCTGTCACCGTGACTGTCAGAGTCACTGCGCTGCCCGAAACAGATGCATCCTGCCCCAGCTGCGAGCAGCAGCACAGCAGACAGAGACGCTGCAAGCCTGTAAGCAAATCTCGAAATTCTCGAAAGCTCAGTTGCTCTCACTGGACTCAGAGGCCTCAGTGCCAGCCTCAGCCTCAGCATCCTCATTGTCACTGGCACTGGAGTTGGATAGCCAGGAGACAAGCGGTTCACACCTCTCACGCTGGACAGTGCTGCCGAAAACATATAGGTTCCACGCCAGAACAATGGGCAGCGATTGCGAATTTCCGGACTGGCGTTTTGTAACCCTGTCTGGCTGGCGCAGCACGGTCGAAGCGAGGGGCCAGAAGAAGCGAGAGCTCACGTGGTTCATAGCGTGGAAGCCCAAGCTCAAAAACCGTTCTGCGGGCAGCACGAATCGGCTCCTACTCAGCTCCAAGATGTTTCCATGTGTGAGGAGGCAAGGCATCATGGGTCCAAAGGCTGGGCCTGGCGAGTCAGGCCAATGCTCCAGGTCACAGAAACATGTTCCATCTAGAGCTGCACGCTCTGCAGCGCGCTGCTGGTACGCAGCCAGGCGTTGTTGCTGGCCGGGCACTAACAGCTTGTTGAACAGCTTTTGTCCTTCAGGCATGATGTCGGGGTAATGGCCACGGGACCCCAATTGATCCCTCAGAAAAGCCTGATGCACTGAATCATCCTCCTGCAAGAAGACACTCCCATTGAGATGCGGGCATCGGCCAAACATCCCTTCAAACTCTGCCTGGATCTCCTCATCGGTCTTAGGACCAAGCCAAACCAGGCTGTGAAGGTTCAAGCCGGCGGAAAGAAGTCTGTCTCTGGAGCACGGCCACCCCAGCAGTCTAGGTCCCGCGATCACTTTAATGATGCGGTGTGAGTCTTTCAGGGGTTGCCTCAAATGCGTGTCAACATCGAAGAGCGGAGTGCACTCTTGAAAAAAGAGATCCTCCTCTCCAGCCACAGCAAGATGCTTCCGCATGCACAGCCAAGCGGCCAGCGGGACCTGAGAAGCATGAGAGCCCCTGGCCCTCTTACCCTCAGAGGACCATGCCTGGCAGCAATTGCCTGCGTCAGCAACAACAAGAGCGCGTGGATTCGGAAGACTTGCGCGGGACTTGTGCACGATGCAGTCCTGGCCGTGCACCAGGCAATGGGCCTTGTGCTCCTGACCAAAGCCAAACAAAAGCATGCCATGGCAAAAGCACTCGCAGTCACTTACCTCCTTGACAGACTGGACACAAAGCACACAGAAGTCAACAAGCTGTCCTTGTCAACAACCCACATGTTCTGCATGAGGAACTCCAGAATCTCCTTGTTGATCTTGCACTGTTCCTCCAAGTTCCTTTCCGGCATGTCCGCAATCATCTGAGCACACCAGTTTTGCGCTTCTGGTACCAGTTGGTGCATGATGTCGGCAAACACACAGGATGACCCCTTGTCCAAGATATGAGACGCATGCTTCAACACCTCCTGACAATGCACATCAATGTCGCAGGACTTCGTAAACATATGTGGAATTTCAAGGGCGTGTTCCTCACGCAACACTTGCAACAGCAACCTCTTCACTTCCCTTTCAGCACCAATGCCACTGTAGTCGGAATGCTGAACTATTCCATCTGCCAACAGCCTTTTGCATTGACTAGCAGCATACCCCGTGCTGCACAACTTCTCCACCAACGACACAGGATAATTGAAGAGTTCAGTCAACGATGCTGGCCCGGAAGGCAAGGTGCTGCGAGCAGACAGGTCCGCCAAGGACCCATGCAGAAATCTCCTACGACGACCTGCAGGAGTTAACCTTGCTGGCACGAACTCCCACTCATCGTCCAAAGCACGGTCCATGACTAGGGGATTCCTCCCTCACTGGCAAACAAGCTAAGTGGCTGTAGCGGCTCTAGAGCTTTACTAACTGACACCTTGACTTAGCAGACCGCAGCAAAACAAGGAAGCCAGGGATGGTTGTGAATCCATGCAGAGTCCGGGCCTCGGGACATGGTGACTCTGGGTGTGCTCTCATGCGAGCCCGTGCGCCCTGTGGTCGTTGAGAGTCATTGGAAGCCAACTAAGGCCAAAACTCGCGCACGAAACCCTGCGCGCGCTGTAAGGCGTCTATATTTGCGTTTTTACCCAAACTCAGCGTTTTTAAAGATCTTTAGCCTGGCTCCCCTCAATTTGGAAATCCAGCCCCCGGAGCAGGAAACCCACGAAAGCGCACGAAAGCGCACGAAACCGCACGAAAGCGCACGAAATGCACGAAAGCCGGGCCGCCCCGCACACGTGCAAATTTGGGGCCGTGGCCCCGGCCAAGGCCTGGAAATGGAAAGAAGTCTTGCCTGGACAGGCCTCCCCGAAGCACCCATGGCCACCCGAAACCAGCCCGTACTCCGCCCAGCCCTGCCCCAGCCAGGCCTTTTGCACGGGCCCACAAAGGGCGCACGAAGGCGCACGAAGGCGCACGAAACCAGTTGGCCTCCCAAGCCCTTAGGGCCCGTTATTTTAGCCCCAAAATATTCAAAACCTAAAAAAAAACAAACCCCTTCAGAACAACCTGTTTTTGTCCATTTTAAAGCTGTTTCCAGGCAATAACACAAGGAACTGCGCGCCAGAAGCACCTTCGTGAAAATTGAGCGTTGCGCGCGCCAACTGTGCGCGCGGTGTGTCCTAGGCACAAAAGACAATGTACTTTCCAATAAAGGAACCTGGCAGTAATCTCATTGAGACATGATCCACAACAATCGCAAACAGAAGCTGAACTTCCTTTATCGCTTGCCACTGCCTGTACAACTGCCTAGAAACACAAGTGTCACACAAAGCGTCGAAGGCTTGCCTCTTCCGGCAATGTCTTGCTCTTCCAGGCAGGCACTACAACTTCATCAAACATTTTGAGGTGGGCGTCGGCCGTGTCGCAGTCGTGCCCTAGGCTGGCCCAATATTTCAAGCACAGCAGCACCTCCTCTTTGCCACCAAAAGACACAGCCCGTTTTTTGGTGCAGGTGCGCTCGGTGTTGTGACTTGGATGGGAACACTTCATTTGGAAATGCTTGGGGTCCTCTCCGACTTTTCCCACAGGTGTGATCAAGTGATCACCCCACGGTTCAGACCGATCCAACACCCTTGTCCTACGGCCTTATCCTGTGCCTCCGCGGCTTCAGGCACCTCACTCGCAACGCGGCGTGCACCCCCAGGCCGGTCAGTGCTGGCTGCTGCTGGAGCAGGCCCAGATGAATCAGAGGAAGAAGAAGAGCTAGAAGATGATGTGCTGGAGCTTGAAGAGCTTGAACTTGAACCGCTGCTGGATTCAGTGGACGAAAGTGACGAAACGTCGTCAGCGTCGGAACCAATGTCATCAGCATTCAGCACATCCAAAGCGTCATCCACCGCCGCCGCCTCGCCCAGCGGATCGTGCCCACCTTCCATTGGCTCCTCGTCAAGCGGACCCACCCCACCTTCCATTGGCTCAGCTTCTGCAGGGGGCCGCCGCGGCCTCCCCGAACGAGTGGCCCTCCTCTTTTTGGGCATGGGCTCGCCAATCAGCCAATCTTCCTCAACATGGGTAAAGCGGGTTCCTCGTGAGCGCTTCGCCAATCTGGCATGAATCTGGTCATCTGTCAAGCCCAGGAGTCGCATGTAAACGTGGTCAGGTTCACCATAGGGGACCTGCGTGACAGTCTCACCATCCAGCTTTGCCAACGCACACAAGTAGTGCCTGCTAACCGTGTCAGCACGCTCACGTGTATACCAAACTTTTTCAGATGAGGCGTCGTGAACATGTTTTGTCTTTCTCAGCTCTTTGTGCTTGGCCGCTGTAATGACCTCATGCTCCCAACCATTGTCGTCTAAGTGGAGAATGATTTGGAAGAGAGAAGCTTCCTCCAGGGGTCCATCAGACCTTTGCAACAGTCGACGGGAATTCAGCAAGGCCACACACTGCTGCACACGCTCGTGGCCAGCCTGAGTCAGTTTCCAGGGAGGGCCCGCCAAGAGGTCTCGACTCGCCAACCAATCCAAGACTTCAAGAACAGGCTCAGGTATGTCTGTCGTAAGAGGCAAACCATCTGTTGCTTTCAGCAACCTAGCCAACGTCTCTGTCACATGTGGTTTTAGTTCCGGAGGTACCTGGGAAGTGAGCTGATTGTCGAAATAATGGTGCAGGGTCGAAGTATCTGCATCCCAGACATACAGACCCAGCAACTCTGACAAGGACAACTGGCTCACATGCAACATCAAAGGAGCCATCTGGCGGGTAGAATCGCCAGTGGCTGCACGCAGAGAGACATGAAGATCTTTCTTCTCTACATCAACATGAAGAATGTTGTGCAGCTGGATGAACCACATGCCACTCAACTGCGCTTCTCCCTCGACATGGGTTCTGTTGAATCGCCCTGGCTGCTCATGTGCAACAGATGCAACAACGAAGTCATCAGCCAAGGCATCCCCTCCGCCAGAAAGGAGTCGGGCAAGGGGTTGTGACTGTCCAAAGTCAGGCAAAAGTGGCAAAACCGCAGCTTGATTCTGCGCATTGTCTGCCGGGTCTGCCGGCGCTGGCAAGGCCTCCCAGCCCAAACTGAAGTCTTCCAAAGCAGGCAGAGATGGAGGTGGGGGAGCCAGCAACGCGCTAAGGTTGTGCAAAGCAGAAACGTTGAACTTCATGGTGAAGTACATGTTGCGGTGCACAGCCTTCTTGACATCCTGCCAAGCCAAGGTTCTCCGAAGGGAAACAGCTCCTGCTGGCAGCCGCTCTGTGTCGGAGTCTCGGTTCTCCAGAGCCTGCTGAGGCTGCAGCACACGCTGTGAGAGAACCCTCTGCGGCACTGTTGCTGGAAGGTCCAGTGAATACTTGCAGAAGGGGTCATCGTGATATATTATTCTCCACGACATGTCCTGCTTCTTGGCTGTCTTCGCGCTGATCCAGCCACTCTGCAACAGCACATCCTGCGAAAAGCCCAGTCGCTGAGCAGCGGCACGACCATTCGATACACCATCCATGATAGATGCCAGCTCCAGTGCATCATCTGGATGGGCACGAAGGTGCGCCCTGATCTCAGGCATGCGATGCGACAGACTGGTATAAGCTGCGGAGTGACGGGGAGCATGTTGGGAAGCCTTCTTGGTGCGAGCGTGCTGGCCCTCCACCCTCCAAGCGGACGTAAACATGAGGCGAAGCTCGGCCGCCTGCTGTCGAAGCGGCAACAAGATCTCAGCATCATGCCACAGACCGCCTCCTTGTATGAATGCATGCACAGCATCCATGTCTTCCCGGAGCCTCCGGAGCCTGGGGTGCTCAGAATCAGAAACGGCGGCGCTGGCACACTTCTGTAGGCATTGAACACGGACCTGTGGATCCCAATGCGCCAAGCCAGCCAAAGCATGCGGAGGTTGTTGCCAAAAGCTCAACTTCAGCACATACGTGTTCACCATGTGCCTGCGCGCAAGTTCAAAATCCTGCATCAGCTCAGTCACCTGTGCCTCTGTTAGGCCTCTCGGCATCATAACCTGCAGGGCACTGCCACTAGCCTCGAACAAGGACTGGAGCAAGTCAAAGAAGCCTCCAGAGGCCAGTTCGGCACACCGCCGGCCCCTGAGTGGACACGGCGGGAGGTCCGAGTGTTCGAAATCCACATCCTGATGGCAAGGGCAGCTGTTCGCAAATTTCACTGCTTGTCGCTGCACAACTGCGACTTGCAGGAGGACCTTGATGGAACCCCAGAAGTACGGGGACGAAATGCCGTCATCTGCGGCTTGCAAATTCACCCCCAAATCACCCTCTGCCCCATCACCAGGTCGAGCAGCAGGCACTGCAGCACCCGCTTCACCTCTATGTCCAAGAAAAGAAGCCAAGTTCCAATGCATTCTCAAGGCACCTTCCAGATCATGGAGTTCCTCGATTGAGGTCGCAACAGTGTTCCATCGCTTTTCGTGAGGAACGACCTGAAAGGACTGAATCGCATCCATGTGCGCCTGGCCTGGCCCGAAGCTGAAACATGTTTCGATGAGCTGCTGCTTAGTCTCGCGACCCGCCAGCAGGGAGCAAATAGCTTTGAGCGCAGTCATCATTGATGAGTAACAAGCTAGAATATCTGCAAGGTTGGCTGTAACATTGTGTATGATGTGCATCATGTCAGGACCCTCAAGCGTATCTGCAAAACTCACCTTGTCGTCCTGGCCTTCACCGTCAGCGTCAGGATGGTCCGGGGCTGCAGCAAGAGCGAAGCACTCCTCAACAGCCGGCATCGGACCCATAAGCATTTCCTCCTCCAGGACAGGCTCGCTGCCCTTGCAATGCAGGTAGGGTAGTATGCTGTCCAGGTCAACCCCTTCTACCCGACACAAAGCCTTCTCCGTTCCATAGTCTGTGTGCATGCTCACGACAGATTGGCAAAGCTCTCGAAGCTCTGCTCTAGAGTTGCAGAGAAGCCCAAGCGTGTGAAGAAAACATCGAAGCTTTGCAGGAAGGTTTGTCCGGGAATGCGCCAGCATGATGATCGGTGCAACATGCCAGGTAATGCGGCCAGACAACCTCCCCAACAACTCCTTCTCCCTTTCTTGCAGCCTGGCTCGGTCAGCAGCGGTCATGGAGGTGAGGCTGTCCAACTCCACCATGTCCTGCATTGGCAAGTGAATGTGTCGCACCGCACACAAGCCGGGAAACATGAACTCTATTAATGATTGCGCTGGAAACTCAATCGCCTTTTGCGCACAGGCCACAGCCACACCACCACGCAAGTTCTCAGTTCTCACTGTACAGGAAACTCAGATACAAAAAGCCAGAGCCAGGTTTCAGGGCCTAATGCGACCTCAGGATTGCAGGCATTCCGGCGCCGGCGCAGTTAAGGTTTATCTCAAACACGTCTGGGCTTAGAGGTTTATTCCCTCCGCTTCCTGCCAAGAAGCATTTGGAACAAGCAGACACGAATCTCCGTCCCTTCCCCCCCCCCCGCCCTGTGGGACCCCCACCTTGCCCAAAGATCTCCTTTTTCTCTGGCACCCCCACCCTGGAACCCCCCCCCACCCCCACAACCACCCTCCTGACACACCTGCAACGCTAACCGCTAACTGGTTACGTAGTAACCCCAATAACCCCAACCGCCCTAACACTAACCCTAACCCCGTAACCCCCCTCTCCTTGTTTAAGGCCCTTTCGGCTGCTGAGGCGGCACGCGCAAGCGTTTACAATTATTATACTATTGTACGATGCGCTTCTTCCATAGCAATGGATGGGGGCGCACGGTCACTGCATTGCCTCACCCTGACTTCAGGAAGTGCGCTATGCTCTCCAGGAAACAGCCTACCCGCGCACACTCACTGCCAGCGTTGCCGCCACCACTGGCACTGCTGCCGGCGTCCTCCCGCCTGCGCGGTGCAAGGCCACGATCCCGACGATCCTCGTCCACCTCGGCGGCAGGGCGCTTCCTGGCCAAAGGTGGCTGCTCATTGGCTCCCATCCTCCACGGGGCAATGGCCTTCACCTTCTCTTTCTTCTCCGCAGGCTTGCGCATCACAGGCTCTGATGGCGAACGCCCACGCAGCTGTGACCGAGAAACCAAATCGATCTTTCGGCGTGGCAGCGGCGAGCGTGTCTCTTTCCTGTTGCCGGCTGCCTTCTTGCCACCGTGCTTGCAGGTGTACTCATGCTGCGCCCAACTCATCGCACAGTCCACCACCCACTTGCCGCACTTCTCACATGGCTTTCGAAGGTCTTTCTCTCCCCGCGCCTTGCGGCACCTTGCGCTGTACTTCTGGGGCTCCCTGATGGCCCAGGCACTATTGTCCTTGATGTACTTGCCACAGATTCGACAGTAGATGCCTGTTCCATCTCCTTCTTCACGGTCCGACACAAGGCTGAAATCTTCATCCGCACCCTGATCCTTCTTGACTTTCTGGGGATTCTCTGGTGGCACACGCGCTGGCTCCCTTTCCTTTGGCTTTGCCTCCGTCGCATCTTCTGGCCTGTGCGGCCTCTCGTCCTCAGAGCCACCGTAGTCCACAGACGAAGCTTTTTCATCTTCCTGCTCTCCGTGCTCCCTCTGTGGCGCCTTCTTCTTCACAGTCTCCGTGTCCTCAGGCTCAGACTCATAAGTGTACTCGTACGACGGTTCGTCATAGGAGGCGGACTCGTCCCGCGCCCTAGCTGCCCTGCCTGCCATGGCACCAACGAGACGGCCTATTGGCCCTAAATACATCCTCACACACAGCACCCTTGAGCACTGCAATGCGCCACACACTGCATCACTGCCATAGGCACAACATGCCAGGACATGCCACACAAGCTGACCGACCTGCTGACCTGCTAACTGCTGCCTACATCTAACATGCAATGTGTCACTGAATGGTTGAACTGCTTCGGTCCTTGTGATTCTCCAGCAGGTGACTCTTCTGAACGACGTTCACCACAGTCACTTGGTACTCCTGCTTGGCCTGCCACGTCGCATCAGTCTGCACGTACAATGAGACTCCTGCCCCACCCTGGTGTTGCAAGTGGGAAGTCAGCCACTTCCTGAAGAGCAGCATCCAAGACACGTCAAGGCGTGCACGACATCTTGACAACGTTGCTGCAGACGGAATCCTTAAGTACGACCCACTCTCGGAGACCCCATCAATGAACTGCAGTGTTTCTTCTTTGGCTCCAGGAGGAAGAAGGATGCCGCACGCGTGCCGCAGAGCTGACTTCAAGTCCCTGTCATTCTGCAAGAACCCACTTATCCAGAAGAATTCCACAAGCCTAACTGCTGCGTACTTGCGAAACTTTTGCAATGAACCCGCTTCATGCACGAACACCCGTTTGTCAAGCGCATGCTTCTGCAAGGCCTGAGCTGCTGACAGGAGGTCTGCCAGGACTGTTTTCTGAGACCCCTCCCCATGCATCGGCTGCAGAATACCTGCGCCCACTGTCTGTAGAATACCAAGAATATTCTCTGTAACAGCTTGCCCAGCATCTGGAACAGCATGCCCCTGGATGTACTTGTATATGTGCATGTGAGCCGGCAAGTCCTGAAACGAATTTTGCAATGACATGAACGTCTGCAACGCAGGCTCTGCATCATCAACAACACGTCGACGGTTCCAGCCTGAAGCTACCAAATCAACTGTTTCCACAGCGTCAGGCACTGCAGCTCTAGTCCATTGCTGATCTGCCAGCAAGTACACAACCGGCTTGGGCAATCTCAACACAAGCTCGGGAATTCTACCACCACTAAAGCGCATCCAACTTGCGAGCTCACGTGGCCCTACTCCAATCACTCGGCAGTTCCACAAGCGCGCCGCCCAAACAGGGTTCAGCTGGAAAAAAAAAGTGTTCTTGCCCGTCTTTGTTTCCTGCAAGGACATTTTAAGCGACAGCATCTGAACCTTCACAATGCGATAATAACGCAACGATGATTCCAGTGTGCTTCCTGCTAGCACGCTCCAGAAATCAAACTGACTTTTCATCTCTGCACACAAAGGCAAGAGAGAGTGCTGCACAGCAAAGGCCTCAACGAGGGCCAGGGCGACAACTTCATTCCCAGCAGGCCAAATTGACCGGCAAACAGTGCCCACTTCTAAGCCATTGCTCTGCTCATACTCTGACAAGCATGCATGAATGCCTGGGCTGGCTTCGGCTTCAGCATTCAACAGAGCCACGGATCGATTGCAAACGCCAGGACGGCCTTGCCGCATTTTGCGCTTAGCATTGCTGAAAGTAGCCAACCACACCACAATTTGCGCACCATCGCACGCCATCGATCACTTATGAGCGTTTCTAGATCTGAGTCTATGACCAGGAAACTGTCTTACAACCTATTTGCAGAACAAATATGCCCTGCCATTGAAGCTGCCAGAATACTGCTGCTGCAAAACATGAAATCTCCGTTTCACAGACAAAGTTCGAGACATTGGCCGCAAGCTCACCAACAATAGGCGCTGTTCAAGGCAGTGCCCCCAAGCAGTGAGCGATATGTGCTTTTCTTCGTAGGGTTTTCAAGCTGCTGTGTTATTTCTGCAAAAAAATGGCGAAACAGGCTACTTAGTAAAATCCCGCAGACAAATTCCAAAACATGGCAGGGAAGCGCACCTTAAAAAGTATCTCCAAGGCAATGCCCCCAAACAGTGTGATTCACCGTGTGATGCTTCTTGTTTTTGACCAGGAAACTGTTTTACATCCTTTTTGCAAAGCAAATATGCCCTGGCATTGAAGCTGCCAGAATACTGCTGCTGTAAAACATATTTTCTGAGCTAGTCTGTCCATTTCACAGACAAAGTTCGAGACATTGGCAGGAAGCTCACCAACAATAGACGCTGTTCAAGGCAGTGCCCCCAAGCAGTGAGATATGACTGCTTTTTTCCGTAGGGCAATCAAGCTGCTGTGTTATTTCTGCAAAAAATGGCGAAACAGGCCACTTAGTAAAATCCCACCAGACAAATTCCAAAACATGGCAGGGAAGCGCACCTTAAAAAGTATTTCCAAGGCAATGCCCCAAACAGTGTGATGCTTCTTGTTTTTGACTCGGGGGCCAGAGCGCCTGCGACAGGAGAGCTTTAGCGAAATTAACTAGGAGCTCCTGGCTCGGTCAAAGACAATGCCTAAGGCTAAAGCCAAAGCTGCCGCGGACGCTGCTAAGCCGTCCACCGTTCTGCCAAAGAAGGACGTGGAGCCTACCGACTATCCATCTGCCAGCGGTCTGTCGAGGAAGGGTGTGGCAGAAGCTGATCAAGCGTCAGCCCCCGCTCTGAGCGGGACTTTCCAGCACGAGATCGGGCAGGAGTTGAACGTCAGAGGCTCCAAGTTCACGAGCGTCGGATGGAAGGACAAGGTGGCTTTGATCAAACCCGTAGATAAGGCGGGGAAATATGAGGCGTTTCAGTGGGTGAGCAACAAGGTGGCTGGCATAGGTTTCGTCACGGTGGAGTTCGCTGGGGTACAGAGCCGCACCCGCAACGTCGTGTGGATGACTCCCAAGCTCGGCGTCCTCCTGATTGAAGGGAAGGAGGTTGCCTGTGCATCCACTTCAATCGTTCATTTGGAGGTGGAGGATTTGATGTTGCTTCGTCAGCCCGGTGAGAACGCACATCCACCGCTCATAGAAGGTGCTTTGCCATCGAAAGGTAACTGAGCGCTTGCCTTCTCATTTTTGTCGCTCGGTGTTAGCCTAGGCACCGCCCGAACAGACTGAGACGCGTTGGGGAGGTGGGGGAGCCTGTTGCACAGACCTAAGGTTCCTCTGCTGTAGACACTCCAATTTCCTCAGTGTATAGGACAGACCGGTCTTCTTGATCGAGGCCACCTTCTGGAAGAGAAACGAGTTTGCGCGCGGATCTTGTATTCGTTCATCCTAAAGCCAGAGTCGCCCAAAAGCTCCCAGTCGTTGCCACATCTCGAGGGTGTCATAGGCCTCGGGCTCGCGATTTCTCCCTCCCCATATCGCTGAAGGTCCCAAAAAGCCCGGTACAGTCACCCAAAAGGGCGGTACAGTCACCCAAAAAGAGCGGAACCCAAAAAGAGCGGTACAGTCACCCAAAAAGAGCGTTACAATCACCCAAAAAGGGCGGTACAGTCACCCAAAAAGGGTGGTACAGTCACTCCAAAAGGGCAGTACAGTCACCCAAAAAGAGCGATACAGTCACCCAAAAAAGGCGGTACAGTCACCCAAAAAAGAATCGTACAGTCACCCAAAAAGAGCGGTACAGTCACCCAAAAAGGGCGATACAGTCACCCGAAAAGGGCGCTAGAGTTCAAAATGCACGGTGCACTCACGTGAAAGCCCCTACCAAGCCGATAGCGTCATCGTAAAGTCATTATTGCGACGACTCTCAGGTCGCGCACGCTTTCGCCTCCGGGAACCGGAGGGAATCTTAGAGGCCGGGAAAAGCTAGAGTCAACTTGCCGCGTAGCTTTAGTTCTCGAGCTGGTGCACTGTTTTTGAGCGCACGATCACGTAGTGTTTCGACCTGGTCCTCGACACAAAGGTTTCTTGCCTGCTAGATGACTTGTTCGTGTTCCCTCCTAGCCAGGCGTCGAGTCAAATTTCTTTGGCTTCGAGATCTTCGACGAATCGAGGCCTCTGACTGTTCGAGTTCCTCGGTAGCGGTTTTTAGCTCTGAGCCGCGACTTGTTGAACGCCTTGATGCCTACGTTTCGTGAATCGAAGCTATCTTCAGGACGATCGTCGAGTAACGTGCAAGGGCCTACTCAACCCACGCTTCGATTTCCGAACGCCTGCCTTTCGACATGCGTGAACCATCTAGCATGGGAAGTTTCGGTACATAACTCTCCGCCTTTGGATTCCTGATGGGCGCCCCATCGTCAACTTCCATCGCATGGTCGGCACTGCTGCTCAAACTGCTGATGCTCACGTTGGCTCTCTCCCGCCGACTGGCGTTGCCCTCACCGTTGCCTTGGTTTGACAACATCGCTTCCACCAGAGACATCATCTGAGATGTCTGCTGCTGTTGCTGCTGCATGTGCTGCTGCTGTTGCTGTACTGTCTGCACCAAAACGTGAGACTCAAGAGCTGCTTGCACTGCTGCAGTGTCGAGTTGCGGCTGCACTCCTCCCAGACCTGGTGGGGCCATTAGAGGTGGCTGCAACGGTGTGTTAACTCCCGGCGATGCACTTCCAACGCTTCCCTGTGGCACCACAGGGCTTGCTCCAGCTGTTCCCTGTGCCGACAGGTTCGACATGGGACTAAAAAACGTTCCTACCGACCAACGGCAAGACTGGCAACGCACGTGGTCTGTTTCTCCGCACCATTCCATCAGGTCCTTCTTCCCCGATGTTGTAGTACGACGGACGTCCACGCTCAACCATGGTCACAGACTCTCACGCCACGCACTTGCCAACTTTCACTTGTTGCGTATTGGGCTCCTTTTCTCAACAACGGAGTCTCCACGCTCCGCTACCACGTAAAAGACCAAAGTCACGCACAAGACAAACAACTCACTCGTGTTCCAAAGTACCAAGTGCAAGTAACCCTTCACAGTCACACAGCTCACAGGCACTCCAAACACTTCTTTTAGCTTTCTCGCACTTAAACACGTCCGGTCTTGAGCCAAAACACTCTAAAAACCGTGGCAACGCAGGAAAACAGAGCTGACCTCTACACTGGCGCACACATAGGGCAACATGGACTACCCCTATAGTTCACGCTGCCCACTGCTTGAGCATCACACGCATGCCTGCGAAAGATCCAGAGGCATTATGGGGGCCTCATGTGGAATTCCCCAAAAGCAAAGCAATTGGGAGATCCCCTGGTTGCTTGGACGGTCTGCAAACCAACCGAGTGGTGTGTGAAAATTTGAGGTCTCCACAACTGTCCTGCTGGCGTAGACTGGGAGCCAGAACTAGGCATGAGACGGTACGGGTTGCTGGGTCCGAGCCCCACAGTGCTCGAGTATGACACGCACGCTCTTTCTGGAGAACTTGCAGGAGTCCATAATTGGACATTCCGGGTGTCCAAACAGCCAAATTTCCGGCCATGGCTTGTTATGGTGATTCAGACGATTGGCTGGGAGGATTGCTGCTTGCCTTTGATCATTCGCAAGCGGGAGACCTACCATTCTTCGCTTCCCGACAATATGCAGGTGGCTCCAAATACGGGCAGGCTTACGGACCTGCAAGTGAACGTGCCGCTGGCCCGCCGCTGGCGGCCACAGTTGCACTGCTTGCTGGCCTCTCAAAGGCCGACAAGACGGAAATAAAGTTAAAACTTTGATGAGCAAGGACAGCCAATTGTCCAAGGCCAAGTTCCTCCCTCCTGTCTGCAAAAATGGGCGCGAGCGGCTCGTTCCACACTCAATCAGGTCCTGGGGCACGGCAACATCACTCCTTTTCTTTCCGGACGAGGCTCCGCTCAACTTCTTGGACGCGGCAAAACCAGATGTCTCCTTTCGCCAAATCCCGCCATTAGCCTGTTTGGTGGCCAAACCGTGGCCGAGCCCTCTGCAGGGGAAGAAGCAAAGCACAACAAGTCACCTTTTTTTGAGGTGGTTGGGGCTGGGCAGGCCCAAAAAAGGTGACTTTTTGCGCCGGACTCTTGCCCAAGCTTTCAATACAGTTTGGTCCAAACTGTACGACAATCACAGAGCTGGCGATCCGCCTGCTATGCTTGTGGCCGTCACAGTTTCCGTTGACCATGAACGACAACACGGTACTTCTCAGGAAGTAACAGCAATCCAAACAATGTGGCATGCAGCGAGAACCATGCTTGCGGAGTTAGGGACAACCAAAAGTCCCTTTTGGAACTCGAGTGGTCAACCTGACTGCATCCTTGTTTTGTCAGGATGTATTACTGAGGCGGAACCTCTGAGACTTGTACATTTCACAGTAGGGTCGTGTATTCGCCGTCATATGATGACTTGAAAGACACACAGATGAATGATAACGGACATCGGACATGCTCCGGCACAGAAGACTTGTTCGCCCCACAGTGTGAAAAGAATGAGTCCGCGAATCTCGAAATTGGATGTATTCTTGGATTCAGATTTTACGGGTTTTATTGGCCCCATTTTTTTTGCTATCTGGCTCAAGCACGGTCCGGGCACAATAAAATGACTTCTTCATCTTGAACGAGATGTTCTGTTCCGTAATTTGGCCGTAAAAATTGATGGTAACGATTTCTCTTTAAACTTCTCAAAATCTGTGAAGTAATCATATGGATATACGCCCTTGTCTGTCAATAATTTAAATCTTCATCTGACGTTATGTATTTGCTCGTCTTGTCGCGCTTATCGTTTTCTTCGTATTT